TTGTTTACAACAAGGTCTGAAATGTACAACTTTAGACTTTTTAATATTTACTTGTAGGCGACATTTCTTACACCAATCTGACACACAGTTCAACATAGCTTGAAGACAACATTCATCCGGCGCAATAACAGCAATATCATCGGCATACAATAAACAGTTCAACTTATTTCCATCCATTAGTATACCACAATTAAGATCATTTAACTCTTTCACAAGGTCATTTATATAAATGGAAAACAAAGTAGGCGACATGACACAACCTTGACGGACACCCGTATTCACCTTGAAGACATCAGTATACGAGTCGTTCATCTGCACACGTGATCATGTACTGTACATAGATTGAATTGCTAAAAGAAACTTTCCTTGTATCCCCAACGAATGAAGCTTATACCATAAACAATGTCGGTTAACCTTATCAAAAGCTTTCATAATGTCAATAAAACATACAAAGGTAGATTGCTTAGACAATTTACTGCGTTTTGATCGAAAACCATTTTGCTCTTCAGCTAATAAATCATTGTAGTCAAGCCGAGCGCTAAGACGCATATTTAAAACATCAGCAAATACTTTACATGCTCGAATATAAGAGAAATACCCCTATATGATAAAGGGTTTAGGTTTTTTTTATTTAAACATATTTTATTGCGGAAAACGAAATGGATTAGGCACAAGTGACACACTTACGAGGCCTTCTCCTATATACATTTCATTACATTGTGTCATGTGAATTCTGTGGTGCAGAATAAATGTACAGTGCATAGGAATTACAAAAATATAATAACACACACATATTCATATATATACAGTATTACACACAAACACATATACCTACATGCACTCACACATACATCTACATATATAAATATGATGAATTTACATTTTTGGTATACAATGGTACATGATATATTTATAAAATAACACAGTAGTTAATAAACTACATGTAATAGACATTTTAAATTTATGTGAAGGGTGAGGAATCTAGAATGTAACTAAGCTGTGATAGTTACAGGGAATGCTATTGTTTAACATCAAAATCAGAGTGTGGAAACAACCATGTTTTATATGTGCCAGTCACTTGTAAAATCCAGATAATTTGAAAGCAGCTCGTGAAATAGTAATTTACGCAACCATTTATCATATAGGGGTATTTCTCTTATATTCCACCACGTAAAATATTTTTACATGGTCGAATATAAGAGAAATACCCCTATATGATAAAGAGTTGCGTAAATTACTATCAGGTTTAGGTATTGGATTTATAATACTGGAACCCCATACATCAGGGCAAGTTGAATTATCAAAACAATATGAACACAATTTATAAAGAATGTCAATACACTTGTTGTTTTTCAGTGCCTCGGCTGGGATGCTGTCAGGACCCGAGGCCTTACCGCGTTTCGCACGTGCAACTGCACGTTCAACCTCGGCTCGAGTGATGGGTGAATCTGGGTCAGCAGTGTCAAGGTCAATGTCACAGGTCACACTATTCTTGTCGAGGTCAGCTTGAACTTTGAAGAGATGTTCATCGTTAAAATGTTGTTTATTATCAGCCACAAACATTTCACTGTGATCGTTTTTCCATCTGTTTAAAATAGTTGATTTATTATTACTTTCACGGTCATTAGAAATTCTAAATTATGTATAGACTTTGCAAACGCTTACAGAGAAATAAGTTGTAACTCTTTTAAACATCCTTGGTCTAAGTTATAACATGAAATATTAATCTATTAAGTAACATCTATTAAATGTTAAAGCCTGGAATAATCTCAGCTAAAACACGGGTCTATGGAAAAATATACGCAAAAAAACAATTTCTTGGTTAGCCAATCAAATGCCCATGAATCACTTGCAATTTATTCATTATTACGAAAGGGCGGACTATTTCCTGTGTGGAAATATTTGTTGTGGGTCCGGAAAATATTTCGGCTCTTTCTGTCAAAGGCAACAAATTGTATGTCTTACAGCAATGACGGAAATATTCAAAAATATTCCAAAGCAAATATCACCTGCCATAAAAGCTATAGGTATTGTGTAAAGAAAATATTCACCAGCATATAGGATTACAAGCAATTCAATACTGGGTGAAATATTGTCAGGATAAACAAATCTCTTTATTCTTGTTTGCCAAGATGGGTGAGTGAGTGAGTGAGTTGGGTTTAGCACCGCTTTTAACAGTATTCCAGTCATATCGCGGCGTGTGAGCTTAATGTGGGAGGAAAGCCCGAAGTGATGCAGGTCTCAGACGTTTACCAGTTCGGTGAAACCCACGAGCACGGCTATGGTGCTGACAAACCTAGAAACATAATCGGGGCGAACCGGGATTCGAACCCACAATCATAGGTTTCTGGCGTGCCCAAGGGACGCAACTCTGCACAGCGAATCGCGGGGCCTTAGACGACTGGGCCACACGTGCCCCTAGTGAGGTCTGGAGAAACAGCCGGCCATGATAGTCCAGCAATGTTCTTCTGCCTCAAAACGTCTGTTAAAACACGTACAACATGTGAGTGGGCATTATCCTGCTGCAACTTGACGCTACGTCCCTCATCCCATTAACAATGATGAGTTGTGTTTTCATGAGTTGATGCCACCCATACCATTACACTTCCACAACTAAACCGATGACGTTTACTAACGCAAGCGTCGGTAAAACGTTCTCCTGGACGCCTGTGGACCTTGCATGACCTGGTTTCATCTGCGGAACAGTACACTATCTCAGTATTGTCGTCTTCACAAAGCTAGGCGTGTCTGACGGTTACGTGGAAGCCAACTTTGGCGTATCGCTGGACGTAGGTGAGATGACACTGGGATGTCAGCTGACACTTAGAACACCCCAGCTTATATAGTTGCCTCCCATGTTTGCTGTGTTCGGGAGAGCGTTTCCCTGGTTGCGTTCGCGAGAGCTGTTCAGAGGATTTCAACATACCGTGATTACAGTTTAGCTTGTGACAGTGTGATGACACCAGGTGATCGTGAAAAGGTGAGCGTATCCTGCCCTCCCGGTGCATGGCACCCATCGCAAACACACGCAAAGGTAAGTCTGTTGTTCACACAGGATTGGTTTGGTTTGTTGTTTAACGCCGCACTCAGCAATATTCCAGTTATATGACGGCGGTCTGTAAATAATCGAGTCTGAACAAGACAATCCAGTGATTCACATCATGAGCATCGATCCACGCAATTGGGATACGATGACATGCATCAACCAAGTCAGCGAGTCTGACCCTCCGATCCCGTTAGTCACCTCTTACGACAAGCACAGTCGCCTTTTACAGCAAGCGTGGGTTGCTGAAGACCTATCCAACCCCGGATCTTCACCGGTCCCCGACACTGGCAATAACGGTATCGTGATCCACTTCCATTGCATAATTCGCTCCAGTCAATTTGTATATGTGAAATGGTGGCCTCCTATTATACTCATATCTCTGTTTGTCTCTCTCTCACCCTAAATTCATAACCTCACGACGTTCCGTTTTATCCTTTCATTGGAGGTCTTAATGTAGCCAATGGCTCGTTTTTGTAGCCGTCTTTCATTCTTTGAAGACAGCATGTTTATCTAAAAAAGGGAGTAGCCTTGTGGCAAATGGCCGTCCCAGCGAGGTCGTTTCGAGTGAGTTAGTGAGTTGGGTTAAACGCGGCTTAAAACAATGTTCCAGTTATATCCCAGCGTGTCAGTTAAATGTGGGAGGAAAGTCCATGTGATGCAGGTCTCAGATGTTTACCATTTTGGTGAAACCCACGAGCAGGGGTATGTGCTGACAGACCTAGAAATATATTTGGGGCAAACCTGATTCGAACCCACATTAGTTCTGGCGTGCCTGAATGACTCAACTCTGCACAGCGAATTGCGGCGCCTTAGACGAATGGGCCACCCGCCCCCGCCCCCGCCCCCGCCCCCGTTCGATTCAAGTCATTCATAACACTCTGTTTTGTTTTGCTCACTCAAATGTTGGTATATATGGCACTAATTAGGTGGGCCTGGGTGAATAGGTGGCCCTGAGTGGGTAGATGGGCCTGAAAGAGGTGTGGACCCTGATTGAGTACGTTGTCCGTGAGTGGATAGATGAACCTGAGCAGGTTGTGGACCCTGAGCGAGTTGTGGGCCCTAAATGCAGAGATAAGTTGTGGCCCTTGAGTAGTTGAGTCCTGAATGAGGTGGTGAGGTGAATTTAGGTTTAATGTTACCTTGAAGATAATTTTGTTCTGGTTTGTTGTTTAACACAGTCCACGGCAATATTCCAGCTATATGACGACGGTCTGTAAACATTCGAGTCTGGACCACGCCATTGGGATCGATGACATGTATCGAGCAAGTCAGTGAGCCTGACACCCAATCCCGCTAGTCGCCTCTTAGGACAAGCATAGTCGCCTTTTACAGCAAGCATGGGTTGCTGAAGACCGATTCTATCCCGGATATATTCCAGGTATATGACGGCGATCTGTAAATAATCGAGTCTGGACCAGACAATCCAGTGATTAACATCATGAGCATCGATCCACACAACTGGGATCGATGACATGCATCAACCAAGTCAGCGAGCCTGACCACCCGATCCCGTCAGTCGCCTTTTACGACAAGCATAGTCACCTTTTAAAGCAAGCATAGGTTGCTGAAGACCTATTCTACCCCGGAATCTTCACGGGTCGGCCTTGAGTGAAGCAGGTGGAACCCTGAGTGGCCCCACTGGGTTTGAATGAGGGCTTGAGTGAATACGTTGGCCTCTGTTCTAAAAATAGTAACATCATCTGTGGCAATAAACTTGACTTGATGATCGTTCTGGTTCATATCTTGATCATTACTGATCTTAAAACAAAATGGTTTGAAAAGATGATTGGACTGGAATTTGGGGGCATAAAATGTTGCAATGCAAAATTCGCATCAGCTTCTTTCAGAATGTCATTGTAGGATGTATTTGCAGCTATGTTCTTGTGACATATAGTAGAAGGTGTACAGTACATAGTACTGCGTCAGCGGAGATGAAGTAAAAGCAACATCTGTGTACCGAGAGTATCTTTATTTCAAAATGGTGTTGACATATCACTGTCAAGGGTGAACAATCCACCCATGTGACAAGGATGCAGTCTGCTGTATCAAATGTTACAATGCTGAACTAGTTACTTAGTCGCTGCATCAAATGTTACAATGCTGAACTAGTTACTTAGTCGCTGCATCAAATGTTACAATGCTGAACTAGTTACTTAGTCGCTGCATCAAATGTTACAATGCTGAACTAGTTACTTAGTCGCTGCATCAAATGTTACAATGCTGAACTAGTTACTTAGTCGCTGCATCAAATGTTACAATGCTGAACTAGTTACTTAGTCGCTGCATCAAATGTTACAATGCTGAACTAGTTACTTAGTCGCTGCATCAAATGTTACAATGCTGAACTAGTTACTTCGTCGTGATTGCTTCTTTTAACCAAAACACGTATTTTTGAAGCGCAAGGACATAACATAAACAAGTTGGAGCTTACAGGGACAGATGAGCATGGAATTGTTCCAATATTGTCAACACTGGGCTGTCTCAACAAACACAAGAAACAGGGGCACAAAACAGGATCAAACAAAACAGTGTAATAATGCACACTCAAGACAAGACTGAAAATAAAACATTGGTAGATACCACTGAATAATTTCATCATAAACTGTGAAAAGTGCTGTACCCTGACGCTGTACGACACACACAAGAGTGTAATACTTCCATTATAAGAAAAGAAACATCCAAAATAGTTTCTGGTGTTGTTAAACATAAGTTTGTAACCGAAGTAGACACAATTTAAAGATAACAACTTCTTTAATTACTTGTTGACAACGGAATAGAATCTATACCGAAATATCGCCTTTACAGTAAACAAAAGAGCTGGTATCCATAAATTGTGTCTACTTTGTCACCCATCACCTTCTAAGTAATGCCTATCAAACAATTCAGTCTGTAACCATGACAACAGACTAAATCATTAGATTAGTACTGACTTACATAGTACTTGAGATTCTATAGCTTTTCATATCACTCAGGTTACCATGGACATTGATAACTGTTCTTAACCAATCATGCCATTTATCAATAATCCATGCCCTTTAGTAATACTACTTAACTGACTAAACAGAATATACAGTATTCTGTATCATATCAATCTCACACTGGCTCCATACAATTTACCTAGGATTGGTGGTGACGGTATTTCAAAATTAAAGGAGAACTGAAAACAAAAAGGAAGCATCCATTTGAATCAATGAATAGTTTTAGTGACGCTGCTCTGCACTTCACAATTTGGATCTCACTAAGGGTTGATACATTGTACCATGACTTTGTATTAGATGTAGTACAGCTTAAGGTCTGTGGTTGCACTAAGCTTTTCTGGCGTTGACGATTGTGACAAAGTCTGGCTTCAGGGATGCACCCCCCACGAGGAAACCGTCAACATCAGGTTTGGCTCCGAGTTCCTTACAGTTGGCAGCATTTACAGAGCCTGAAATGGAAAAAAGACATTTAAGAAACCTCAGTTTTATCACCATGGTTACACCACAATTTATCAAGATGGTTCATATTATCAGTCATTGGGTGAGTGAGTGAGTGAGTGAGTGAGTGAGTGAGTGAGTGAGTGAGTGAGAGAGAGAGAGAGAGAGAGGGTGGGTGGGTGGGTTCGGACAGGTGGGTGGGTGTGTTTGGACAGGTGGGGCTGAATGCGGCTTTTACCGAAGTGGTGCAGCTCTCATATGTGTACCACTTAATTGAAACAAGGGCATAGCACTGACAAACCGAGAAACATAATCAGGGTGAACCGGGATTAGCAATAGAAATAGTCATGGGTGAGATTCAACCAGACTGCCAGACAATTAGACTAGTCTCTAGTCATCAGTCTACACTCCACTAGTCTTTTTAAAAGTAGTACTAGCGACTGGCTATTTCGAACTTCAACACAAACAACATTTTCTGACCGAAATTCAATTTAGAAAGCAACTGCTCGTAAGATTCACATTCAACAGAGATTTACAAGGAATATATCTCAAAACACCCAAACGTAAATGTGTAAAAAGTTTCTCAAAGAAACACCTAAATGTATACCAGTACACCTTGCATATAACTTTAAAGAAGCACACAAAAGCCCTCCCTTTTTGGTTTGAAGTGTTAAAGAGAACTCTAACTGAGATAACAATGGTTCCCATAGACTTTCTAAAGAGCCTTAATACCATTTAAATTAAAAAAAATAAAAAAATTAAAATACGAGTTTCAGAGAGGCCTTTCTTTTAAGCATGCTGACATGGTTGAGTACAGTTAACAGAAAACCGCTTCCAGATAACAGTATGGGTGTGCATGGATGGTTAAGACATATGTGATAAGTTCCTACCTCCGTACTGTATCCTGACATTCTGAGCAACTTCAGATGAGACGTTCTCGGACACCCACTTCCGCAGACTATCATGCACCTCCTGTGCCTGGTCAGGCGTGGCTGTCTTCCCGGTGCCAATGGCCCACACAGGCTCATAGGCAAGCACCACTCGCTTCCAGTCTGACACATTATCTGGCAACACACACATCAAGGGTTTAGTCTGCCTGAACACCATATGTTGTGTAACCTACAATGGCTTTAGTCTGCCTGAACACCATATGTTGTGCTACCTGCAATGGCTTTAGTCTGCCTGAACACTATATGTTGTGCTACCTGCAATGGCTTTAGTCTGCCTGGACACTACATTTTGTGTAACCTGCAATTGCTTTAGTCTGCCTGAACACCACATGTTGTGTAACCTGCAATGGCTTTAGTCTGCCTGAACACCACATGTTGTGTTACCTGCAATGGCTTTAGTCTGCCTGGACACCACATGTTGTGTTACCTGCAATGGCTTTAGTCTGCCTGAAGACCACCTCGTTGGTCTTCCCTGCCTCTCTCTCCTCCAGCTTCTCCCCAATACAGGCGATGACATTCAAACCCTCCGACAATGCAAACTTCACCTTCTCCCCGATCAGCTGCAAGAAGGAGAAACAAACATGAGTCAGACGTTATGCCAGGCATGAGTGCTTGTTAAGCTGAAGTCGGCAATATTCCAGCCTTATCAGGGTGAGCTGTACATCAATAGTGGGCCCGGACAACCAGTGGTTGCCAGCATGATCAATCCCCCCACAATCTGTCAGGTAACCATGGTAACCCTGAACAACACTTTTGTGAGCTATTACAAGGTCTTGGGCACCTATTCTGGCCTGGATACTCTACAGTGGATGCTGGGCCAGAGCTACAGATAAGCAGCATATTTGCATGAAATACCCACAACAATATTCAAAACCCAAATACCTTCAACTAATTGCGTACAGAAACGCATGCTTTAAATGAAAAACTCAAATGTATAAAAAACGCTAACGTAAATACCGTACAGAATGCGTACAAAGGAGCTAATTTCCGAAACACAATTACGAGCTAATTTACAATCCGAGTCAAGTCTAAATATTTAGAACACTATACATCTAAGACATTATTTCATTTTTTTTAAATATTTAAAAGTTTACTAATTTGGGGAAAACCCAATAGAGTTGTCTTTTTAGTGGGTGTCATTTCTTGTTGTTTAAGGCTATATACATTAGGGCTGCAACGATACACCTAGGTCACGATAAGATACGTATCTCGATACTTACATCACGATACGATGCGTATCTCGATACGCTACGATACATATAGTGACAAGAGAAGACAAGAGGTAAATGAATTAAACTTAGTTTATTAAAATGAAAAATTAAATGAACGTGAATGAATGTTCATGAGTCATAAAATATACTAGCCACATAAAGAAACTGTGCACGGAGAAAAATATATTCTGGATTGAAATACAACACAGCAAGAACAAAATGATGCAGACGCTGTAGCAGCTGAATGATCGGACCATAAGAAAATGTCAACGGGACCTGAACAACATCTGTTACGATGACGCCAGGAGATCAAAATGGAGTAGGGGGTCAAACGACAAAGTCACAAAGTCAATAACGGGTACGACCACCCTGTGCATGAATCACAGCAGTGCATCGGCGACGCATGGAGTCCACCAAATGGGCATGGAAGGCCTGGGGAATGGCCTGCCATATCCTCCTCAAATCCTGTGCCAAGTCACTGAGCTATCTGGAGGATGTGGAAGACGACGCAGACGGCGCTCCATTTCATCCCACACATGCTCTAGTGGAGAGAGATCTGGAGAATTTGCAGGCCATGGCAGTAACATGACATTGTTATGGTGAAGGAAATCGATCGCGACCCTAGCCGTGTGAGGACGAGCGTTGTCCTGTTGAAATGTCAATCCCGGGCCATGACGTTGCAGGAAAGGAATGACCACAGGCCTCAGAATCTGATCTCTGTAGCCAACACCGGTGAGATTGCCCTGAACAACCACCAAAGGGGTTCGGTGCCGTGCTGTTATCCCACCCCAAATCATCACAGAGCCACCTCCAAAACGATTCCTCTCCACAATACAGTTGCGTGCATAACGTTCTCCCAAACGCCGGTAGACACGTTGGCGCCCGTCACTGTGGGAAATGTTGAACCTCGATTCATCTGTAAAGACAACATTTCTCCACCATATTCGAGGTTGGCGAACATGATTTCGACACCATCTTAGACGGTTGACTCGATGACGGTGTGTCAGGATGGGACGTATGGCAGGGCGTCGTGGTCGAATCCCGTACTGACGTAAACGATTCCTGACAGTGTTGGGATGGATACGGCGCAGTCCAGGAATTGTCTGGGACGTCGTTACTGCCGTTTGGAACCTGTGTCGGAGATGTGTAACTCGAATCCATCTGTCCTGTCTTGGCGTCGTTACTCGGGGACGTCCTGAACGTGTGTGGTCGGCAACGTCATTTGTGTTCTGATAAAGCCTCACCAATGCCGATATCGTGTTACGATGGCATTGGAAATGTGTTGCCACCTGTTGTTGCCTCATTCCCGCTCGGATCATTCCAATGGCTTCATAACGCTGTGCAGCTGTCAATCTTGGCATGGTTTGCTTGTGATATGCTTGTGTCTGCGCCTGAGAAGTTTTGAATTTTTGAATGACCACAGATCATGCTTTCCACAGCGAATTTTGAGTTGCACATGCTGTGTACAGCTGCACAGGATGCACCTGCAGTAACACATTGCACGTCCATAGGCCCCCATCAATGACGTCATATCGCATGGCACGTGCATGAACGTTTGAATGTCTCCAATAATTGCTGTCTTCAAACCTATATTTCATATATGGACGGTGTGCCCTTATATCTATATTTTCTCCGTTCACAGTTTCTTAATGTGGCTAGTATATATACTGTAATGAGTATTTTAACTTAATAAATCATCTGCCATTTCCATGTAAATGACAGCAAACACAAAAGTAACAATCCTACATATTTGTGAGTTCAGACGAAATGGTAGGAGTAAATACTAAATGTACCAGTGTCCAGTAACTTATGATTTGCCATTTTCACGTATTTTTTGGGGGCAACCGACGGAACCGTAATGTTATACAGCATTTGAATCCTAGTGTTTATAAATATGAAAGTTACGTTTATCACATTATTTAAATAATGCATTTACAACTTAATTAAGTTCGTTGTACATAAAAAAATGTAAGCTAACACATTCATAACGTCCAGATTAAGGACCAAGGAATATTTATATATATGTACCTCTTAGAAAAAACGTATCGTGAAAAATCGAGATACAGCACCTCACAAATCGCGCACCATATCGTATGGAGTGAATCGCGATGCATCGGTGTCCCGGGATATCGTTTCAGCCCTAATATACATCCCTGATATGTAGTATTCACATAAACTTTAAGATTTCTGTAGGCATTTGATCATGTTAATGATGGCATGACACAAGACTTGGATTCACTTTGTTATTGTGACTTGGGTCGAAATGTTAGAAATCAGAGCCTACTGAATTCCATGAACAAAACTCCATAACCCCTCGTCCAATTTTGATACATTCTGCATATTCTGACAAATATCCCTGATTTGTGAACTGACAGTAACAGTAACAGCTTGATTTGTTTGTTTGTTTGTTTGTTTGTTTGTTTAACGCAGCCCACATTTATTTTCTACTTGCTTTACAGACTTTGTACAGGAAAATATGTGTTGGTAGGTGAAAAAAATTCAATTCAGATTTTTTTAAACAGCTTTCTTATCCACTACTAACATGTACGAGTAAGCTAGTATGATAAAAAAAAGGTTCAATGTGGGAGAAGAGCCAGCAAACAGCTGTTCTTATAATGCAATCCAAACCTGTCAGCCTAAATGACGAATCAAGCGTGAATAGCGTTGTGCGTCTACATAAAACTAACAGCTGAAAAGCTTTACTCCGCCTTCGCAAGTTGTTTAAAATTGAAATTCCTGGTCGCAAACGAGGCACATTTCATTCATAAATCAGAGTAAAACATAATAGCACTTCCAAACGATAGCAAACATTTCTTGGAAAAGGAATGGTGCGAACATTTCTTGGAAATTTATAGAAGCAAAGTAGTCAGACTATCACCAGACTATCACAGCCCGAAAAAAACACTATATTTCAATGAAATTACGGGTGACCATGTTGCGAGAGAATTCTAATTATTTTCATTTCTGCATAGGCCGGTCCTCAGCATGACCTGGTCGCTTCTTCCTACAAGCATAGGTTGCTGGGGACCAATTCTACAACGGCATCTTCCCGAGGCAGGAGAGTTTAAAAGTCCAGTTTCCACCCTTGCCGAACTAGGCTGGAATTCCTGGGCTCAATCGTAGCGCCACCTATGGCCACCAGAGTTATGTCCTTTCTATGCCTCTCCTATTGACCAATCAGATTCAACCTCTCATATCACTTGCATTTGTTTCAAACAAAAAGGTGGCGCCCAGTCAAGACGATCTGATCGATAATCAAGATCTATATTGTGATAAAACGAGTCTTACATCGCGAAGTGCATCAAATCATGTGAGCACCTTGATTAAAAACATGAAAAGATTTAGAAAATATCTGTTGACGAGTTAGCGGTGCACATGCTTTGCAAATCCTGCAGTCGACCGAAACCTGCATGACACTCTACGAACCGGATTTCGATTTCGGTGCCCGATTTTGATTGGACTATGCATAGACTCGTTAGTCCAGCCAAAATGTAACTCCATAATACCAGCCTAGTTCGGAAAGGGTGGAAACTGGACTTTTATAGTCAGTTAACTCACTTGCCTCAGGAAGATGTACAACGGAAGATCCGCATGGCAAAATCTGTACTCTGCCAACTCTGGGTATAACACAGTCTCGTATGTGTATTCACATTGGTTTCTACAGCACTGGTACCTACTTCGTCCGATTCCCCAAACACATGCCTCCTCTCAGAGTGGCCCAGAATAACCCAAGTGGCTCCGACGTCTTTAATCATGGAAGGACTGCAAATGGAAATATAAGAACTTTAACAAAAACCAACAAGCATATTCCAAATATAACAATCAGGGGGATTCAAAACCCATGACATACATCTCATTTGATCCCAATTCCTGGATCGATGCTCATGATGTCAATCACTGGATTGTCTGGTCCAGACTCGATTATTTACAGACCGCTGTCATATAGCTAGATTATTGCTGAGCGCGGCGTTAAGCAACAAACAAACAAACCCCATAACCATAGGTTTGAAGGGGAAGTGTACACACAAAAATCACTTTCTTTCTTTTTCTAAACAATACGCAATTTTAGAATTAATTAGTATCTGTGTTTGAAAATATACACTCATTTTTTTCACAGTGAACGTAGGAAGCTCACAATAGTGTGAAAATGATATGCCGTTATGAGGCCTTCGTTTTTCGAGCTAAACAGGCCTGAGTTATCCCCCTTAGATTATGACGTAATTGGTGCCAATTCAACTGGGTCCCTGTCTATTCTCAACGCAAAACATATCAAGTACCAGTTTGCGGTAAAACAACATGGCCTACGACACACTCCGGCGCAGTGGTGACTCAGCATAACACTATGCTGGTTGGCATCTGAGACGCTAGAATCACACACCTGGACCTACACCACGTGAAGCGGCTCTAACAAAGCATGATGACGTCATAATGTTTATCAATTGGCACCAATGACGTCATATTGCAAGGGGCATAAGCCATGGTGTTTTTGTTGTGGAAATAGAACACTTGGTAAATGTGAAAAATATAAATCGTTTTAATGCGAAAAATATGTTAATTAATTGTGATATTTTTATATTTTTGTCTATGACACTTCTATGTTAACACTTTTAATGTGGAAAAAGTACAAGAAAAATAGGTTCATTTCCGTGTGAACTTGCCCTTTAAGGCATACCAAAGGGACACAACTCTGCAAAGCAAATTGCAGCACCTTATATTAGACAACTTAGTCAGTTATTACAGCGATGCTATAAGCAGTGATAAGTAGCTGACAAGTGTGGGAAGTCTCTCATTACCTGATTTCTCCGGTGAAGGCTCCCTTCCCAACCTTGTAGCAGTTCTGGGCTGCAACTGCTACATTGGCATTGACCTTTGACCTCACATAATCCAAATATGGTGTAGCAGGGGCAACAATCACCTCTGTAAAGACAACATGAGAATCAGTTTAGTGTGATTGTCTAGTCAACATGATAAGTGCCGGAATGAAATTCAATGAGTGAGTGAGTAAGTGAGTGAGTGAGTGAGTGAGGTCTTACGCCGCTTTTAACAATATTCCAGCAATATCACGGTGGGGGACACCAGAAATGGGCTTCACACATTGTACCCACGTCGGGAATCGAACCCGGGTTATCGGCATGTCGAGCGAACGCTTCAACCACTAGGCTACCAAACCGCCCCTAGAAATTCAATGTATTTTAGTGCCCCTAGCATGGATTATTATATGTTTCCTGTCCCTGAAGCCTGCGGAGGGCACTCTTAGAATTGGTTTTAACAACAAAACCTTGTGACGCAACTATGGTTTTATACCCAGCCGGGTCATGCCACAAGACGTTAAAAGATGGTACTTGATGTCACCCTGCCTGGCGCTTGCAAGTAAGGGGATAAAACATGGACTGGTTGGCTCAGAGCCAGTATACTGTGTCTGAGTGGGGTATCCATGTTAAAATTGCAGCATGGCATCTCAGTACTCTGGCACTTTTTCACCGGCACTTTTTTTAACAAGTTCAAGAAGACACACACACGCTGACCAGTCCTTGTTTGATCTCTTTAAAGCTGAGGGTCAGGCAAGGACACAAGTACCTGCCCCCAAATCAAATACAGGGATCGATATAACTGCTGGTCCACTGGCCTATTGCCAGTTAAAATTACAAAGGGCTTGCTGAAACATAAAGTAGAAGGTATGTTTGGCTAGTGAATTTTTGGTTATGTTTAATTTTTTAATGGGATAATCTCGGTAGAACGACAACCGGATGCGCTATTGTAATGATGTGTACAACAACTTCCTTATTTGCTCATTAATCACCAGGAAATGAGGCAAAAGGAAGCCCAGATTTCCTATCAGAGTGCAGGTGAGGTGAGGTGAAATGGGGTTTAATGTCGCGTCCAAGATTATTGCACTTATATAGCGACGTGTATGTACGTGTATGATTGTGCGTGGCTGCTTGTCCTAGTCCGGACTGATGCCAATTTATAGTGCTAGCTCACTGAGATACCATGCTATATGACGGCTGTCTGTAAAATAATCGAGTCTGGACCAGTGATCGATATCATGAGCATCGATCCACGTAATTGGGATCGATGACATGTATCAACCAAGTCAGTGAGCCTGACAACCCCGATCCCGTTAGTCGCCTTTTACGACAAGAATAGTTGCCTTTTACAGCAAGCACGGGTTGCTGAAGACCTATTCTACCCCGGAATCTTCATGGGTCCAGAATGCAGTGAACTTGCAGAACTATTTCTTAACAATTACCACTAGAATAGTCACTATTAAGGTTACATTCAAAACAGGGGCAGTGGGGAAGCGTAGTGGTTAAAGCATCCACTCGTCACGCCTAGAACCTGGATTGGATTCCAGACATGGGTACAATGTTTGAAGCCCATTTCTGGTGTCCCCTGCCAAGATATTGGTAGAATATTGCTAACAGCAGCGTAAAACTGTACTCTTTCACTCACTCCCTACAATCACAACAAACAGACACATTGAAACTTTATTTTAAGGTTGTTTACTGGATATCAACATAATCAAGTTATACAGATTTCTCCAAAATAAAATACTGGAGCACATTCTCAAGTTTTTCAGGACCCCAGGTAGTAAATTTGGACTCATCCAAGCCCTATATCACACCACAAAATAGTGATGCCACGAAAATATAGAGTTGGCCACCCTTGAGTCGATAATGACAGATACAGGTCTAAATTCAGCATCAATCAATCCTAATTGATGTTTCAAAGACTTAAACACAGAACTAGAAACATATGACATATTTAGTAGGTTAGTTAGCGTGCACCATTACAATCCCTCATAAATTATCTAGGCCTAAAATGATGATCTTGTGTACCATGCTATATAAATAAAAGTGTAAAATTTTAAAAAAAATCACTCATAAGTAATTCCTTGTCATAATATTAATATTGCAGTTCATTGTAATTTGAAATTGGGACACATATCACTCTGAAAGGTACACCTATGAATTTTGGACTACTGACGTGCAGAACGCCACGAAATTATGTGACATCACACTGACAATCATGCTGATATTTCTAAAGTTTTAACCTGCATTTTCGTCGAGGGGTCCAGCGTTGAGAAAAGCAATAATTCCATCAATGCTCGCTTTGTCGCCATTCATTTTCCAGTTGCCACCAACGACAAATTTCCTTTGGCTAGCCATCTTTGTAGAAATATGTTGTGCAGACTCAGAGAAACAAGAGCTACCGGCAAAGTGACCTTGAAGAGTGACTGCGGTCAAGGCCACATTAAACTGGTTCTCTGATGATATACGCTATCTTTCGAAAGACAGGACCGAGTCAAACTTCTAAAACTTCATTTTAACACTGATTTACTGTAAAAAAATATTTGCATTATTTATGAAAACATTCGATCCAGTGAGTAATCAATTTAGACGTGCAAGATATTTCTTTAAAAGCCATGTTTGTCTCTGTCAGTCGGGGATGGTTATTTCGTTTGCCTGATCCGTTTTAGATTTCATGTTTTTGAGTAACCCGCGGGAATATCTGGTAGCAGACAACATTTATGTAAGTTGGATTAGATTTCGTGTTGTATGTATTGTGCAATACTAATTATCAGTATGCATCGCCATTCTACTGGTATACCTCGAAACAGAAATCATTTAGAATCTCATTTAGCATGTTTAGTATAAGTAAATCTCCGATGTTCAGACCAGGTTTGTGACAAGCCGTGAGATCCGATGAGGTCGACAGAAACAAAATCTCTTGTACATAATCAGATTTTAGTGCTCGCTACCTAGATCTATTGACAAAACACTAAAGATATTATTTTAAGGAGATTGTGTAGGGCCATGTCTTGACTGGCTGGAATTAGCTGCGGTAAAAGTAGCCTAGTTGTTACAGGTTAGCGACAAGTCAATTCGGTTTAAAAAATCCCTATGCTGTGGAATAGAGCTAGCTAGAGCTGGCTAGACTTGCTTTTGTATGCATTTCTAGATTATTCTTTTTTTCATAAAATAAATATATTCCACATTCATGGTGCAGGACGGGTCAACTGCAGTATTTGGGTCCCCACTTCGGGGGTTTCCGTAAGGCAACCGCTGCCTTCGGCAGTTTCAGTTTTGGCAGCTTCGCTTATATATAAACGCGCACGCGCAAGTGTGCCGAAATCTGTTAGGAGGCATTTTTTAGCAAAAAGGACCCCAAAAATGAGCTGGATGTGAAAAGTATGGTCTAAAACTCCGCCCCTGTTGTTTGTGGGCGGGACATAAATGACGTAAGACATCACGTGTCTGATCCTGTGACTTTCCTTATATGGACTCGTTACTACGAAAGCAACTTCGCTCATAACTTGTAAATTCCTAAAGTGTGGCTTGTACAAATAAAACAGAGTCGACTTGGCGTACAGTGAAGACATCTTTGCATAGGTATGGGGCGAATGCGGGAATGTATGACAATTATTTTGTTCAAAACATTATCACAAAAGAAATATTTCAGTTGTTCAATTGATCAGTTTCTAAGTTCACCAGCCGTGTTTACATTTATTAAAATTAGGAATCAAAATGATCGTTTAAGAAAAAGATGAAAAAGAAGCAGAAAAAGAAATTGAACTAGGTCTAGATGGATCCACAGACTTAGGTCCTAGAATCTATATGACAGTCAAAACGAATTCAACGTTTCAAATGATTTGTTTGAATGAGAAAGTATCTATCGATGATCATTTTCCTATGAAAATTCACATGCTTTCATGAATGAAGTTATACCATATTGTGATTTATTTGTAAAAGGGGGATCCTCCCTCTTTACCCCTCTTATTTTTCTTTAAAAATGTCATAAAGGTGGGGTTGTACCTGCCTTGAACCCTGCTGTGTTGTCCGCCCAACAAAATATATTGTTCAAGTAACAGAATGAACTTACCGTCATGCGATTTATTTAAAAAAATGGGGGGTGTAACCCCCCTTTACCCCCCATTTTTACTTTAATATTTCGACAAGGGGGGACAAACCCCCCTTGTACCCCCCGTGTGTTGTCTGTGTAAGAAAATACTGAACTGCAGACAGCGTTCGGTAGAAAAATGGCGGCCAACAAATCCTCTCGCTTCGACCGTAAATAACGAACTGCGCATGCGTGGAACGTTTTTCATTCGACAACTTCCATAAACACGTAAAAACGTTCCTTCCGAAGTGGGGACCCAAATGCTGCAGTCTACTATATTTAGGGAGACGGACAGAAATGTATAGTTAGGAATACTGCAGCTAGAATGTGACTACATCACTGAAAACAACACTGATTTGTTTGTTTGTTGTTAAACGCCCCACTCAGCAATTTTCCAGCTATATGACAGCAGTCTTTAAATAATTGAGTCTGGTCCAGACAATCCACTGATTGAGATCATGAGCATCAGTCTCACCAGTTGGGATACGATGACATGCATCAACCTATAGGCCTATATTTGTCCATGCATCAGCGTACCTGACAACCCGATCTTGTTAGTCGTCTTTTACAACCAGCACAGTCTCTTTTTACAGCAAGCATGGGTTGCTGAAGACCTATTCTCTTCCCGAATCTTGTAAAGGCCTATATATGAGTGATGGCTTAGAATTCATTTAATATCATATGGACATTTCAATACATTCTACAGTGTTCAATATGGTGACTTGTACTTATGAACACTTTTTGCTGGAACACTTACACATATTATGTAAGTAATGTGGTATCCGAACTTACAAAAAAAATAAAAATATGTCAATAAATGTTACCAGAAATGAGGTTTTAGATAAATATAGAATACTAAACAAGCTCCCGTGTAATACGGCTTTCGCTCGTCAGATACCAGAACTATTCACTCGTTTCATAAAATTGGTATTACACGGGAGCGAGTTTAGTATTTTATTTATTACTTGACATTTATAACGTTTTTAGAATTATACTGTTGAGTGTGAATAGGCTGACACCTACACGATCCATGGCATAATCCAATTGAGTTTTAACAGAATAATACTTCAAACACGTCAAAAGTTGAAATGTATGAATTTAATACCATACAATGGTCCACCTTTAGAATTCTGGCGTCTGTTCCACAAAATTATCGTAGCACTAAGGTTATCGCAACTCACATACTTTAACTTAGACTAACGACTGTCGTTGCGCTACAATATGATCGCCTTGTGGAACAGGGCCTTGCACCTCAAAGTTTACAATCACGTCACAATACCCGATGACGGAAATTGTGGAATTTTGGTGCAAGACCCATAGGCGAAACAATGCCATGTGACGTCGGCCTAGCAACAAGGTTGCTGGGATCATCGAGTGTGCATAAGCTCCTCTCAGTGATCTATCATCTCCACACGCAATGTCGTTGAATAAGCTAATGGATGTTGAGAGCTTTCAATATTTGTTCATGAAACATGTTCCGAGAGTACATAAAAATAATCTTTTGAATTGCATTTTTACCTCCCAAGTCTTCTAAACTAACATATTTAGTCCTTAAAAATGGCAAATTTCTACTTGTCCTCATGATACCTTAACTATTGGGCAGTTTGTCAAGAACTACAGGACTAGTGCCAGTTTCTAACCCTGCAAAAAAGTTTCCATCACAAACTTAAAAAAGGTCATTGACAAATCTAAATGACTGGTATTTGTTTTGTAAAATTTCATGATAGATTTTACTGTGAATTTGGATCAAAACATTGTAACAATTCCACCGAAAATGTTTAGCATCAAAAACAAACAAAAAACATCCAATATCAGAACAGTTTTGTTATTGGATTATATGTCCTGAGTTAGCTGATAATTAAAATTTTGACTTCAATGTTGCAGAACATATGTCGCTGTGTAGCAACAAGTCAATCTCGTACTCGTTTATAGGGAGCAGCACAGATACAGTTACCCTGGTTACCATGGTTACCACTGCAAGTCTTCACATATACAAACACACATCCCCAGCCAGTAGGACTGCATTGTTTACTGCAATTAACTTTTCAAACGATACGTACTGCAATATTCTTTTCCATGTTAGGGATATTGGGTGAAAATATATAACAAGTTTCATTATGGTTTCTTTCGTTTAACCTAAATTCTACACACAAATTCATTCACCACTGATGTCTGCCTTGAAATTGATTGATAAAACAGTGGAAACGTGAAGTGATGTTTCCTGCAGTATCTGTATCGATGACTACAAAATGGCAGCGACTTACCATGCAGAGTAATAATTATTTTAGTTGGTATGAAATAGGATCTGCATTTACAATCAGTGTCAATCACTTTAGTTCTCAATATATTGCAATACAATTCTTTGCCAATACACAGCCTGTACCAGCTACCCCAACTGTCATGCCTTCAAACCCCCAAATAATTACTGAAAAAAAGGAAAGACCCAGGTAACAACCCTGTACTAAATGAGGTGTAATCACACGATTGAAGTCTTTCCAAGCAGTTTCGGCTGCTAAAGCTTTTGCTGAGTATTCATGTTAAACTGCGGCATGGTATCTCAGTGAGCTAGCACTATAAATCGGCATCAGTCCGGACTAGTACAAGCAGCCACACACACAAACACATGCATGCATGCATGCACGTCGATATATAAGTGCAATAATCTTGGACGCGACGTTAAACCCCATTTCACCTCCCCAATTGAAAGTAAAATAACATGGAAAATTCATTGATGGTCCTAATTCCAGACTCTCTCCGGACCGGGTGACATACGGCAACACTTAAGCATGGGCCCTAGGAGATCAAAGAGATTTCAAGAACTCAACAATTTGCAGCAAGAAAGTGGAGCAACATGTTTGAGGAAACGACCCAAGAAAATGACAAGTCAAAACCAGAAAGACAATAAGGACAAAACAGCTCAATCAGTTGTCGATGAAGCTCGTGAAAATGAAGTCAAAGCCACTGAACTGTCCACAACGTGTCGGAGAATCCTAAATGGTCAGACTGAAGTGAAGCTTGATTTTTCTGTGAGAAAGAAAGAACTATCAATCGCGCCCAACTTGATGTTTCCATATCTTCAGCGAAGCCTCAACTTCATCCACCATCAGTATCAGGCGTCCATCGGTCTTCTCTCACATCCCCGACTCCAGCATGCGCAGGTTAGACAGCACTTGGGGGGTTGTAACCAAGGGGTATTCCCACTCTAAAGATGGTTCCATTTCTTTTGGAGTTAAGGGGGCACGGGTGGCCCAGTCGTCTAAGGCGCTGCGATTCCCTGTGCAGAGTTGCGTCCCTTGGGCACGCCAGAAACCTATGATTGTGGGTTTGAATCCCGGTTCGCCCCGATTATGTTTCTAGGTTTGTCAGCACCATACCCGTGCTCGTGGGTTTCACCGAAGTGGTAAACGTCTGAGACCTGCATCACTTCTGGCTTTCCTCCCACATTAAACTGATGAGCCGTGATATAACTGAAATACTGTTAAAACAAAGCGGCGTTAAACCCAACACACTCACTCACTTTTGGAGTTTATGAATTGTCAGGGGTAGAAATTAACATGTTTAGTCCACTGGTCCTTATAATGATAACATATAGCAAAACCCTTAAAAATGGCAAATTTCTACTAGTCCTTATGATACCTTAACTATTGGGCAGTTGGGCAAGGATTACAGGACTAGTGCCAATTTCAAATGCTGGATATCAATGACTTAGTCCTCTTGTTTGCTTTGCAAAAATATCATAAACTATCCGATATAAGATGACCCTAATGAAATACTGGTGAGATCAACTTACCCATTGTAAAGAGAGTAAAACTTTTGAAAAATGACTAAAGCCGTCATGATGAGACTGTTTCAGGCAAAGCCTTGATCTGTTTCAGGGCGTGGCAGGTCCTGTAGTTAGCATGGTGTCTAACATGCAGCTCTTCCGCACTGGTAGTCCGTTTGACCGTCGAGTGACCGCCATGGCGTGGCACCCCAGCAACCCCAACATTCTGGCAGCTGGTTCCAAAGGCGGAGACATCTACCTCTGGGACATCAACAACATCAACAACAACGACAATTTTATCCCTGGCGTGAGCAGATTTTCTATACATGTGAAGCGTTCAGAACCAAGCATGAAAGTTAGATGGTACTTGTCATTACCATGATGTTAATTTAGGGGGTCCCGGGATTCAAATACTGTCGGAGAAAACCTCTGGAACCCCATGACACCCTTTGTTTCAAGACAGTATGAATTGTTCAAAGTTAGGCGTGAAAGTCACATCGTCCTTGTAATTGCCAAACTAGCTAGGGTACTAAACTCATTTGGGAAAATTTTGTGATATAGTGAAAAATTGGATGTTTTTTATTATTTTATTTTTGTAAATTTTGAAAATTGGGAAATTTTAATTTCAAATTGGGAATTTTTACAGACATTTGCTATGATATCAGCCTGACCAGTTCTAGGTTATCCTTACTGAATGGTAAAAGCTAAAGATTCAGGGGTCCCAAGATTTATGTCCCTAAATAGGAGTAAAACTGATGCAACCCAGAGCCCCCTCAGTTTCAGACACTGCTGTGCCGCATTACTGAACCAGCTTACTTGTTGCAGCCTGTTGGTTATTATTAATATACTGAACTTTACCCTGTGAGGGTTGGACAAGGAGGAGGACTTGAAGCCAGCAAGGGCAGGTCACTGATGACTGTCTGTGTTTCAGATAGGACCTGGGGGATCTATACAGGCCATTAAGTTCTGGCCGTGGAACCACAGGCGCATCATCACTGCCTCCATTGATGGGAGAGTCGTCCTCCAGGACACCGACGGAAGAAAAACAGATGTGTTGTCTGACACCTTCAATTGTCATGAGTAAGTCAGCTGCCTCGCCAGTACCCGCATGTAAGCTGTCATCAACCTACACCTTTGTTTAAACTGTCATGAGTAAGTCAGGTGCCTCGTTGGCCAACACCCTTGTTTAAACTGTCATGAGTAAGTCAGGTGTGTTGTCAGCCAGCATCCTAGTTTAAACTGTCATGAGTAAGTCAGGTGCCTCGTCGGCCAACACCCTTGTTTAAACTGTCATGAGTAAGTCAGGTGTCTCGTCAGCCAACACCCTTGTTTAAACTGTCATGAGTAAGTCAGGTGTCTCATCAGCCAACACCCTTGTTTAAACTGTCATTAGTAAGTCAGGTGCCTCGTTGGCCAACACCCTTGTTTAAACTGTCATTAGTAAGTCAGGTGCCTCGTTGGCCAACACCCTTGTTTAAACTGTCATTTGTAGGTCAGGTGCCTTGTCGTCCAGTCCCCTTGTGTAAACTGTCATGAGTAAGTCAGGTGCCTCCTTGGCCAACACCCTTGTTTAAACTGTCATGAGTAATTCTGGTGCCTCGTTGGCCAACACCCTTGTTTAAACTGTCATTAGTAAGTCAGGTGCCTCGTTGGCCAACACCCTTGTTTAAACTGTCATGAGTAAGTCAGGTGCTTCGTTGGCCAACACCCTTGCTTAAACTGTCATTAGTAAGTCAGGTGCCTCGTTGGCCAACACCCTTGTTTAAACTGTCATTAGTAAGTCAGGTGCCTCGTTGGCCAACACCCTCGTTTAAACTGTCATTTGTAGGTCAGGTGCCTCGTTGGCCAACACCCTTGTGTAAACTGTCATGAGTAAGTCAGGTGTCTCGTCAGCCAACCCCCTTGTTTAAACTGTCGTGAGTAAGTCTGGTGCATTGTCAGCCAATCCCCTTGTTTAAACTTTCGTTAGTAAGTGAGGTGTCTCGTCAGCCAACACCCTTGCTTAAACTGTCATGAGTAAGTCAGGTGCCTCGTTGGCCAACACCCTTGTTTAAACTGTCATTAGTAAGTCAGGTGCCTCGTTGGCCAACACCCTTGTTTAAACTGTCATGAGTAAGTCTGGTGCATTGTCAGCCAATCCCCTTGTTTAAACTTTCGTTAGTAAGTGAGGTGTCTCGTCAGCCAACACCCTTGCTTAAACTGTCATGAGTAAGTCAGGTGTCTCGTCAGCCAACCCCCTTGTTTAAACTGTCGTAAGTCAGGTGTCTCGTCAGCCAACCCCCTTGTTTAAACTGTCATTAGTAAGTCAGGTGCCTCGTTGGCCAACACCCTTGTTTAAACTGTCATTTGTAGGTCAGGTGCCTCGTTGGCCAACACCCTTGTGTAAACTGTCATGAGTAAGTCAGGTGTCTCGTCAGCCAACCCCCTTGTTTAAATTGTCGTGAGTAAGTCTGGTGCATTGTCAGCCAATCCCCTTGTTTAAACTTTCGTTAGTAAGTGAGGTGTCTCGTCAGCCAACACCCTTGCTTAAACTGTCATGAGTAAGTCAGGTGCCTCGTTGGCCAACACCCTTGTTTAAACTGTCATTAGTAAGTCAGGTGCCTCGTTGGCCAACACCCTTGTTTAAACTGTCATGAGTAAGTCTGGTGCATTGTCAGCCAATCCCCTTGTTTAAACTTTCGTTAGTAAGTGAGGTGTCTCGTCAGCCAACACCCCTGCTTAAACTGTCATGAGTAAGTCAGGTGTCTCGTCAGCCAACCCCCTTGTTTAAACTGTCGTAAGTCAGGTGTCTCGTCAGCCAACCCCCTTGTTTAAACTGTCGTGAGTAAGTCAGGTGTCTCGTCAGCCAACACCCTTGTTTAAACTGTCATTAGTTAGTCAGGTGCCTCGTTGGCCAACACCCTTGTTTAAACTGTCATTAGTAAGTCAGGTGCCTCGTTGGCCAACACCCTTGTTTAAACTGTCATGAGTAAGTCAGGTGTCTCGTCAGCCAACCCCCTTGTGTAAACTGTCGTGAGTAAGTCAGGTGTCTCGTCAGCCAACACCCTTGTTTAAACTGTCGTGAGTAAGTCAGGTGTCTCGTCAGCCAACACCCTTGTTTAAACTGTCATGAGTAAGTCTGGTGCATTGTCAGCCAATCCCCTTGTTTAAACTTTCGTTAGTAAGTGAGGTGTCTCGTCAGCCAACACCCTTGCTTAAACTGTCATGAGTAAGTCAGGTGTCTCGTCAGCCAACCCCCTTGTTTAAACTGTCGTGAGTAAGTCAGGTGTCTCGTCAGCCAACCCCCTTGTTTAAACTGTCGTAAGTAAGTCAGGTGTCTCGTCAGCCAACACCCTTGTTTAAACTGTCATTAGTTAGTCAGGTGCCTCGTTGGCCAACACCCTTGTTTAAACTGTCATTAGTTAGTCAGGTGCCTCGTTGGCCAACACCCTTGTTTAAACTGTAATGAGTAAGTCAGGTGTCTCGACAGCCAACACCCTTGCTTAAACTGTCATGAGTAAGTCAGGTGCCTTGTCAGCCAATCCCCTTGTTTAAAATGTCATGAGTAAGTCAGGTGCCTCGTCAGCACCCTCTTTTAAGCTGTCATCAACCAACTCCCTAGTTTGAGCTGTCATGAGTTAGTCGTTCAAAGACTAGGTATGAATCTGACTTTCAATTTAGCCACCAATATTTCAATCTTTTCTATATGTTTCGAATTTTATAATTGTAATATCCTCTTCAGGGTTAGAAATTGGAACTAGTCCTGTAGTCCTTGCCAAAGTGCCCAATAGTTAAGGTATCATAAGAACAAGTAGAAACTACCATATTAAGGGTTTTGCTATATGTATCATTTTAAGGACTCTTGGACTAAACGTGAGTTTCTACCGCTGCTCATGAGTCAGAGCTGTTCTGCCACAAGAGTTTTAACATACAGACAGCAAGTCTGACAGGAGCTCCATGCATGTTTCAGCTTCTGGTACTGCTCTGTGGACGTGAGCCAGGCACGGAAGGTGGTGGTTGTCGGGGACAACGTGGGCAACACGCAGCTGTTGTCTCACGAGGGGAAGAAGGTGAGACGGGTCATAGGCTCGGTGACAAGGAAAGGACAACTCTCTTAGTGAGCCTGTTTAAGCGACGTTCACTAAGTTTAAAGATTGATTAAGTATATTCATGTTATGTGCAAACTTTAATTCAGAAGGAAGCATTTAGCATAATAATTCAGGGATAATTCTAGAAAGGACCCTTGGGCTTTTCCCCCGTAAATAAAAAAAAGGGCAGTGGGGCTTTATAACATTGTATTACATAGGCATGCATAGACATTGTTCCAAATTCTACTTAACAGTGCTAAATGGGCCAACATCAGAAATTTGGAATGATCCCTGATTATTGGTGACTTGTCACACTCTCACAAGAAACATTTGTATCCCTGACAATATTTTAATGAGAAACATCTTCCTGTCAATCATTTGAAACAAATGGTCCTCCATCACACTTCAGTCTCCATGCCCATCTCTATGGATTATGTCAGCCACAAATATTTACGTCAGTCGTGTAAACCACAAATATTTACATCAGTCGTGTGTCAGCCACAAATATTTACGTCAGTCGTGTAAACCACAAACATTCACATCAGTCGTGTGTCAGCCACAAATATTCACATCAGTCGTGTGTCAGCCACAAACATTCTCATCAGTCGTGTGTAAACCACAATCATTCAAATCAATCCATTTGTAAACAATTAGGTATGAACAAAAACATATTGAGAATGTTGCCGCTATTGCTAGTCACCAAGCACAAAAGGACAGGTGACACAATATTCGATACATGGCTAAATGGATTGCATCATACACAAGATATTAGAGTCTTTCAGTTTCTAGCAGAGAGTTAGTCATGCATGTGGATCATCTGATAGTGGTTTTCAGGCCATGCTTTACTACCTCAACATTGACATTACGCTGTGCATTGAGTCTATAGATGCAAATGATGACATGATTAACCTTGGTTCCAAAGTATATTTTGAGTTTTAATGTTTTCCTGTGTCTCAAATAATATCATTAAACATACGGGCTTGCTGTTCCAACCCTGAATCATGAGTGAAGATTAAATGACAATTTATTTTGTGTATATGTCGATCTTTCTTCAACATTATGATTTGTAATAACATAACTGATCTCTATCAGATCTGGAACCACAAGCTACACAAGGGCAAGGTCACCCACGCAGAGTTCTCCCCTCGGGAAGACTGGTCGTTGTGTACTGCTTCCATCGATCACACCGTCAAGCTGTGGGACGTACGCATGATCAAGGACAAGAAGAGCGCCCTCTGTGTTCTGCAACATGACAAGGGAGTTAACTCTGGTATGTCTAGTTTGAAGACACACTGTGAAGGTAATAGCGACAAGTCAAAGATTTCTCATGTTTGGCACCTTGAGACTGTAGCCCACTTCAACCCTGGCGATGCTATCAGCCCTAATATTTACTGGCTTGCTATTCAACCCAGTAGTCAATCACTCACCCAGCAGTATATATGACATCTTCCCGAGGCAAGTGAGTTAACTGACTATAAAAGTCCAGTTCCTACCCTTGCCGAACTAGGATGGTATTATGGAGTTACATTTTGGCTGAACTAACGAGTCTATGCATAGTCCAATCAAAATCGGGCACCGAAATCGAAATCCGGTTCATAAAGTGTTATGCAGATTTCGGTCGACTGCAGGATTTGCAAAGCATGTGCACCGCTAACTCGTTGTCAACAGATATTTTCTAAATCTTTTCATGTTTTTAATCAAGGTGCTCACGTGATTTGATGCACTTCGCGATGTAAGACGCGTTTTATCACAATATAGATCTTGATTATTGATCAGATTGTCTTGACTTGGCGCCACCGATTGTTAGAAGCAAATGCAAGTCATACGAGAGGTTAAATCTGATTGGTCAATAGGAGAGGCATAGAAAGGACATAACTCTGGACTCTGGACTCTGGACTCTGGACTCTAGCCACTGGTGGCGCTACGATCGAGCCCAGGAATTCCAGCCTAGTTTGGCAAGGGTGGAAACTGGACTTTTAAAGTCAGTTAACTCTCTTGCCTCGGGAATAGTGAGTGAGTGAGTGAGTGAATGAGTGAGAGAGTAAATGGTTTTACACCACTTTTAGCAATATTCCAGCAATATCACAGCAGGGGACACCTGAAATGGGCTTCACACATTGTACCCGTGTCGGGATTCGAACCTGGGTCTTCGGCGTGACGAGCGAACGCTTTAACCACCAGGCTACCCGACCGCCCCCAGCAGTATATGAACCATAAGTACAAGCTCTGTATGTTTGTTTGATTCAGTGTACTTCAATCCATCTGATGGCTGCCGACTCCTCACCACTGACCAGGGATCTGAGATCCGCGTGTATCGGGCTCCTGAGTGGAGCCTTGAAAGGACAATACCACACCCACATCGCTTCTTCCAGCACATCACACCCATCAAGGTAGAGACATGTCAAGGGGGGATAATGTAATAGCCTGGTACATCACATCACACCAAACATGATAGGGACATGTCAAGGGGGAATAATGTAATAGCCTGGTACATCACATCACACCAAACATGATACAGACATGTCAAAAGGGGGATAATGTGATAGCCTGGTACATCACACTGAACATGATAGGGACATGTCAAGGGGGGATAATGTGATAGCTTGGTACATCACACCGAACATGATAGGGACATGTCAAGGGGGGATAATGTAATGGCCTGACACATCACATCACACCAAACATGATAGGGACATGTCAAGGGGGGATAGTGTAATCACCTGACACATCACATCACACCAAACATGATAGGCACATGTCAAGGGGGATAATATAATCGCCTGGTACATCACACTGGACATGATAGGGACATGTCAAGGGGGGGATAATATAAGAGCCTAGTACATCACACTGGACATGATATGGACATGTCAAGGGGGGATAGTGTAATCGCCTGACACATCACATCACATCGTACATGATAAGGACCTGTCAAGGGGGGATAGTGTAATAGGAGCAAGAGAGCAATATGTTTTGAACTAAGGACTGCTTGTTTGTTTGTGTGCAGGCATCGTGGCACCCCCTCCTGGACCTGATCGTGGTGGGCCGCTACCCTGACAAGACATTCCCCGGCTACACGAGCGGTGAGAGGCGAACAATCGATGTGTTCGATGCAAACACAGGGGCTACAGTGTGTCAGCTGCATGACCCATCAGCACCAGGGATAGTCTCGGTGAGGGCTGGATGTCATGCCATCCTTATCCTTGGTATGCAATATTATGTTTAACTGTATAGAGGGAAAAGGCAGCAATAAGTCTAAGGGATGCAACACTACACAACAAATTGCATCACTTTAGATATGTGGCTACCCATGTCCCCAGCACACACTTCACCTTGTTCTGTATTCAAAACATTCAAAATGTTTGTATTTTTCAGTTGAACAAATTCAGCCCAGATGGAGATAAGCTAGCTTCAGGCATGGGTGAGTGAATCCACTGATTGTCAAATGTTTTTTGTTTAGAAAATATGTTTTGGTATCGCACTCAGCAATATTCCTGGCGATCTATAAATAATCGAGTCTGGACCAGACAATCCAGTGATTGATATCATGAGAATCGATCCACACAATTGGGATCGATGACATGCATCAACCAAGTCAGCAAGCCTGACCACCCGATCCCGTTAGTCGCCATTTACGGCAAGCATGGGTTGCTGAAAACCTATTCTACCGCGGATCTTCAGGGGTCCTGAGAGGTTTTAGGAACATTTGCATTCGAGGGTGAGATTGGAAAATCTAAGATCCTCCGCAATGTCATGCCCAAAGATTTTAAAATATGGTACTTATTGTTACCCAACTTGGTGCTTGGGATAAAACATAGACTGGTCAGCTTGGAGTCAAATTACTGTGTCTGTGTGCGGCTTGAATCTCATCTCAACATTTTAAAACCACCATCGTATTTTACTAGTACTCATCTCCCCCCACCTCACCTCACCTATCCATGTCCTGTATCGTGACCTTAGAGCTCCAATAACTCCAATGACATATGTATACAAATTAGATACTGTAAATCAGGAGGTTTTGTGCGAGCACAAATTTGATGAGGAAAATGGGAATGTCGCTTGTTGGATGAGAAGTAATAGTTCACAATAAACAATGTAAATAAGTGCTAGATTTAGACAGTGCTAGCTGGTGTTGACTCACTGACTAAATCCTGAATATTTCAGGTGTGAACATCCTGGTGTGGTGTTGACGAACTGGCTGAATCCCGACTTTCAGTTGTGAACCTCCTAGTGTGGTGTTGACTCACTGACTGAATCCCGACTGCTTCAGGTGTGAACATCCTGGTGTGGTGTTGACTAACTGGCTGAATCCCGACTTTCAGTTGTGAACCTCCTAGTGTGGTGTTGACTCACTGACTGAATCCCGACTATTTCAGGTGTAAACATCCTGGTGTGGTGTTGACTCACTGACTGAATCCTGACTATTTCAGGTGTGAACATTCTAGTTTGGTGTTGACTCACTGACTGAATCCCGACTATTTCAGGAGTGAACATCCTAGTGTGGTGTTGACTCACTGACTGAATCCCGACTATTTCCGGTGTAAACATCCTGGTGTGGTGTTGACTCACTGACTGAATCCCGACTGTTTCAGGTGTGAACATCCTAGTGTGGTGTTGACTCACTGACTGAATCCCGACTGTTTCAGGTGTGAACATCCTAGTGTGGTGTTACTCACTGACTGAATCCCGACTGTTTCAGGTGTGAACATCCTAGACTGGTGTTACTCACTGACTGAATCCTGACTATTTCAGGTGTGAACCTCTTCCTAGTGTCTCTGTTGACTCACTGACTGAATCCCGACTATTTCAGGTGTGAACATCCTGGTGTGGTGTTGACTCACTGACTGAATCCTGACTGTTTCAAGTGTGAACATCCTGGTGTGGTGTTACTCACTGACTGAATCCCGACTGTTTCAGGTGTGAACATCCTAGTGTGGTGTTACTCACTGACTGAATCCCGACTGTTTCAGGTGTGAACATCCTAGTGTGGTGTTACTCACTGACTGAATCCCGACTATTTCAGGTGTGAACATCCTGGTGTGGTGTTGACTCACTGACTGAATCCCGACTATTTCAGGTGTGAACATCCTAGTGTGGTGCCGACAGGGAGAATCGGAGACAAAGCAGCAGGTCCTGCTTCAGAAATACAAGCAGGGAATCAGCTCGTCATCAGACTCCTCACAGAGACAACCGAAAAAAAGAAAACCAACAAACAAACAGACCAAGTCCAAATCTTTAAAAGACACTGCTGAGCTAAAAACGAAGCTAAAAACAAAAACAAAGAAACTATGAATGTTCTTTGCGTGTCTGTAAATAATCCAATCTGGGCCACATAAATTCGTTTGTGACTCCTTACAGCAAGCATGGGTCACTGAAAATCAAGACAAACATGGATCTTCATTGTGCATCCTGATGTGTCAAAGTAGCCTTAAATAAAACTCACTGCCACTGTCTTCCTCTTCTTTGTCTTTCATTACTGAAAAAGTTTTGTAAGTGAGTCATACCATGTCAGTTTTGTACCAGTAATGGGATCAGATTGCTAGATGGAACAGTGCTTGCAGTGCTGTAAGAAATCGCAAGGAGGGGTGGAAACACAATATGTCTGGGCCCTATTCCACAAAGCTATCGTAGCGCTACGACAGTCGTAAGTGTATGTTAAAGTATAGGAGTTGCGATCATAAGTTTTGTGCCAGTAATGGGATCAGATTGCTAGATGGAACAGTGCTTGAAGTGCTGTAAGAAATCGCAAGGAGTGGTGGAAATACTAGATGCCTGAATAGTTTTTTTTGCACCTGCATTTGCTCTGCTGACAAGTCGCTGTTAGCGGTAATAGTGGCTTTGAGGGGCTGAAACAAGGACTGGTTGACTCGGAGACTGTATACTGTGTCTGTGTGGGGTATTCATGTTGAACTGTGGCATGGTGTCTCTGTGGTCTAGCACTCTAAAATGGTCATTAGTCCTGACTAGTACAAGCAGCCACACACGTGCAAGCACGTAGCTATAGAAGTGCAATGATCTTGGACGCGAAGTTAAAGCTTCTCCTCCAAGATACATTCTTGGTATGTGAGTACATACAGACTGCCACCTGTTTTCACTTTCACTTTCCATATTGGTGGCAGTTCTGTCTCCAGACCTACCATTGATCCACCTTGCACCAACCCAGGGCCAGCTGGTCCTCTTTCAGCAGGGGACCCGTGAAGATCCGGGGTAGAAAAGATCTTCAGCAACCCATGCTTGCCGTAAAAGGCGACTATGCTTGTCGTAAAAGGCGACTAACAGGATCGGGTGGTCAGGCTCGCTGACTTGGTGGATGCATGTCATTGATCCCAATTGCGTGGATCGATGCTCATGATATTAATCACTGGATTGTCTGGTCCAGAATCGATTATTTACGGACCGCCGTCATATAGCTGCAATATTGCTGAGTGAGGAGTTAAACAACAAACCAACCAACCAATCTTTCAGCAGGTAGATATTTGTCATGTACTAGTTCCGACAGATCATGTAAAGGCCTGTTCAATCTTTGACACTGCCTGTTCCCTTGAGTATGATAAGGCGTTATCCTCCTATCCTTTTTATTGCTTCCAGAGACCATATATAGAGGATATTATATTCGTGTTCATGTCATACTATGTTTACGGCCTCAGCTTTGTTTTTTTTGTCGTTGACATAGTATTACATGAACACGAATATAATGTTCTATTTATTGTCTACATACAGAGAGAAATTTTAGTGTTGACCTCTTAGGACAGCAAGTCGCAACAGCAGCGGAACCACAATTTGTTGAATGACGTTAACAATCTTGAGCTATGACGTCGTTTCTAGTGTGACGTCATTCTGACCTCACGTCACAATAATATTCGAATGACGTCAACACTGCCGTCCGGATGATACAATACACTGTTGTGATATGGCGCGTAGGATTTTTATGAACCCCTCGTAGGTAATAATTTGTTTTATTATGCTTCAAAGTGAGATTGACCAATCAGAGAGCAGAACTTCTGACCCCACTTGACCCCGTATACCGTCAGTAAAAATCCAAGATGGTTGTTACTGACCTAATATGAGACTGTATACCGTCAGTAACAGCCATTTTGGATTTTCCAACAACCACTTCACATATTTAACGTGAAAATTCTGGTACAGAAATTCGTTATTCGACACTGTTTTGTGATTTAATATCATTAATTCTGATGTGCAAGGACGTTAATGCTTTTGGTTTTTTATCACGTTGGCAACTTTAATAAAGTTTATATAGAAAGTTAAAGTAAGGTTTGGCCTCTGAGGTTTGAAGAGTAGTCTCCCTTTGACCCTTAACATCTCAGGTTGTAAGTTTTGAGTTTTAAGTTTTGACATGACATGTGCGACAAAGATACCAAATAGTGTAAACTTATCGGCATAATTAATTCGTCATGGTGTCTTTAATTGCCGTATACAGTGTCATAATAAGGGGGCACGGGTGGCCCAGTCGTCTAAGGCGCCGCGATTCGCTGTACAGAGTTGCGTCCCTTGGGCACGCCAGAAACCTATGATGGTGGGTTCGAATCCCGGTTCGCCCCGGGAACTAGGTTTGTCAGCGCCATATCCGTGCTCGTGTGTTTCACCGAAGTGGTAAACGTCTGAGACCTGCATCACTTCGGGCTTTCCTCCCACATTAAGCTGACACGCCGCGATATAACTGGAATAGTGTTAAAAGCAGCGTTAAACCCAACTCACACACTATTATAAAATGCCACCGTATACGGCAACTAAAGACACCATAAGTAATAATATGGTCTCTGATGCTTAACGATCAGCTTCAGGGTCCTGTATTATCATGATTCCATCTCTATAAGAGCACCAAACCTGGAAAACATTCTTTTAATTGATTACTCAACCAACAACATCATTTTTGGCTGTTTGGTCATTGTTGTTCAGCAATGGTGAAATTGGTCATGACATGAATATCCTCTTTGTGCTCAGATAATGGTTGCATCAAGGTAAAGCCAATATAGCTGGAACCTAAAATGGTTTTAATTTTAGGCAGGCATCTGTCACATGTTTGGCCACATGACTCATTTTCAGAGTACCACAACCACCAGAGGCAACGACTCCTGACAAGTTGTCTTGCTTGTCCATTTCATCATTTGAGCTTTGAATAACACCATGATTTATTAATTGTGACAACTGTTGGAAAGGGTTTGAGACGCCTTAACTTCGCTTACGTTTTTGGCTCCTTGATCCTGTTGAATCCTATTTTTGTGTGAGAAATGTGTTTAATTCAATGAACGCAAGTCATTCCTTTGATTTCCACAATCGAAATCCCGCAATAAGTTTAGATTAGGCTTCATAGATGACAAAGGGGCGGTCGGGTAGCCTAGTGGTTAAAGCGTTCGCTCGTCACGCCGAAGACCCGGGTTCGATTCCCGACATGGGTACAATGTGTGAAGCCCATTTCTGGTGTCCCCCGCCGTGATATTGCTGGAATATTGCTAAAAGCGGCGTAAAACCATACTCACTCACTCACTCACTCATAGAAGACAAATTCAAACGGCGCGTTCGTGTGAGAAGAGTGAGTGAGCGTGGTTTTACGCTGGATTTTAGCAACAATCCAGCAATATCATCCCCAGTGCATTATGCTTGACATAATATGTTACTATAATAGTCAGCTCTGAGACCCCTGAGCGGCACGGGTGGCCCAGTCGTCTAAGGCGCCGCGATTCGCTGTGCAGAGTTGCGTCCCTTGGGTACGCCAGAAACCTATGATTATAGGTTTGAATCCCGGTTCGCCCAAATTATGTTTCTAGGTTTGTCAGCACAATACCCGTGCTCGTGGGTTTCACCGAAATGGTAAACGTCTGAGACCTGCATCACTTCGGGCTTTCCTCCCACATCAAGCTGACACGCCGTGATATAACTGGAATACTGTTTAAAGCGACGTTAAACCCAACTCACTCACTCACTCACTCTTAGACCCCGTTGGCGTGGATCGTACCTTATTCGTTCAGATTTGCCTGACCAGACTCATTATTTACAGGTGACAGAGGGTAAACAACATTCACTCACTACTATCAGGATTTCCTCTACTAAATAACCTATGGCCCCCACATCATAACGATGTCTAAGTTTGTTTGTTGCCGATGTATTCCCACCCCACCACCACCATACAGTTCGTGACACACACAGTGAGTGACAGTTTTGTTTTACGCCGCTTTGAACAGAATTTTAGTTATATGACGGCGGACCCGTGAAGTTCCGGGATTGAATAGGTCTTCAGCAACCCATGCTTGCCGTAAAAGGCGACTATGCTTGTCGTAAAAGGCGACTAACGGGATCGGGTGGTCAGGCTCGCTGAATTGGTTGATGCATGTCATCGATCCCAATTGCGTGGATCGATGCTCATAATATTAATCACTGGATTGTCTGGTCCAGACTCGATTATTTACAGACCGCCGTCATACAGCTGTATTATTGCTGAGTGCGGCGTTAAACGACAAACCAACAAACCAACAAACCAATTATATGACGGCGTGTCAGCTTAATGTGGGCGCAATGCCCGACGTGATACAGGTGTTAGATATTCACCACTTTGGTCCATTATCCACAGAAGTTCATTGTATTGTGCCGGGTTGTTGACTGCAGTGTTGAACAAACATTCACTCACTCACGCAGTTTTTAGGGTTACTCTTAAATCATTTTACATAGATTTAATTGTATACACGTGTTTTCCCGATTTATTCACACCACGACAATGATATACAGTTCGTTACACAAGGATAATTTAATTCTATGCACGCGGGAAAAATGATGTGTCACTCTGCAAGCTGCTGCCATGCCCTATTACAGATACAGTTTATAATTAATTACCCAGCTTTAGTATTAAAAGCAAACTGTCGCTCAGAATTAAACTGAGGACCAAAAAAACCCGAGGTTTTATATTTAATTGAAAATTTAAATAACTTAAATTTGATAACGTACAACCCAGCGTACATCCCCTGTAGAAGCCCCGTGTTATATATACATGACTTGCGGCTTGGGATAACATATGTCTAATACAAAACAATATTAAACTTCCGGTCTAGTGACATGACTTGCGGCTTGGGATAACATATGTCTAATACAAAACAATATTAAACTTCCGGTCTAGTGACATGACTTCCGGCTTGGAATAACATATGTCTAATACAAAACAATATTAAACTTCCGGTCTAGTGACATGACTTGCGGCTTGGGATAACATATGTCTAATACAAAACAATATTAAACTTCCGGTCTAGTGACATGACTTCCGGCTTGGGATAACATATGTCTAATACAAAACAATATTAAACTTCCGGTCTAGTGACATGACTTGCGGCTTGGGATAACATATGTCTAATACAAAACAATATTAAACTTCCGGTCTAGTGACATGACTTCCGGCTTGGAATAACATATGTCTAATACAAAACAATATTAAACTTCTGGTCTAGTGACATGACTTCCGGCTTGGAATAACATATGTCTAATACAAAACAATATTAAACTTCCGGTCTAGTGACATGACTTGCGGCTTGGGATAACATATGTCTAATACAAAACAATATTAAACTTCCGGTCTAGTGACATGACTTGCGGCTTGGGATAACATATGTCTAATACAAAACAATATTAAACTTCCGGTCTAGTGACATGACTTGCGGCTTGGGATAACATATGTCTAATACAAAACAATATTAAACTTCCGGTCTAGTGACATGACTTCCGGCTTGGGATAACATATGTCTAATAGAAAACAATATTAAACTTCCGGTCTAGTGACATGACTTGCGGCTTGGGATAACATATGTCTAATACAAAACAATATTAAACTTCCGGTCTAGTGACATGACTTCCGGCTTGGAATAACATATGTCTAATACAAAACAATATTAAACTTCCGGTCTAGTGACATGACTTGCGGCTTGGAATAACATATGTCTAATACAAAACAATATTAAACTTCCGGTCTAGTGACATGACTTCCGGCTTGGAATAACATATGTCTAATACAAAACAATATTAAACTTCCGGTCTAGTGACATGACTTGCGGCTTGGGATAACATATGTCTAATACAAAACAATATTAAACTTCCGGTCTAGTGACATGACTTGCGGCTTGGGATATCATATGTTTAATACAAAACAATATTAAACTTCCGGTCTAGTGACATGACTTCCGGTTTGGGATAACATATGTCTAATACAAAACAATATTAAACTTCCGGTCTAGTGACATGACTTGCGGCTTGGGATATCATATGTCTAATACAAAACAATATTAAACTTCCGGTCTAGTGACATGACTTGCGGCTTGGAATAACATATGTCTAATACAAAACAATATTAAACTTCCGGTCTAGTGACATGACTTGCGGCTTGGGATAACATATGTCTAAGACAAAACAATGTTAAACAAAATTCTCATTGCTCTAACAATATTAAACTTCCGGTCTAGTGACATGACTTGAGGCTTGGGATAACATATGTCTAATACAAAACAATATTAAACTTCCGGTCTAGTGACATGACTTGCGGCTTGGGATAACATATGTCTAATACAAAACAATGTTAAACAAAAATCTCATTGCTCTAACAATATTAAACTTCCGGTCTAGTGACATGACTTCCGGCTTGGGAAAAGAGTGAGTGAGTGAGTTGGGTTTAGCGCAGCTTTTAACACTATTCCAGTTATATCACGGCGTGTCAGCTTAATGTGGGAGGAAAGCCCGAAGTGATGCAGGTCTCAGACGTTTACCACTTCGGTGAAACCCACGAGCACGGGTATGGTGCTAACAAACCTAGAAACATAATCGGTGCGAACCGGGATTCGATCCCACAATCTTAGGTTTCTGGCGTGCCCAAGGGACGCAACTCTGCACAGCGAATCGCGGCGCCTTAGACGACTGGGCCACCCGTGCCCCCTTGGGAAAAGATATGTCTGATACAAACAATGTCATCCACGAAAAGTTAGTCCTTGTTCCTGATTAATGCTCTGTCTACAAACAGTTACATCTCTGTCTTCAAATCTTCAGGGCAATGTGTCAAAAGTGAAAGTCCATTTCATCTGTAGTTAACTGAAAAAACAGTATGTGAAATGCTGGACATCTCACAAATGTGTCATGTGTCTATGTGTCATTTTGATCATTCCTTGCCGTAGATTCACCCACCTGAACTAAAAATTAAGAGAGAGAGAGAGAGAGAGAGAGTATGTGTGTGTGTTTGTTTTTTTGGTTTTGTGTGTTGTTTAACGCTGCACTCAGCATGTTCTTTCAGGTGAACAATTTACTTGCCTGTGCATGTGTTTGTGACGGATGCCAACAATGGATACGCCCACCTTTTCGCGAACATCTGGTATCATCCCAATTTGATAATGATTCATATAGGCATGCTTATGCCAGGACACAAGCGTGTGACAGGTAGGGTTGTGTGTGTCTGGTATGCTGTGTGTGCCTGATAGTCACTATATGGCTGAAATATTGCCGATGTGACTTAAAATATTAACTCACTCACTCACTTTGTGTGCCTGGCATGTTGTGCGTGTTTGGTAGGGTTGTGTGTATCTGGTAGGTTGTATCTGGTAGGTTTGGGTGATGTAGGTCGGTGTTGGTCAGTGTTGATGGTTGTTTTTAGCAATGATGGGGCAGCAGGGCGTGGACGTACATTGTATTACGGTCAGTGAGCGCCGGGTCAGCATCTGTGACGGGATCTCTGTATCTGGAGATTGAGCCCCGGCTCCGACTGATCACCAGCTTCCAGCAATTGGTGATGGCAGATTGGTCAGTAACTCCACAGCTGATAGCAGGAGATTGGACTTCGCCCACTTGTAGATCAGTATGGATATAGGAGGCACAGTTGTCTTGTGCGGCACAATTCACTGGGAAAAGTTGTGTCCCTTTGGTGTGTCAGAATCCTATGATCATCATTTAGAATCCCAGCACCATCCCATTAATAGAATGTCAGCACAATCAACGAGCTGGTGTGAGATCACCCAAGTTCAAAACGTCAAATAATAATATCCGACTCCAAGCCGACTTGACAAGCTTCATACCATCATGAGGCGGACTTGACAAGCTTCATACCAACTTGAAGAGAGAGGAATTGACAAGCTTCATACCATCATGAGGCGGACTTGACAAGCTTCATACCATCATGAGGCGGACTTGACAAGCTTCATACCATCATGAGGCGGACTTGACAAGCTTCATACCAACTTGAAGAGAGAGGAATTGACAAGCTTCATACCATCATGAGGCGGACTTGACAAGCTTCATACCATCATTAGGCGGACTTGACAAGCTTCATACCATCATGAGGCGGACTTGACAAGCTTCATACCAACTTGAAGAGAGAGGAATTGACAAGCTTCATACCATCATGAGGCGGACTTGACAAGCTTCATACCATCATTAGGCGGACTTGACAAGCTTCATACCATCATGAGGCGGACTTGACAAGCTTCATACCAACTTGAAGAGAGAGGAATTGACAAGCTTCATACCAACTTGAAGAGAGCGGATTTGACAAGCTTTATTTCAACATGAGGCGGACTTGACACGGAGGAGGTCAAGAAACCACGACCTACCGCTCTCCTGACAGACGCTCTACCACTAGACCACGGAGGAGGTCAAGAATCCCCGACCTACCGCCCTCCAGACTGACGCTCTACCACTAGACCACGGAGGAGGTCAAGTATCCACGATCGACATGATGCGCAAAATCATTTATTCAAATATAACAAACAACATCAGTACATAAAACACTACGATATTGCTGTCCAGCTGGTGACCTTTGTGTCTGCAGCAGTATTATTAATAAAATAAAAACAGCTGTCAATATCTTAATTCTTTTCCACATATATTTTTCAGACTGCAATCTAATAGGAATTTATTTATTTAACATTTATTTTCTTACAGACTACCAGGGACTTCTGAAGAGAATGGAATTATCACAAATGACCTCGAGTGTAAATACAGTAAACTACGGTTATAACGAACACGCTTATAACGAACTGACGGATATAACGAACTTACTTTTTGGTCCCGACTACTTGCTGTAGTCATGCTGTATATGTACATATAACGAACTACGGTTATAACGAACTAAAATTAGTAGTCCCTTTGAGTTCGTTATAACCGTAGTTTACTGTATATTAATGGCCACACGACCCCCGGGGCAGTTGTAAATACTTTCACATACTAAGACAAAATCACATTTAATGCAACAAGATATCACAACGATCAAGATTACATCATGATTACGACCGTGAAGATCCGGGAACAGAAATATAACTTCAGCAACCCATGCTTGCCGTAAAAGGTGACTATGTTTGTCGTAAAAGGCGACTAACGGGATCGGGTGGTCAGGCTCGCTGAGTTGGTTGATGCATGTCATCGTATCCCAATTGCGTGGATCGATGCTCATGATACCAATCTCAGGATTGTCTGGTCCAGACTGGATTAATTACAGACCACCGTCATATAGCTGGAATATTGCGGCGTTAAACCACAAACAAACAAACATCAATATTACAAAATATTAACAATAATCGGCTAAAAAAAATGAAACGCACGGGTAGATGTTTAGTAAATTTATTGTACCTAATAAAGTCGATATATTTAATGCCGTTTAAGACATTGCAGATCGACAATGGATGCGTTTTGACGCACCGTTTGTCGAATATCAGGCCACCAACATTTTCCAATAATACTTATCCAATTTATATACCGGATTTTTGCGTAGTCAGGTTCAATGGACTACATACTACCTGTGCGTTTCTTTTTTCGAAGAGTGTATGTTGCATGAATGTAGTATACAGACTTCACATGGGGAAGGTGACTGAAAGTTTAACTCTCATCTCCAAACTCTTTTCTAAACAATATTTGGTATCGTGAGAGTATCCCAGATTTACATACGACCAGACAAGTATATATTTAGAATTTGGGCACTGCTGTGGTTGTCCATTGTGATTCTGACTGCGTCTGTTGGAAAAGGCAGCATCTGTAAAAAAAAACACGGCGTTATTTCAAGACTGTTGACTTGATATTGATGTAATGTCACGCAAGGCTATTTTACAGGTCGATGCATGGCGATGGAACTGTTTCTGTCACTTCTTTCGTCACTGTTATATTGTCATGGTCCCAATCATCTTCCCGAGGAAAGGGAGTTAACAGACTATAAAAGTCCAGTTTCCACCCTTGCCGAACTAGGCTAGTATTATGGAGTTACATTTTGGCTGGACTAACGAGTCTATGCATAGTCCAATCAAAATGGCGCACCGAAATCGAAATCCGGTTCGTACGTACACTGTCGTACAGATTTCGGTCGATTGCAGGATTTGCAAAGCATGTTCACTGCTAACTCGTTGTCAGCAGATATTTTCCAAATGTTTTCATGTTTTTAATCAAGGTGCTCACGTGATTTGATGCATTTCGCGATGTAAGACCCGTTTTATCAGAATATAGATCTTGATTGTCGATCAGATCTAACTGACCGGCCGCCACCATTTTATGTGAAGCAAACGCAAGTGATACGAGAGGTGGAATCTGATTGGTCCATAGTAGAGGCTTAGAAGGGACATGACTGGTAATAGCCACTGGTGGCGCTACGATCGAGCCCAGTAATTCCAGCCTAGTTCGGCTGTGTAATAACAAGGTTGATTTTATCCATCTACGCGTCACTTCAAAATATATATACAGTAAACTACGGTTATAACGAACTCAAAGGGACCACTAATTTATGTTCGTTATAACCGTAGTTCGTTATAAGCATATATACAGCTTAACTGCAGCAAATATTTGGGACAAAAAAGTAAGTTCGTTATAAGCGTGTTCGTGTTATAAGTGTGATATATATATATATATATATATCACACCATTGTGTATTTAAACCTTACAGCTATTGATGAATATGATAAATTGCAAGTGATTCCATGACATTTGATTGGCTAACCAAGCTCAAACAAAAGTTTTGAAACATTAGGATACACCCACCATTGGCTGACTCACTGTTTCCTGATTGGCTGATGACAATGTTGGCAGGTTGTTTGTATGTTACCGATTTAATAAACAATTTGTGAAGTTTTTATTGTTGACTTCTTTATTCATAAGAATTTACTTTTATTTTATTTTGCAAAGATTGCATAAGGGCCACACCTGCATTTACATTATACGTCCATAAGTGAACAAAAATATTCAGTTCTAATATTCGGTATAAATTGGATTTTACCTGATTTGAGCACGTGGCAGACACACTGAATGTTGCATTTTATTAACTCGTATCCGTGGTAATTCCATATATACCCAAACGTGTATATGGTGTTCTACTTATTCACGCCAATCAATGAAAAATATGTTAAAAGTGAGAGTGAATGAGTATGGCATTACGCCGTTTGTAGCAACATTCCATCAATATCACACATTGATACCCATGTGGGGAGTCGAACCCGGTATTCGGCGTGACGAGCGAACGTTTTAACCGCGTTCAAACTGGGAACAATGCAACCTGTACAATATAAAACCAACCAAACAATGTGGAATGAAGAAACTGCTCAGCAGAGATTCCTCGTCGTTTCTCGTCCATGTTACTCTCCAGCTTCCGTTGGCGTCCCGAAACCAGATGTCCTTCGTGATAGCAGCAATGTTGGGGGAGATTCGAATCTCAGCGAAGTACAGGAAAGCATCTATCCCAATCTGTTGAAGAGGCAATCGTTGTATTATTGTATTTGTGAACAAAACACTATTATTATATTTGTGAACAAAACACCTCCAAATATGCTTTTGCATTATCAACATTGCGTGCAATCATGATGAGTTCTGTTTGTTTGTTTGTTTGTTGTGTAACGCCACACTCCAGCCAATATTCCAGCTATATGACGGTTATCTGTTATTAATCAGCCTGGATCAGACAATCCAGTGATTGACATCGATCTCAGCATTGTGATACGACAACATGCATCAAACAAGTCATCGAGCCCGACTCACCGACCGCGTTAGTCGCCTCTTACGGCAAGCATGAGCTGCTGAAGACCAATTCCTTTCAAACACGACCCTACACGGGTCGCAATCATCAGTGATATAACAAATGAGAACCTTTCCACAATAGAAGGCAATAAGTGGTAACATTAAGGGATGCTAAATAGACATCACGCCACAGTACATAATAAGTGATCGCCAAACTGTATTTATAACTGATGTCACTGAAATTAACAATATATTGCTATATTTACCATAAATAGCCTACGCCTCGAAACATTGCCTTTCACAACATTTATTAAGTAAATCAGGTTTTGAAAGTGCTATGATGTCAAAGAAATATATTCATAAGAGAATCATGGTCAATAACACTGGCGGACCAATCAATCCGAAGGAGTCTAAAATGTCAACATCAATGGATCACCATCTGTGCTCTCTCATTCCCTCTTGAACTCTGAACTCCACCTCACAATAGTGGCCTAGTAAGGAACACTATCCCCTAAACTTGACTACGTGTCTGTGTCTGCATGTTTTGCTGTTGGAGCTAGCTCTTTCATTGGAAGATACTTGCACATCAGCGCGATAGCCAATTTTTTTCAATTTCATCAACAGAAAATACTTAGTCTCTCAGATGACGCCAGGAAGCATATTCGGTCAAAATGCGTCTCGTTAGCATGGTAATGTTGTACTTAATGCATGTAAACTGTTAGCATGGTTAGTGTTGTACTTAATGCATGCATCCTGTTAGCATGGTTAGTGTTGTAGTTAATACATGCATCCTGTTAGCTTGGTTAGTGTTGTACTTAATACGTGCATCCTGTTAGCATGGTTAGTGTTGTACTTAATGCATGCATCCTGTAAGCATGGTTAGTGTTGTACTTAATACGTGCATCCTGTTAGCGTGGTTAGTTTTGTACTTAATGCATGCATCCTGTTAGCGTGGTTAGTTTTGTACTTAATACATGTCTCCTGTTAGCATGGTTAGTGTTGTACTTAATACATGCAAACTGTTAGCATGGTTAGTGTTGTACTTAATACATGCATCCTGTAAGCATGGTGAGTGTTGTACTTAATGCATGTAAACTGTTAGCATGGTTAGTGTCGTACTTAATTCATGCAAACTGTTAGCATGGTGAGTGTTGTACTTAATACATGCATCTGGTTAGCATGGTTAGTGTTGTACTTAATTCGTGCAAACTGTTAGCATGGTTAGCGTTGTACTTTATACATGCAAACTGTTAGCATGGTTAGTGTTGTATATAATACATGCAAATTGTTAATATGGTTAGTGTTGTACTTACTACATGTAAACTGTTAGCATGGTTAGTGTTGTATATAATACATGCAAACTGTTAGTATGGTTAGTGTTGTACTTACTACATGTAAACTGTTAGCATGGTTAGTGTTGTACTTAATACATGGATCATGTAAGCATGGTTAGTGTTGTACTTAATACATGCATCCTGTTAGCATGGTTAGTGTTGTACTTAATACATGCAAACTGTTAGCATGGTTAGTGTTGTACTTAATACATGCATCCTGTTAGCATGGTTAGTGTTGTACTTAATACATGCAAACTGTTAGCATGGTGAGTGTTGTACTTAATACATGCATCTGGTTAGCATGGTTAGTGTTGTACTTAATTCGTGCAAACTGTTAGCATGGTTAGCGTTGTACTTTATACATGCAAACTGTTAGCATGGTTAGTGTTGTATATAATACATGCAAATTGTTAATATGGTTAGTGTTGTACTTACTACATGTAAACTGTTAGCATGGTTAGTGTTGTACTTAATACATGGATCATGTAAGCATGGTTAGTGTTGTACTTAATACATGCATCCTGTTAGCATGGTTAGTGTTGTACATAATACATGCATCCAGTTAGCATGGTGAGTGTTGTACTTAATACATGCAAACTGTTAGCATGGTTAGTGTTGTACTTAATACATGCATCCTGTTAGCATGGTTAGTGTTGTACTTAATACATGCAAACTGTTAGCATGGTTAGTGTTGTACTTAATACATGCATCCTGTTAGCATGGTTAGTGTTGTACTTAATACATGCATCCTGTTAGCATGGTTAGTGTTGTATATAATACATGCAAACTGTTAGCATGGTCAGTGTTGTATATAATACATGCAAATTGTTAATATGGTTAGTGTTGTACTTACTACATGTAAACTGTTAGCATGGTTAGTGTTGTACTTAATACATGGATCATGTAAGCATGGTTAGTGTTGTATTTAATACATGCATCCTGTAAGCATGGTTAGTGTTGTATTTAATACATGCAAACTGTTAGCATGGTTAGTGTTGTATATAATACATGCAAATTGTTAATATGGTTAGTGTTGTACTTACTACATGTAAACTGTTAGCATGGTTAGTGTTGTACTTAATACATGCATCCTGTTAGCATGGTTAGTGTTGTACATAATACATGCATCCAGTTAGCATGGTTAGTGTTGTACTTAATACATGCAAACTGTTAGCATGGTTAGTGTTGTACTTAATACATGGATCCTGTAAGCATGGTTAGTGTTGTACTTACTACATGCAAACTGTTAGCATGGTTAGTGTTGTACTTTATACATGCAAACTGTTAGCATGGTTAGTGTTGTACTTAATACATGCAAACTGTTAGCATGGTTAGTGTTGTACTTAATACATGCAAACTGTTAGCATGGTTAGTGTTGTACTTAATACATGCAAACTGTTAGCATGGTTAGTGTTGTACTTAATACATGCATCCTGTTAGCATGGTTAGTGTTGTACTTAATACATGCAAACTGTTAGCATGGTTAGTGTTGTACTTAATACATGCATCCTGTTAGCATGGTTAGTGTTGTACTTAATACATGCATCCTGTTAGCATGGTTAGTGTTGTATATAATACATGCAAACTGTAAGCATGGTTAGTGTCGTACTTACTACATGCAAACTGTTAGCATGGTTAGTGTTGTATATAATACATGCAAACTGTAAGCATGGTTAGTGTTGTACTTACTACATGCAAACTGTTAGCATGGTTAGTGTTGTATATAATACATGCAAACTGTTAGCATGGTTAGTGTTGTATATAATACATGCAAACTGTAAGCATGGTTAGTGTCGTACTTACTACATGCAAACTGTAAGCATGGTTAGTGTTGTATATAATACATGCAAATTGTTAATATGGATGGTGTTGTACATAATTCATGCAAACTGTTAGCTTGTTTAGTGTTGTACTTAATACATGCAAACTGTAAGCATGGTTAGCCTTGTACTTTATACATGCAAACTGTTAGCATGGTTAGTGTTGTATATAATACATGCAAATTGTTAATATGGATGGTGTTGTACATAATTCATGCAAACTGTTAGCTTGTTTAGTGTTGTACTTAATACATGCAAACTGTTAGCATGGTTAGTGTTGTACTTACTACATGCATCCTGTTAGCATGGTTAGTGTCGTACTTACTACATGCAAACTGTTAGCATGGTTAGTGTTGTATATAATACATGCAAATTGTTAATATGGATGGTGTTGTACATAATTCATGCAAACTGTTAGCTTGTTTAGTGTTGTACTTAATACATGCAAACTGTTAGCATGGTTAGTGTTGTACTTAATACATGCATCCTGTTAGCATGGTTAGTGTTGTACTTAATACATGCATCCTGTTAGCATGGTTAGTGTTGTACTTAATACATGCATCCTGTTAGCATGGTTAGTGTTGTACTTAATACATGCATCCTGTTAGCATGGTTAGTGTTGTACTTAATACATGCAAACTGTTAGCATGGTTAGTGTTGTACTTAATTCATGAAAACTGTTAGCATGGTGAGTGTTGTACTTAATACATGCAAACTGTTAGCATGATGAGTGTTGTACGTTATGCATGCAAACTGTTAGCATAGTTGTGTAGAAAGCGTAGCGGAGGCTTTCTACCGCAGCTGCTACACTTCGACAGCATGAAGCAATATTCACCTCAACCCACGGAGCTTGATCATCAGACATTGGCCTCCAGCCAGTAAAAGGTCCTCCAATGTTAAAGCTTAAAAAGATAAAAACTTAAATAGTGCATGTCACATACATTGATATTTACCATATAAAGAAGGGGAACATGAACCTTAGTGTTTTATTCATGGATGAATAAAATGTAACAATATAGGTCATTATTAATGTTCATGGTAATGTTAAAAAAGGTAGCTCACCTGGATAAATTAGTTGTTGTTTACCTGCATTTCGCATTTCCGAATGTTACTTGACAGTTCCCCCAAATCTGAGCATCCTCATTTCTGATAAAGGATAACTGTTCTTTTCCTTAAGTGACCGTAAACTACCCAAATTTATTGGTGCAATAATACCTGTTATCGTGACATGGCGTTAGCCCAGCCACCAACTGGCTTGCACGTGACATTAACTCCACGTGACTGGGTCGCAATTACCAACAGCCCAAAATCACTGGGCCGCACGCAACATTACCCCAACGCCATTGGGATGCACGTGCAAGTAACCCTACCTCACTGGGCCGCAGACAATAAAAAAATATTTTATTTTTATTTTTCTAAAACTTATACGGGTTTGCATAATATTGTATTCAAAGAAATAAAGCATGATAGCTTAACAAAGCTTATTGAAGTGATCTCTATTTTATTAATGACGGAAGAAAACTTTATAAACGTTTAAAACTTATAAAATTCATTGAGCTCCTGTTTAAACTGGTTTGTAGGTGGATAGTTGTTATTTCTAAAGTTGAAAATGTTTCGTGAGGACAAAATAATAATAAGGTTTAAAGGATTGTTATTTTTCGATAAATAACCAAAAACAACATTTTCTGTAGATATTGTTGCCGGCCTTTGCATTTAGTGCGATATCCAAGTTTCCATATCTCACCAGATGGAGCTCACGTTGTTGCATTCCCAAAATATTTGTATATAATCTGTTTCATTACAACAGTAGCTACAACTTGTACTGTCTACGAATCCCATTTTAAGAAGACAGTTTGTTGGCAAGATTTGATTAAACCTATTTTATCTTTGTTCAGGTGATATATATGAAATGGTAAAAATGGCAAATTGCAGAATGATGGCAAATTTTGGTAACCGTTGACTTCTGTCTCTGTGTGGGTTATAAAGTTGGTTTTCAAATTGAGAAAAACGGTTTTAAAGGTTTCGAATGACATGGATTGTCAAGATCACGAATGAAACGTACCTCTTTTACAAACCATTTTTTAGAAAATATGCTGGTATTTCCCATTTGTATGTTATGCCGTATATATTGTGCAAGGATACCCTTGTCATTTATACGCTCCAAGTGGATGTTGTCTATGAATTTCCACCAGGCCTTAATGAGGTCCTTTCAGTATTACATTTCATTTCTTATCTTAGTAATCACTTGTAATCCTAATGTCTTGCAAGTAATTGTGAATGCAGTATAGGGTCCTGAAAGAGGTATATTTAAAAAGAATAATGGACACTACTTTGACATCGATTTTGATGCTCTAGGTACCATTGATGTTTTTTGGTGCATATATTAATTCTAGTATTTTGGGACATTTTATACCTCCAACTGATGTCTCACTTATAATTTGGGGGCGGTGGGGTGGCCTAGTGGTTAAAGCGTTCGCGCATCACGCCGAAGACCAGGGTTCGAGTCCCCACATGTGTATAATGGGTGAAGCCCATTTTAGGTGTCCCCCGCCGTTTTATTGGTGGAATAATACTAAAGGCGGCGTAAAACCATACTCCCTCACTTGCTCACCTATAATTTGACTTCTCTTTACAATGTCGGGTTCACCTCCCAAAATGAACAAAACGCACCTTTTTAAAACGTTTTAGCTTGGATATGTTCAAAATACATTGTCATAATTCAAGCCAATCATTTGGTCGAGATCAGGACTGATATTAATTCCAAGTAGATGGAAAGGATCTTGCCTCCAATCAAGGTTCCATTTTTGGCATAGGTATATTCTGGGGCGCATTTTGTCTTACCCAGAGTATCCTTGTTATGTCATGTTAAGTTTTAAGCCAGAAAAACATAAAAGCTGAGAACCTGTAGTTCAGTATAGGAGCCTCGTTCTGAATGGTCTAGAGAGCATGGTGCGTCATCTGCTAATTGTGTGATTAAATATTAAATATTACCAATTGTAATACCTTTTATGTTATTGGTGTTCTTATCATTATTGCCAGTATTTCAGCACATATTATAAAGATATATTGAGACAAAGGATTACCTTGTCTGCAACCCCTTGATATTTTGCAAAATGAGGATCCAAAGCCATCAACAAGTACTCTTGATTGAATTCGTTATACAGGTTTTTTATTCATCTTCTTATTAACATTCCAAAAACAAAAAGGTTTAGCGCTTCGTCTATAAATTCCCAATCAACTGTATCGAATGCCTTTTCACAATCTAGGGGGCACGGGTGGCCCAGTCGTCTAAGGCGCCGCGATTCGCTGTGCAGAGTTGCGTCCCCTGGACACGCCAGAAACCTATGGTTGTGGGTTCGAATCCCGGTTCACCCCGATTATGTTTCTAGGTTTGTCAGCACCATACCCGTGCTCGTGGGTTTCACCGAAGTGGTAAACGTCTAAGACCTGCATCACTTCGGGCTTTCCTCCCACATTAAGCTGACACGCCGTGATATAACTGGAATAATGTTAAAAGCGGCGTTAACCCAACTCACTCACTCAATGATAAACCTCGTATCGGATAGATATCGGTATATTCCAGATGATCATAGATTTGTCTTGTGATTTCGCCAATGTATGTTCCAGGCATAAATCCTTTTTTATCCTCGTTAATCAGGGTGTTAAACACATATTTTACCTTTTGTTATTTGCTATTGATTAGATTTTATAGAATACTGACAGTTAGCTTATTGGTCGCATTTTTTTCAAATATTGTTTGGGTTTATTTGCTTTTGGGATACACGTTATTAGTCTTTGTGAAACTAATAATTGTACAATATTGTAAGCGTTGAAGATTTGATCAGATATTTCCAAAGTGCATTCCATAAATAATTATAAGTTTCCCCGTATATACATCTGGCCCAGGACTCTTGTCCTTTTTTAAGTGTTTAACAGCTCCTTCTACCTCATTGTAGGTCAGCTCACCGCCCAACCTTAGTGCTATTTTATTAGATAGTTTAGGAATATTGCATTCATTTAGTAGTGATATAAGGTCAATTTTATAAATGTCATGTGTTGAGAAAACTTTCGAAAAATAGGCTTTTGCATCTTTCAGTACATCATCTTGTGATTCAATAATTCTTCTTTTCTATTTATGGACTGATAAAGAGTTTTTTATTTCCAAACTTAAAAATCGCCGCAAGTCATTGAGCCGCAAGTGGCATTACCACAACATCATTGGGTCACACGTGACATTAACGACACGTCACTGCACCACTTCCAGACTTAATAATCATCGCAAGTCATTGGGCCGCAAGTGGCATTACCACAACATCATTGGGTCACACGTGACGTTAACGACACGTCACTGCACCACTTCCAGACTTAATAATTATCGCAAGTCATTGGGCCGCAAGTGGCATTACCATAACATCATTGGGTCACACGTGACGTTAACGACACGTCAGTGCACCACTTCCAAACTTAATAATCATCGCAAGACATTGGGCCGCAAGTGGCATTACCACAACATCATTGGGTCACACGTGACGTTAACGACACGTCAGTGCACCACTTCCAGACTTAATAATCATCGCAAGTCATTGGGCCGCAAGTGGCATTACCACAACATCATTGGGTAACACGTGACGTTAACGACACGTCACTGCACCACTTCCAAACTTAATAATCATCGCAAGTCATTGGGCCGCAAGTGGCACAACCACAACATCATTGGGTCACACGTGACGTTAACGACACGTCAGTGCACCACTTCCAGACTTAATAATCATCGCAAGTCATTGGGCCGCAAGTGGCATTACCACAACATCATTGGGTCACACGTGACGTTAACGACACGTCACTGCACCACTTCCAGACTTAATAATCATCGCAAGTCATTGGGCCGCAAGTGGCACTACCACAACATCATTGGGTCACACGTGACGTTAAAGACACGTCACTGCACCACTTCCAAACTTAATAATCATCGCAAGTCATTGGGCCGCAAGTGGCATTACCACAACATCATTGGGTCACACGTGACGTTAACGACACGTCAGTGCACCACTTCCAGACTTAATAATCATCGCAAGTCATTGGGCCGCAAGTGGCATTACCACAACATCATTGGGTCACACGTGACGTTAACGACACGTCACTGCACCACTTCCAAACTTAATAATCATCGCAAGTCATTGGGCCGCAAGTGGCACTACCACAACATCATTGGGTCACACGTGACGTTAAAGACACGTCACTGCACCACTTCCAAACTTAAAAATCATCGCAAATCATTGGGCCGCAAGTGGCATTACCACAACATCAATGGGTCTCACGTGACGTTAACGACACGTCACTGCACCACTTCCAAACTTAATAATCATCGCAAGTCATTGGGCCGCAAGTGGCATCACCACAATACATTGGGTCACACGTGACGTTAACGACACGTCACTGCACCACTTGGGACATTACTTCCACGTCACTTGGCCACACGTGACAATGCTGTTACTTCACCATTCTCGTCGTTGTCTCGCTGACAAAAATAACATTTCTGTCATTTGATAATATCTGTTACCTTACACTAACAATTATTTTTTACTGAATAGAGTAATGGGTTGAGTATTGTTTGACGACGATGTCAGCAGCAATATTCAAGAAATATCATGGCAGGGAACATTTTCCTCTTCGTCACATAGCACCTTATCTAAGAAATAAACGGCTCGTGGTCATTGTTTATTGTACAATAGAACACTGCAGGGAGAATAAACCATGACGAGGGCAGCCCCGGGTTGTTTATACCCCCTGCGGTGTTTAATTGTACGATAAACAACGACAACGGGTCGTTTATTTCGTATATGAGATATAAATATTATGTATAGCCTCTTTGAGGATGTTACAAAAATGTACATGCTTTGAACATATTTACCCGTATTTAAATAATGATGACTCCCTGAATGTCGGACAAGTCCATTTTACGAACAGGTGGGTTAAGTTTGGTATCTCCCGCATATTCTCACTATCCTCGCATCGATTATCTGTACCTTTTCTCCAAATACTGATTGTCATATCTCTCCCACTTTTGGATGCGATCGTTCGGCCACTTCGTTTATCTGCGAAGCCCAGCTACATCGATGGGGAAGAACTCACAAGACACTTCCCTCTCAAAAATAACGTCGTCCAATATACGACGTCATCAAGCTGCGAGCGCATGTTCTAATCTCCAGAAATGACGTCATGATAAAACAATGTCTTATCGTGAAATAAACCATGCTTCGTTCTTCATTGTTTTTTTCGATTTAAAGTGGAGCTATATTTGAAGATATAGATATATAGATATAGAAATAGATATATATAGTTATAGATGTGTATATACATATAGATAGATAGTTATAGATGTGTATATACATAGGTAGGTAGGTAGGTAGGTAGGTAGGGGAGTCCAAATATGCGGGGCAAAATATTGAAAAATATTTAGAGGAGTAGATACGTGTTTTTAAAGAGCGGATGTGAATGCTGAAAGGTGTTGTATTACAGTCTTTGCATAGTTTATTGTGTCGTCTTCTGGCAGAGGAAGTGGAGGTCTGCACGAAAGCAGAGAACACACAAGATCAGTGTCATTTTTACTGTGGAGACTGACGCTCGCTTCTACAGGACTACAGTCTATAATGTCCATCCAGAGGCTACCACGTTTATGTGTACGGTTCACACACGACGAACACTGTGGACCAGAACGTCTTTACATTGGAGGCTGAGAAACCCTGGTCGAATCGTATTTTCTGACATTGATGTTACCTTATTTCTGTGGCGATAATTCAATATCCTGCTGTAATTCTAATTGTCAAGGTTTAAAACACTACATACCCATATACTGCTGATGAAGCATTGATCGCCTGCGTCATATACTTTCCAATAAGACCTGGAGAAAAACAGGAACAAAACACGTTACAACCGATTACAGATAACTAACAGCCGAGCTTGCTCAGCAGGTTTTTTAGAAGTAATGGATCTATCAATATTTATTATCCATATTTTTCAAAATAAGCGAGTTAATTAAAATACGTACAATGCGTTCATGTACCAAATACGTTTTTAATTTCCACTGTGTGTTACTTTTCAACAGGGACTTTTATAAAAAATCTCTAATTGGCGCGTAAACCAGCGAGGACACTTTGGGCGGCCTTGCATGTGCCTTGGAAGTGGGTGTTTCATCAGAAGCACTGTGTTCACCGTACGTATTCTTAACAGTCTCCAGCACGCTCATCTCGACCTGCTTGACGATATATACTCTTCAAAAAAAGAAACTTGACATAGATGTAAAACCACCTTTTGCCAAATATCTAAAAAAATTACATTAAATGAGAACCAAATAAGTCAAACTGAAAGATGATGTGTCTATAATTCGCGAAAACACATGCAAAGCACATAAACGTAGCGTTTGGGGCAGTAGACGCGGTGACAGAATGCCAAGACTGAGTGCAGCTCAACGGAACAACGCCATTGGGAGATTACAAGCTGGAGCAACTCAGCAAGAAGTGGCCAGGCACTTTGGCGTATCCAGACAGACAATCACCGCACTGTGGACCCGATACAACAACACCAACAGAGTTGACGACAGACCAAGGTCAGGAAGACCAAGGGTGACAACCCAAGCACAAGATCGGTACATCCGGCTGCGACACCTCCGAGACCGCACTACCACAGCCACGTCTACAACCACACAGATCCCTTGGGTACGCAGAATATCAGATCAAACGGTACGCAACAGACTGAGGGAGGCTGGACTTTTTGCACGAAGACCTGTTCGACGTCATGTATTGACCCCACGTCATCTGGCGGACCGTCTGCTTTGGTGCCAACAGAGGGTTAGATGGGCACGTGCAAGGTGGAGAAATGTACTGTTTACTGACGAGTCCCGTTTCCTACTCACACGTGAACGTTACGCCCCCGACTGTGTGCAGCAGGTTGTCCCATTTGGCGGCGGGAGTGTCATGGTATGGGCCGGAATTCATCACGATGGTAGGACGCCTCTCGTGCATGTGGCAGGTGCATTGACAGGTGTGCGTTACAGAGACATGATCCTACAGCCTTACGTTCTTCCTCACGTCAACGTTCATGGCGGACAGTTCCAGCAGGACAACGCTCGACCGCATATTGCACGTGTTTGTCAGGACTTCTTACACCACAACAACATCCAGACATTACCTTGGCAAGCCCTGTCACCAGATTTGTCCCCGATTGAGCACATGTGGGACGAGTTTGATCGACGCGTTCGCAGAAGGAATCCACCGCCCCAAACACTTCCGGCGCTTCTTGATGCACTTCAGCATGAATGGCAGCACATCCAACAGCGTGTTATTGACAACTTGATTGCATCTATGGGTCGTCGGTGTCAAGCGGTGATTGATGCACGTGGTGGGCACAACCGATACTGACATTTTCTGTACCCCTGTGACATTAACTGTATCGTGTACGTGTGTCTGTCTAGGTGACACGATTAATGTTTTGAGCATTGTGTACATTGATCTTCAAACAGTGTTTCAATTATGGTCTCAGTGTCCTATTTTGAAACAATCGCATTATATTACATTTTGAAAGTCAGTGTCAAGTTTCTTTTTTTGAAGAGTATATTTGGTTGGCCCCTGTTCCACGTTGCTTGGATGCATCATGAGTGTGTATACATGTAACATACATTAAGGTTGATGGTGGTTATTTCGGCCGAATAAAAACGAAACGTAAGTTGACACACGTACCTGTATATCTGGATCTATCATGTGTTAATGTACATATCACCTGACCTGCGTCTGCCATGTGTTAATGTAAATCGATTGTTAAATCAGTTTCCGATCAATAGTATCGATTTCAGTTAGGAATATCGATAGTTTCGATTGTATTTAATACATCAATTAATTACATGCAATGCTGTACAAATTTGTTTTTCTTTTGATCATGATTGGTAGTAATTTACACATGAATTTTCTTTTTCTTAAATTATAAGGGTAAAAAACAAACAAATCAGTCATATCTCAAACTTTACTTTTTATTTGTTGTTATTGTTATCACAATCAAAGGAAACTTCAGTTCCAAGATTTAATTCAACTCTAAAATCCATCTAAAATGATACACTGAAAACTATCGATATTTATCGCAATAGTTGCTTGCAATATCAATAGTTATCGCAATAGTTTATTTCAGAATCAATAGTTATTGCAATAGTGGGTTCAAGACCAATAGTCACCCCTATTGATGTATATATCACCTGACCTGCATCTATCATGTGACAATGTACATATCACCTGACCTGCGTCTACAATGTGTTAATGTAGATATCATCTGACCCGCGACTATCATGTGTTAATGTAGATATCATCTGACCCGCGTCTATCGTGTGTTAATGTAGATCTCATCGTACCCGCGTCTATCATGTGTTAATGTAGATATCATCTGACCCGCGACTATCATGTGTTAATGTAGATCTCATTGTACCCGCCTCTATCATGTGTTAATGTAGATATCATCTGACCCGCCTCTATCATGTGTTAATGTAGATATCATCTGACCCGCCTCTATCATGTGTTAATATCATCTGACCCGCGACTATCATGTGTTAATGTAGATACCACCGGACCCGCCTCTATCATGTGTTAATGTAGATATCATCTGATCCGCGTCTATCGTGTGTTAATGTAGATATCATCTGACCCGCGACTATCATGTGTTAATGTAGATCTCATCGTACCCGCGTCTATCGTGTGTTAATGTAGATATCATCTGACCCGCCTCTATCATGTGTTAATGTAGATATCATCTGATCCGCGTCTATCGTGTGTTAATGTAGATATCATCTGACCCGCGACTATCATGTGTTAATGTAGATATCACCGGACCCGCCTCTATCATGTGTTAATGTAGATATCATCTGACCCGCCTCTATCATGTGTTAATGTAGATATCATCTGACCCGCCTCTATCATGTGGTAATGTAGATATTATCTGACCCGCGTCTATCATGTGTTAATGTAGATATCATCTGACCCGCCTCTATCATGTGTTAATGTAGATATTATCTGATCCGCGTCAATCATGTGTTAATGTAGATATCATATCTGAATGGTTGGACTCATATACTGGATAATTTAATGTCAAATATTGATAATAAGTACTGAATCACTTAATTTCACATGTTTATAAGAAGTACTGAATAACTTAATGTCACATGTTGATAATAGGTACTGAATAACTTAACGTAATGTGTTGATAATAAGTACTGAATAACTTAATGCCACATGTTGATAAGGGCGGTCGGGTAGCCTAGTGGTTAAAGCGTTCGCTCGTCACGCCGAAGACCCGGGTTCGATTCCCGACATGGGTACAATGTGTGAAGCCCATTTCTGGTGTCCCCCGCCGTGATATTGCTGGAATATTGCTAAAAGCGGCGTAAAACCATACTCACTCACTCACTCACACATGTTGATAAGTATTGAATAACTTAATGTCACATGTTGATAATAGGTACTGAATAACTTAACGAAATGTGTTGATAATAAGTACTGAATAATTTAATGACACATGTAAATAATGTCACATGTTGATAATAAGTACTGAATAACTTTATGTCACGTGTTGATAATGAGTAATGACTAACTTTATGCCACATGTTGAAAATGGTATTCATTACACATAGCCCCGGGGGCATTCCGGGTTAGAAGTGGTCCCCAGCAATCTATACGACGAAATGGATGGGGTGGTCAGGCTTGGTGAATTGGTCAATGGCGTGTCATCTTACCCACACAGCGTGGATCGCTGTTCACAATCTGAACCACTGGATTATCTGTTCCAGACTTGTTTACTTAAAAACCGCCGACCATATAGCTGGACTATCGCTGAGTGTAACGTTAAATTGACCTGTGACGTGTAATGATATAGAACTCTCACCTGGTGCAGTGTAATGATCGTAGCCCGGTGCGTCGACCAGGAACACACTCCCAGGGTAAGACATCGCACAAATACAGTCCTGGGTGGCCTGGTTGTAGAAGAAGTTACTGACAAGGAATCGGTTACAGGACAGCAAACACTCCATCAGACCAGTCGCATTGCCACGTCGTCTTATCCCTTTCTCTATCTTCTTATCCTTAAAGTAGCCGATGGAAGGGTTGAAACCATACGTATTATCACAGGTTGCCTCAGTTATCCCCTGACCACTGGAGGAGAAACAAATGTACAAAGCAGCTGTCCACACAACCCAGTATCGGACTAGCATGTCTGTGGGTAGATCCAGGTGGAAGGTCGACAGAAATTATTCCTGCTACATGCAAAGTTCTCTCCAAGTCGTGTGAATCATGGACATCAAGTCTCGATATACTTGGATGATCTGATTGGCGTTGTTAGCGTGGACACACCCAAGCTCTTTTGCCAGCAGGGTAGGAATGGTTACCTGATTGGCATGTTTCACCTATTGACAGTTGAACGCTTTTACATTGATAGCGTGCTTGTCTGATTGGCTGGAACTTCTCAGTGATTGACGTCAGCCTATACTGTTCCCCGTTGTGTAATAACGGTCACACTTCTGAGCACAGTTCAGGCAATTTACGCAACCTTTCATCCTACATCGACACATGCAACTTTGGGCTTGAATGTTGGTCAGGTCGATGCATGAGAATGTAAGATTATTTTTTCTTATTTTATGGTATAACTGATTTGAGGCAACACCATTTACGACCATCATTTAGTAGTAGTAGTACTAGTAGCAGTAATAGTAATAGTAGTAGCAGTAGTAGTAGTAGTAGCAGTAGTTGCAGTAGCAGTAGCAGTAGTAGCAGTACCAGTACCAGTACCAGTAGCAGTAGCAGTAGCAGTAGTAGTTGTAGTAGTAGTAGTAGCAGTAGCAGTAGTAGTTGTAGTAGTAGTAGCAGCAGTAGCAGCGACAGTAGCAGTAGCAGCGACAGTAGCTCAAAGCTCTTCTTAACACAAAATTTTCCACACTAGACAGTTATTCGTCAAGATTAAAAGTATTCTTGTTCCAGAAAAAAAACATTCGTGACTAACTCGTGTTATTCCGGGACAAGCCGAATAGCGACTCGTGCCCCTCTCGTGGCCATTTTTGCGACCGGGTTCCGTCTTAGCGCAAACGGGCATACCTGAAACAATTGTCAACTCGTTGCATAATGGTTCACATCTATTTCCCATGTATTATATTTATCTCAGATGCAATTTAAAGCACATCGGGACGTGCGGAATTATACAGTGTGATTGAACACATTTAACTGTGTCTTGGGTATATTTTTAGGTACAAGATATATGTAAAATCAAAACTTATTTCCGAGTGATTCTTTGACGAAGAACTTGAACTCATACGCGCATTTTGATTGGTTTGTCGTATTTTCGCACATGACATTCATCGACAGGGGGGCGAGACATCTTGCAGGTTACGAAAAACAACGCCGATGCCTAGTTGTATAGTTTAGTGGGATATCTGGTTATAAGTGTGTTCAAGGCAAACTGCATCTCCACATGACTAAGTGTATTGCGATTTCATATTTACATTTTAATGCAAAATCACACGTTGACGGTTTCGAGTGGGAAGTGACTGGTCCTGAGCAGCAAACAGAAAATCTTTTATTTCACTTTTCAGGCCAGCCGACCTCATCCAAACGAAGGACTCTGCAGGGTTGCTTACCTTCTCAGCACACTGCACATAAACTCGATGCAGTGGTCGTTCAGGTTGCTTCTCAAAGTGAGTCTAGGCCGATTTGATATGGCACTTTACTTGGTTGACACTCATTTCTGTACCGCCCAGGAGTACAGAACCATCAACAAAATCAACACTGACATTGAACTTCATCTTGTCACTTTGCCAAAATGGCGACACCCCGTCTGCCCGACATGATGACTAAGAGTGTTCTTCAAGTTACTAACTACACTACCTGATGGGTACCAAACCATGAAATGAGTTATCAAAAACTTGATACAAACTTTAAAGTTGTAGGGTCTAACACAACGAACACAAGCCCTGAATTCCATGAGCCAGCAAAAGCATATTGACCTCGCCGATGTCCAAACTCACTGAAGCCGATTCCACAGGCGCAGTCTCGCGTGATCTCACTTAGTCCGAGATGCCGGGGAGAATTACAATCAAGCTTCACCTTGCAGGAAAGTCTTGTTCTAATTGTACTATCGTGTTCGTTATTTCAGCGGACTGCGTTGTTAAAATTGGGTTTTATTTACTGAGCTTACTGGTACTAGTCGGCAGGAATGTTACTCGCCCTCAGGTGAAAATCACAGACTATGGAGTTTATTGAAAGCAGATTATAATAGGTCCCCGGGAATCTATGTTGATTGTAAGAGTTGAATTGATGAATCGGTTGGCCACGCTCGGTATACTTGGTTGAAAGTATGTCTTCGCCCCTTGATGACGAGGATCGTCGCTCGTAATATGAATCACTGGATTGTCTGGTCAAGACTCGATCACACACAAACAAACAGACAATGTGTGAAAAAGAAATTTTTATTCATGCTGTAGGCTTCCATAATACAGGATCTATTCCTTATGATATTTACTACATGGGGACACACTCGGTTGATAAAACATGTTTTGTTTCTTATGATATTTACTACATGGGGACACACTCGGTTGATAAAACATGTTTTGTTTCTTATGATATTTACTACATAGGGACATACTCGGTTGATAATACATGTTTTATTCCCTATGATATTTACTACATAGGGACACACTCGGTTGATAAAACATGTTTTATTCCCTATGATATTTACAACATGGGGATGCACTGGATTAAAAATCGCTGTCATTATCTTTCAAACAACCTGTTCGCTTTCCGGGCGTTGTGGTTTCTGAGGAGGCCTCTGGTCTGACCAGTGAGTCAGGTGGAGAAAACATTCAATCAATATTTCGGCGAGGATACTAGAAATAGTCTTCACACGTGACGATATCCTGTTGGGAATCGAAACCGGGACTCCCGGTGAGGAGTGAATTCTTTACTACTGGGCGACCACTCCGATCAGACAAACACAGGACGTTCAAATGTGTGGACGTTATTACTGCCGACCATGTAGTCGTGGATGTAGTCGTGGATTAATAGGCCCACTGCCACCTCAAGGTAGCGAAACTGCTGCTGGTGTTACCATACACAGATAACAGCCTTGGCAACATAAACCATCTGTCCTTGAATCGGTTATGGACAATCGTCCCGAAGCAATCCCTTCCTGATATAGATCGTGCACCCATATTTCACAGGTATTGATTCAGGCTATACTATAAGCTACATGCCCAAATATACTAGGACACTTCTTTGAGTGGCATTTAGAATGGTAACTAAGACAAAATTGTTATGGATGAGCAACTTCTTTATTACAATTGTTAATAATTAATAAAGAAGTTGCTCATCCATAACAATTTTGTCTTAGATACTAGGACACATTCAGAATAACTTGCTGGTCTGATACATGAAACATCGTTAACCATATACTGACTCGGCGGACTGCATGCTCCCTTCGGCAGTTTCTTAGTTGTGTCCATAGTATTGACAGTCGATTCATCTTTCTACTTCGGACGTAGGTTGGCCTATCGCAATAACCTGAGCTGTCTAACACATGCTGTGTGTTCATGTTTGGGGCCTAGGTGTTCCATAGAGGCGCCCTGACCAAGGACTGTGTGCTATCTGCGATTGGCAAATACCCACAATCCCTCTACCGCTCGCATAACAACGGCCGCTTGGTGGCGCGCGGCATGGCTGGGGTCAGGCAAAAGGTCAAATCTGAAATAGACGAAATCCGAAGTTGTTTTGTATTGTTACAGAAACGCAGTTAATTTACTCTTCTGTCGTTAAATGTGTAGCCTATCAGCAAAGTTACGCTCCGCTTCATAAGCAATTTAGATTTGTAACTGTCTGAAACAACACAAATACTCCAATGCCAATCAAAGACTTCAAATATTTCCGAAACGGTCATTCAGTGAGCTAAGAGGACTGGTTGAAATGCCCATTGAAAACATTATCAGTCGGTATTCTGTCTTGAAGGCACTAGAATCATTTGTAAGAGATAATGAGTTATGATTTATACGAAAGATTCTGCCACATGTCACTTCCACAAGGTATGGGGGGCACGGGTGGCCCAGTCGTCTAAGGCGCCGCGATTCGCTGTGCAGAGTTACGTCCCTTTGGCACGCCAGAAACCTATGATTGTGGGTTCGAATCCCGGTTCGCCCCGATTATGTTTCTAGGTTTGTAAGCACCATACCCGTGCTCGTGGGTTTCACTGAAGTGGTATACGTCTGAGACCTGCATCACTTCGGGCTCTCCTCCCACATTAAGCTGACACGCCGTGATATAACTGGAATACTGTTAAAAGCGACGTTAAACCCAACTCACTCACTCCACCAGACCAGTAGAAACTTACCAGGGAGACGATACTTGAACGTCATGACAAAAATGGCTATGTAATCGTACGTTGGTTGAATGCTATGTTATCTATGTATTTAAACGTGGTTTCAAACGCGATGAAATGGTCCATGATTGTTGAACGCTTGACCCAACAGTGGGATCCACATTTTCCCAGCAGTGAATAAGTTGTACTCCCAAATGTTGCTTCTCTTTATATAAGTCAAAGATTCAGTTTAGATGTTTGTTCCTGCTAAAATCATATTGGCACAGACTGAGTGTTACTTAGCGCCGCAATCAGCCATGTTCCAGCTTTATCACGGCTGGCTGTATGCAGATAAATCTGAGACGGACAGGCCGGTGAGGAGAAGGCTACGAGGACATCCAAACAGCCAGACCACACATTGTAACCACCTGTCCACCAGTCGTCGGCCTTAAAGCAAGCATGGAGCACTTGGGGCCTTCTCTGCCCCTGTGCAATATGGACCCCTGATGGAGCCCTGATGTACCCCTGATAGACCCCTGATGGACCCCTGATGGACACGTGATGGACACCTGATGGACCCCTGGTGGACACCTGATGGACCCTTGATGGACCCTTGATGGACCCCTGATGGACACCTGATGGACCCCTGATGGACACGTGATGGACACCTGATGGACACCTGATGGACCCCTGATGGACACCTGATGGACCCCTGAATCCCTGATGGACCCCTGATGGACACCTGAACCCCTGATGGACACCTGAATCCCTGATGGACCCCTGATGGACCCTTGATGGACCCCTGATGGACCCTTGATAGACCCCTAATAGACCCCTGATGGACACCTGATGGACCCCCTCGGGAGCATTGCCGGAAGTGTGACAAAGTGTGTGAAAACATCACGTGCCTTTGAAGTATCCTTCCAATCACCACCTTCAGTTCGTTCATGGCAAAATTTTGTCCAATGCAGTTTCTGTAAAGAGAACACAAATCATTGATACGAGTTGATGTCAACGGTGAAGGTGTCCCGTTTGGTAAACTCGGACACGAATATTTCCGAGACAGCTACCGGTACGCTGATTCAAAAGTGAGAAATAACATTATAAATGTCATTTTGATTCTTCGATTATGTTTAACATGTGAATATTAATACAACTTGAAATAACTGACGAAAACCCATATAAGAAATGCCTATTGTCGATTATGCTCGACAAAACGTTACTGTCACTGGTATGTTTCATAAACTGGTTAGAATAGGTCTTCAGCAACACATGCTTGCCGTAAGAGGCGACTATGCTTGTCCTTAGAGGCGACTAACGGGATCAGGTGGTCAGGCCTACTGACTTGGTTGGTGCATGTCATCGTTTCCAATTGCGTAGATCGATGCTCATGATGAAAATCACTGGATTGCCCGATCCAGGCTCAATTATTTACAGACCCCCGTCATACAGCTGGAATATTGCTGAGGGCGGCGTTAAACAACAAACAAATTATAAACTGATCACCTGTCATACTTTTGTTTGGTTGAAATTTATGCATTTTGTGTGTTGTGAGGCAATATGTGAATATTTGAAAAACTGACGATCTTGAGCAATGGCTGCCTCGTCGTTTCTCAGTCATGGCTCCTGACGGTAGCCGTTTGATCCACGGTAGTTAATAATATGCCATTACGAGATCACTCACAAAAGAAGACACGACAAGAGAAGTAGGTCTTATGGAAGCATTGGCATCGCGCGTCAGGTTGGTCGCCAACTTTACTCATGGCGTTATCGGCCATGTTCCCAAGGCAAGGGAGTTAACTGACTATAAAAGTTTCCACCCTTGCCGAACTAGGCTGGTATTATGGAGTTACATTTTGGCTGGACTAACGAGTCTATGCATAGTCCAATCAAAATCGTGCAACGAAATCGAAATCCGGTTCGTAAACTGTCGTGCAGATTTCGGTCGATTGCAGGATTTGCAAAGCATGTGCACCGCCAACTCGTTGTCAACAGATATTTCCAAATCTTTTTATGTTTTTAATCAAGGTGCTCACGCATTTCGTGATATAAGACCCGTTTTATCACAACATAGACCTTGATTATCGATCAGATCGTCTTGACTGGGCGCCACTGTTTTGTTTGAAGCAAATGCAAATGTTACGAGAGGTGGAATCTGATTGGTCTAAAGGAGAGGCTTAGAAGAGACATAACTCGTAATAGCAACTGGTGGCGCTACGATAGAGCCCAGGAATTCCAGCCTAGTTCGGCAAGGGTGGAAACTGGACTTTTAAAGTCAGTTAACTCTCTTGCCTCGGGAAGATGTTATCGGCAGACTGTTGGACAGATTCAGGCAGGCATTGTTCAACAAGGCGGTCAGTTCGACTTACTTGCCAAAAGAAATGTTCTGGTGTCAGGTCTAATACAGGCAATACACTACGTAAACGAAGCAGCAGTTTCGATACCAACGCTTTGAATCGGACTCAGTAGATCATTGTATCTAATCAACTCGACCCCATGTCGGCATTGTCAAGTGGGATACTACTAAGTTGCGGATGTTATTTCTGTCTAGTCCAATGGTTTCAGCGTTACTCTAAGCCACTGTGACATCTTTAACCTGACCAAACCATTCAGTGGTATACCCATTTTGACCATAACGTCACTTCAGAAAACGTATTGTTACGGTATTTGTCGTTATCAGTTTGGAAAGATGGTATGGCCAAACTACCCGTATCTCTACCATGAGATAACAGTCTAAAGTGAGTGAGTGAGTGCGTAGGGTTTTACGCCGAACTTTACAATATTACGGCGGGGGACAACAGAAATGGACGTTACACATTGTACCGATATGGGCGAATCAAACCCGGAACACGTCCCATTTTAATTCTGGAAACCCAAAAGTCCAGAAACTCTACGCTCTTTGCCCAGTCTCGGTTAAAGGTATTTACAAAATTAAACATGCCGTTTTCATGGGAACATACCAAGGAAGAAAAAATGAAAAAAAAAATGTTTAAAAACTCAATATTTAGACTATGTCGCCCATGGGCCTGCCCATGGGCGAAGTCTGGCCCATGGGTAGGCCCATGGGCAGGCCCATGGGCGAGAATATTTTCCTCTACTTAAAACTCATGTTTTTGTTTCGCAAATACATTTAATGTATTCATTCAAGTATCATGACACAAAATTTAACTCATTTTAACTTAATTCAACGATTTTATAGCGATATTGAAATATTTCGCCCATGGGCGAGAAAAAGGTTTGGCCCATGGGCGAGAATATGTTCCTTTACTTAAAACTCATGATTTTGTTTCGCAAATACATTAAATGTATTTATTGAAGTATCATGACACAAAATTAAACTCATTTTAACTTAATTCAACGATTTTATAGCGATATTAAAATATATCGCCCATGGGCGAGAAAAAGGTTTGGCCCATGGGCAGGCCCATGGGCGAGAACATGTTTCTTTACTTAAAACTCATGTTTTTCTTTCGCAAATACATTAAATGTATTTATTCATGTATCATGACACAAAATTTAACTAATTTTTACTTAATTCAACTATTTTACGGCGTTATTAAAATATTTCGCCCATGTTTTCGTCAGTCCCTTTCAAGCATCAACTAACTGTTTGCAAAGTATATTGTATCATGTGAAATATACTTTATATTATATCATTACATTACTATTTAAAAAGGGCTTTTGGTTGGATGTTTCCTTTAGTTCTACAAATTTCACCTGTTTTACATATTGTAGCGATCTTTAATGAACCCGGCCTTACCTCTCAAAACGTTTTGACAGTTTATCATACGAATTCATGTGCGTGTACTCAAATTCATTGGAGTTATTTTCCACAACATTAAATTTTAGTTAGTTTCTATTTCATTTCCCATTTTATGTCCCGTTGATACATCACACTGGGCAATTACGTGACACTAGGTATGCAATATACAGGTACGCGTGCGCGTATTTTAATGAAAAAAACTATTCGTCTTTTATTGCATAACGTTTGGCTGAATATCTTACATTCTAACGAAATCTCGAAATAATTATTTAATTACATGCGGTTTCGAACTGACCAGTAGGAATTATGTTTCAATGCGATGAGGAAAACGTGAGTGAATATTGTGACCCTAAAGCAACTTTTAACTGCATTGTCACTTTTGGTATGAAAATGGTAACAGTTCAGAAAAAACAACAGCCTTCTTATGATAATTCTCATTAGTACGTTGTTTCTAATTACAGTGTCGGCCTTATTTACAGGTGATTCTACAATACCTGCTCTCGGTCAATTACGATCTACCACAACACGCGTGAATAAACAGTTATGCAGGTGTTGCTGTGGGCAAATACCTAGCCTGAAAATGTTTATTTTTTTTAGGATACATTTTTTACAAATGTTCGTTGATATGTGGATATATTAAGCACAAAGACAAAAAAATGTTTATGAAAGATGAATTAGTGCCTTGATATATTCATCGAGATGTGTAGCATCGTTTAATGGGGTCATTCAATAAACGTATGTTTGGAGGAGATATCAAAGGAGCCGCCCAATATACACAGTGTCGTCCGGTGAACTACCACCCCACCCTGTCCATTAGAGTTATGTAATCGGTACACAAATATATTTGATGCGGTGTCAGTGCGGAAGGAGTTTGAATTACGTCCGCCACTTGCCACAGAAATCCTCAAAGTATAGAAACAATAAACAAGGTCAATCCGTACTAATTACCTAGTGACGCACGCAACAACGACTGTCAATAGGGAAAATGGTGAAAACAAATTGAAATAGATTTTAATAAAACATTATTGTACTAAATAACTCGCAAAAGCGGTGCCTAAAATTGTTTGACCGTGTTATGTGTGTTGTAAACTGACGAATAGCAAGTAATTGTCATGCTGTACGCATGGTTCCATATACAAATTCAGTTATACAACCGGTATGAAACTGAGAACTGAGATACCAAGTACAACCTGCATTCACACACGGAAGCAATATACTTGTGTGTATGCCCTCTCCTCTAAAAAATGTATCACTAAAGTATTTGCATTGAAAAAAATATAAATGATAAATGATAAAACTTGGTAATTTGGTAGGTCTCCGACAGATATGATTTTCAGTTTTTTTACACCTTTGATTGATACAGATTACGTACCTGTAGTCTAGTCACTGTATCTAATGTATCTGCTTGTTAGCAATTTCAAATGTCTTGTTATAGCACTGTTCCTAAAATACGGCAGTTTCTTTTATCGGGTATAAATATATAGTTGATTCGTCTTGTCACGCAGTCATTTTTACTTGATCGAATGATTTCCACAAAAAATTACGGCAGAGAGTTTTGTATTTTATTATATTTTTAGAAGATTTTAGAAGATGCTTACATCACTGTATCTCAGAACGTAAAACTGATAACATTCAAACATGTAATTAGTACACAGTTAATTGTTACATATAATTTCCTGCATATTCCTTTTTGAACAAAAAGCCTACATGTATACTGATATCGGTGTCCACTGTTAAAAGGGTATTAGTGCAGTCAGCCATGGTAAATGGAGAGACAATAATAAGGTGATTAATTATAGTCTGTTGCAGAATATGCGGTATAAGTGTAGTCATGGATACATATACACATTACACATATACAGATGAAATACACGATATGATGCAGTGCAAGAACAAATTAAGATACGGTTTCTATTAAAAATATTTATACGATTTTGGATTTAATTAGCATGTTTAAATTTTCAGGCCAACACGGCTGAGATACAGCATCGGCATACTCAACTGGAGTTGTTTTCTGCCGGTCGTAAGTTCATTGTTTGACTGAGCACACTCGTGTCGGGGTTGCGATATTTTCTTCTCTTTGTTGGCAGCCTGCCACCGGTCTGAATTTTGAGAAAGGTCTCAGCATGGGACTGTTAATTACTTCTTAATGATGTCTACAAGCTTACAAACTTGTAGATGTTGGGTGCGGTTAGGACCAAACTTTTTCAGCTCAGAGTGTTAGTGGTCCTGGAACCCATAGTGTCAAACAGGTTCTGCACAAAACGTCCATCAGATTCTACTGTTCAGCAACATTGTCACTGAATTTCAGAACTCTGGCATGATATAATAATCAAGGATTTCGTATACTAATTGAACAGAGTTCACCTGCACATGTCCACTTTAGTGATACAGACTGTAACCAAAAATGCAATGAGCCGTAGCTCTTAATCCCTTATAACAACGGTAACAACAACCAGGGTGAGGACACAGTAAGGTTAAACCGTGTCCAACAGACAATCTGAGGTGGCTATCTCCCATCAAGTCAGCTCTGTTTTTAAGCGCATAGTTATGTTTTTACATATTGAAATAAAAGGAATTTAAAAAATTATATTTAACAAACCTACACATTACCAAATACAAAACTTTATAACCCTTTCTAGACTTCGTTCCAATTAACCTGGATCATTCAACTCGCTCGCGAAGGTCGTATGCGTCTTTAAAGTGAATACGTCTACAGTGTACAAGTAACTTTTAACTGTATCATATATACTCATGATAAGCAATTATTTTCGTTCCTAATTTGAATGAGCACATTCGGAGGCTAAATCTGCAAAATGACAGATAAAATATTTCTTTGTACAATGCAAACGATACAAACGTAGCGGCTGATAATAGAGACAATGTTTTAATAATCTGCAATATATCAAGTGTTCTCGTTCAATCTATTGTACATGTTGAAGTGATTGTAAAGTTTCAAGGAGTACTAAAATGTTGTGGTATTATGAATGTATTTAGAATATGAATAGCGAAAAACAGTCACCATATCGGATGTACATGTATAACTTGTCTTCCAACACCACGCTTTTGCCGAGGCCCATGGTAATAAAACTAATCGGTCCCATAAAAGGAGCAAATAGTTTCGCAGATACTTCTTGCTATGGTTCACTCCCAATTGTCAGAAGACCTAATCATCAGTCAGACCAGTCAAGTGTGACCAGCGTACCTGCCTGGATTTGGCTCCTAATTACTGAACTGCCCAATACTGTCATACTGTGGGCAGAGTAAGCGGCCTCGTTGAGTGATACAGACTAACCAGATTATGATTGTGTTTGTAAGTTACGTTTAATAAGTCAAGACTAGGGGTAGTTTTTTCAATGAAACCTTTTGAGTTTGTTTTGCATTCATTTCATTAAATACATTGTTAGGTAGAATAATAACACGTTATATGGATTAAACATCTCCCTAATCTGAGTATAATCTCTCATGTACTCTAAGTACCGTACTATATTACTTTGCGGAGGCACTGAGTATAATTTTTTAGTTGGCATTGTATGCTGTCTGAATGACTTTACCCAAATCCCTGCATTCAATAGACCCGTGAAGATCTTCAACAAACCATTCTTCGCGTAAAAGGGCGACAGCGCTTGTCGTAAGAAGCGACTACCGGGATCGGGTGGTCAGGCTCGCTGACTTGGTTGATGCATGTCATCGTATCCCAATTGCGTGGATCGATGCACATGATGTCAATCACTGGATTGTCTGGTCCAGACTCGATTATTTACAGACCGCCGTCATACAGCTGAAATATTGCTAAGTGTGGCGTTATACAACTAACAAACAAACAAAACACAAAAAGAGAAAGTGTATGAGTACTAAAACTTGCAATAGATATGCGTACCCTACGTACACACATGAGTCCCATTCGACAGTCTACAACACACGAATAACTGTCAAACAAGTTTGGGTACCCCTTCTGTTCAGGCAAGTTATTTAGTTCGATAATTTTGTATTAAAATCCTTTTCAATTTGTTTTCATCCTTTTTCCCTATTCCATGCATGTTTATGTTGCTACATCTTAGTGCTCATGTTCCCAAGTATTGTAAAACACTTTAAGTTTCTCCTTCTTAATCTAACGTTATAACATTTCCGGTCATTGCCATCATCTAATACACAAGAGATGATTCCAAGACATATTTTATTCGGTTTTATGGTCTATGCGGTCTTACAATTGATTCTATTAGTCATTAAATCTTATGTCTAGTAAATATTTTCACAAACAGGGCTGTTAACTGATATAAGGAATGTAACATCCAGTTGAGGACTGAATACGACGTACGTTAGTCTGGTAACGACATTTCTACAATTAATATTTTGAATAAGCCGTTAATACGCCAGTTGTGACAGGGATGATGGTATGGTAGATGTAGCAGACATATTGACAGCCGTTGTTACGCGAGTCACTAGGTTATTAGTACGGCATTGTCCTTGTTGATTGGTACTATACTTTCTGTGGCCACTGGCGGACGTAATTCAAACTCCTTCCACACTGACATTGCACCAAATATATTTGTGTACCGATTACATAACTCTTACTGACAGGGTAGGGTGGTAGTTCACGCGAAACGGACGACACTGTGTATATTGAGCGGCTCCTTTGATAACCCCTCACAACATACTTTTAATGAATGACCAATTAAACGATGATACACATCAGGATCGCGGAGAAAATACAAGCTTCGTTCGCGTTGAATATATATATCAAGGCACAAATTCATCTTTCATAAACATTTTGTGTCTTGGTGCTTAATATATCCACATATCAACGAAAATATGTAATACATGTATCCACAAAAATATACATGTACAGGCTAGGTATTTGCCCACAGCAACACCTGCATAACTGTTTATTCACGCGTGGTGTGGCAGATTGTAATTGACCGACAACAAGTACTGTAGAATCACCTGTAAATAAGGCCGACACTGTAATTAGACACAACGTACTAATAAGAATATGAGAATTATCATAAAAAGGCTGTTACGTTTTTCTTAACTATTACCATTTTCATACCATATTTCAATATCGCTATAAAATCGTTGAATTAAGTTAAAATGAGTTTAATTTTGTGTCATGATACTTCAATAAATACATTTAATGTATTTGCGAAACAAAATCATGAGTTTTAAGTAAAGGAACATATTCTCGCCCATGGGCCAAACCTTTTTCTCGCCCATGGGCGAAATATTTCAATGTCGCTATAAAATCGTTGAATTAAGTTAAAATGAGTTAAATTTTGTGTCATGATACTTGAATGAATACATTAAATGTATTTGCGAAACAAAAACATGAGTGTTAAGTAGAGGAAAATATTCTCGCCCATGGGCCTGCCCATGGGCCTACCCATGGGCCAGACTTCGCCCATGGGCAGGCCCATGGGCCACACTTCGCCCATGGGCAGGCCCATGGGCGACATAGTCTAAATAATGAGTTTTTAAACAATTTTTTTTTCATTTTTTCTTCCTTGGTATGTTCCCATGAAAACGGCATGTTTAATTTTGTAAATACCTTTAACCGAGACTGGGCAAAGAGCGTAGAGTTTCTGGACTTTTGGGTTTCCAGAATTAAAATGGGACGTGTTCCCGGACATTCGGCGTGACGGGCGAACCCTTAAACCACTAGGCTACCCGGCCGCCCCGTTCAGCTGGTGTGGAACACGTTATTTAAGTTTCAACTGGGGATTTATCTACAGAGAAATTTCATTAGCATAAAAACTCGCTGTGTAATATGGTGTTTGGTGAGTTAGTGAGTTGGGATTTACGCCGTTTTAGCAATAGTTCAGCAATATCACGGGGGGGGGGGGGGGGGGGGGGGACAACAGAAATGAGCTTCACACATTGTACCTAAGTAGGAATCCAAACCAAGAGCTGACGACTAGACTGACCAACCGCCCATACGGGGTCTGTTTTGAGTTGCTGTTTGGCTCCTCGGAGTAATAATATTAGTTATGGTGTCTATAGTTGCCGTATACGGTCTCATATTAGGTCAGCAACAACCATCTTGGATTTTTACTGACGGTGTACGGGCTCATATGGGATTAGAAGTGAGTAAGACTGGTTTTACGCCGCTTTTAGCAATATTCCAGCAATATCACGGCGGGGGACACCAGAAATGGGCTTCCCACATTGAACCCATGTCGGGACTCGAACCCGGGTCTTCGGCGTGACGAGCGAACGCTTTAACCGCTAGGCTACCCGACCGCCCCTGGGTTAGTAGTTCTGCTCTCTGATTGGTCAATTTGACTCTGAGGCATAAAAAAGTCGCTATGTGGCTGAAATAGTGTCGACGCGATGTGAAAGTTTAACCCACTCACGGATTAATAAAATTGATGTTAAAACCCATGTATCACACCAGCTGACACAATAACACTGCTTACCTTGGGCCGGCTGAAAAAGGGACAAACGAGAAAGGGTCCATTTTCGCCATGTTGTCTGGGTGGAATCTGTCGGGCCTGAAAACGTCTGGCTCTTCCCAGATATCCGGGTGGCGGTGAAGGTTGTATATGGACACAGCGACTATCGTCCCCGTCGGTAGCGTCACGCCGCCGATGTTGACGACGTCCTCCGTCTGTCTGGCGATGAAAGGGACGGGGGAGTGGTATCGGAGGGATTCCTTTATACACAGAGTCAGGTATTCCAATGTCGGAAGGTCGCCCCTAGATGTAGAGAGAACGAGCATAACAGGGTTAATGCGTTATGTGTATCTACGGAGTCCTCAGAACCCGTTTCCAGAGCAATGGAAACATTCACAGGCAGAATATAATATGTACAGGCGATATGCATTGAATTTATCATATGGACGCGGGAGGCGCTATCAAGATAGCAATTGTGTCATCAGTATGAGCTTCAGTAGGCTTGTTTGTCTGTTGGTGTGTGTGAGAGAGTGAGAGAGTGAGTGAGTGAGTAAGTTGGGTTTACTCCGCTTTTAACAGTATTCCAGTTATATCACGGCGTGTCAGCTTAATGTGGGAGGAAAGCCCGAAGTGATGCAGGTCTCAGACGTTTACCACTTCGGTGAAACCCACGAGCACGGGTATGGTGCTGACAAACCTAGAAACATAATTGGGGCGAACCGGGATTCGAACCCACAATCATAGGTTTCTGGCGTGCCCAAGGGACGCAACTCTGCACAGCGAATCGCGGCGCCTTAGACGACTGGGCCACCCGTGCCCCCGAGAGTGAGAGAAAGAGAGAGACAGACAGACAGACAGAGACAGAGAGAGAGAGACATAGAGAGAGAGAGACATAGAGAGAGAGAGAGAGAGAGAGAGAGAGAGAGAGAGAGAGAAAGAGAGAGAGAGTATATATATAGTTTATATATGAGTATATATACATAAATGGAGCGTGTTGATAATTGTATTTCATATTCTAGGTGCAGCACATCCCACTGTGTCAATAACTGTGGACGAAGTGCGTATGAGTTTGTAGGCCTTCTTTAGCATTATATATCTTTGCACATATATTGTAAATATGTATCATGCCAAGTGCATGATTAGTTACTGTACTTAATATAATACTTGCCAGAAAGTGGTAATTGTATCTACAATATTCAATTTCTATACAACCATGGATATTAAGGTATGATATGGTACAGTAGACTACGGTTAAAACGAACACGCTTATAACGAACTGACGGATATAACGAATTTACTTTTTGGTCCCGAATTTTTGCTGTAGTTATGCTGTATATATGCTTATAACGAACCACGGTTATAACGAATTAAAATGAGTAGTCCCTTTGAGTTCGTTATAACCGTAGTTTCCCGTATTTGGGTTTAATGGCGACTTGGACCATAAAAGGCCTATTTGCGCCCAACACATCAAATGTTTTCAAACAAGAGCAAAGTGAGTAATGGAAATGGCATGATGAACTAATCTGCTTCATAATCTAATTAATGTATTAAAACAGCAAGTAATCACTATTTAAAATAGTTGATTAGTCAATATACATTTAACTTATACAATATGTCAAATTTTCCTGATGCGGTCACGAAGTCTAATATTGCCCCTATTGCCTTAAAATATGCTGGGGCCCAAAAGTGTAATAAGAGAAAATGAGCTTTCTCTCTCAAGTATTGCACTTCTTAAATTTAATCTGATTTTAATAATTAAATAAGCCTTCACTGCCTCGGGAGTATTTTCATCAAATAAACATACAGAGGATACCTCTATATCAATGACACTGCGGTAAGCACCCACACCCACAAAGTCCAAGTTGAAGGTTTTTTTAACGAGGACTTCCTTATGGTTATGTGATCAGAAGGACAAATTGAATTCATCTGTCAGCCAGCATCCCACAACTGTCGCCAGCATCCCACAACTGTCGCCAGCATCCCACAACTGTCGCCAGCATCCCACAACTGTCGCCAGCATCCCACAACTGTCGCCAGCATCCCACAACTGTCGCCAGCATCCCACAACTGTCGCCAGCATCCCACAACTGTCGCCAGCATCCCACAACTGTCGCCAGCATCCCACAACTGTGGCCGGCATCCCACAACTGTCGCCAGCATCCCACAACTGTCGCCAGCATCCCACAACTGTCGCCAGCATCCCACAACTGTCGCCAGCATCCCACAACTGTGGCCGGCATCCCACAACTGTCGCCAGCATCCCACAACTGTCGCCAGCATCCCACAACTGTCGCCAGCATCCCACAACTGTGGCCAGCATCCCACAACTGACGCCAGCATCCCACAACTGTGGCCAGCATCCCACAACTGTGGCCAGCATCCCACAACTGTGGCCAGCATCCCACAACTGTCGCCAGCATCCCACAACTGTCGCCAGCATCCCACAACTGAGGCCAGCATCCCACAACTGTGGCCAGCATCCCACAACTGTGGCCAGCATCCCACAACTGTGGCCAGCATCCAACAACTGTGGCCAGCATCCCACAACTGTCGCCAGCATCCCACAACTGTCGCCAGCATCCCACAACTGTGGCCAGCATCCCACAACTGTGGCCAGCATCCCACAACTGTGGCCAGCATCCAACAACTGTCGCCAGCATCCCGCAACTGTCGCCAGCATCCCACAACTGTGGCCAGCATCCCACAACTGTGGCCAGCATCCCACAACTGACGCCAGCATCCCACAACTGTGGCCAGCATCCCACAACTGTGGCCAGCATCCCACAACTGTGGCCAGCATCCAACAACTGTGGCCAGCATCCCACAACTGTCGCCAGCATCCCACAACTGTCGCCAGCATCCCACAACTGTGGCCAGCATCCCACAACTGTGGCTAGCATCCCACAACTGTCGCCAGCATCCAACAACTGTCGCCAGCATCCCACAACTGTCGCCAGCATCCCACAACTGTCGCCAGCATCCAACAACTGTGGCCAGCATCCAACAACTGTCGCCAGCATCCCACAACTGTGGCCAGCATCCCACAACTGTCGCCAGCATCCCACAACTGACGCCAGATTCCCACAACTGTCGCCAGCATCCCACAACTTTCGCCAGCATCCCACAACTGTGGCCGGCATCCCACAACTGTCGCCGGCATCCCACAACTGTCGCCGGCATCCCACAACTGTCGCCAGCATCCCAAAACTGTCGCCAGCATCCCAAAACTGTCGCCAGCATCCCACAACTGTGGCCAGCATTCTACAACTGTCGCCAGCATCCCACAACTGTCGCCAGCTAGTGGTGAATGAGTTTGCTGATACAAAGTCGAAATCATTTGGTTCTGGTCTGAATTCCGATATTGTTAACTCGGGATATTGAAAGCCAGACTTCGCAAGATGGTCTTTTGACTCATTTCCATGGGTGACCCATTGATACCAGATTCAATTGCTTTAACAGCCTACATAAAGTCTACATATAATATCGTGATCGAGTTGTCTCCCTTGGTTAACTGTACATTCACTTGCGTGAGGAGACCCGTGAAGATTCCGGGGTAGAATAAGTCTTCAGCAACCCATGCTTGCCGTTAAATGTGACTATGCTTGTCGTAAAAGGCGACTAACGGGATCGGATGGTCAGGCTCGCTGACTTGGTTGGTGCATGATGTCAATTACTGGATTGTCTGGTCCAGACTCGATTATTTACAGAACGCCGTCATATAGCTGGAATATTGCTGAGTGCGGCGTAAAACAACAAACCAAAAAAATGCGTGAAGATGACAATGATTTCATACATCACTGATTGTGATGTTCATGTATGAATATGTTTTTATAATATTATTATTTGTGCATTACAGGATGTCAATATATTATCTTCCATGGCAATAAAAAATACAAACCTCCGCCTGTGTTGGATCGTCTAATTTCCCACCACAAACTCAGTTACATACGTACCAGGTGACAGTATCTCTGTCGTGCAGGACCCCGTCAAGTTCCGTCTGCACCCTCCGCCGGTAGTCGGCGTGCTGCGCCAGGGAGTACAACGTCCACGAGATGGCGCTAGCTGTTGTGTCATGACCTGTACAAAGAACGTTATCAAAACCATCTCCAAACTCCAACCCGTGAAGATTCCGGGGTAGAATAGGTCTTCAGCAACCCATACTTGCCGTAAAAGGCGACTATGCTTGTCGTAAAAGGCGACTAACGGGATCGGGTGTTCAGGCTCGCTGACTTGGTTGATGCATGTCATCGATCCCAATTGCGTGGATCGATGCTCATGATGTCAATCACTGGATTGTCTGGTCCAGACTCGATTATTTACAGACCGCCGTCATATAGCTGGAATATTGCTGAGTGCGGCGTTAAACAACAAACCAACCAACTCACATACTGGAACAGGAATTAGCTTTTCAAAAGAGACGTCGCCAGATGAGTGACGTAGCGTTATAACGGGGCAGATTGATTGTGATCTTGAGACTACTGCTAATTAAAACAATACACCATGTCAAACCTGAACAATAATTGCACAGGCAATCGCCAATAGGCGTAAAAGTTGTAAATTACAATATGGACATACTTGTAGGGTTTACATGACATACGACTCCACGCTTGATTGGTATACGGAAAGAAACTCATTCGGTGTATCACTGAGTCGGTGAGTGAGTGAGTATGGTTTTACGCCGCTTTTAGCAATATTCCAGCAATATCACGGCGGGGGACGCCTGAAATGGGCTTCACACATTGTACCCATGTTGGGAATCGAACCCGGGTCTTCGGTGTGATGAGCACTTTTACCATAAGGCTAACCACCCACACGTGTGTCACTGAAGAATAGGCAGTTTTACCGAAATTCCTATCAAAAGTTAAAGAAATGTAGATACACATCTGCCAACAGAAAATATCAATCTTTCAATCTTTGAAAACTATTCCTGTTTACCGTGAGGTGTCCTAACTGGGTTATCGGCGAACTGACCTTCAAACAATATGGTGTCCACCTCGTTCTGGATCTCACCGGTCGTCATCCCCACGCCGTCCTCATCTCTCGCTTTCAGCAGGATGTCCAGAAAGTCTAGGTACCGCGTCCCCGGAGTCCCCATTGTCGATGGCGTCCCCTCGTCTGCCTGGAGATACAGGGTGGGGACACAGAAGTGGACACTAAAGTCTCATGTCTGGCTCCCGCATTGTTGGCAGACCCATATAACTTTTATTGCGTGTCAGATTGCATCGAACAGCATTTAAGGTACAAACATGGCGTAACCCCCCCCCCCCCCCCCCCCCCACCCCCCCCCCACCCCCTCTCTCTCTCTCTCTCTCTCTCTCTCACGCACGCACGCACGCACGCACGCACGCACGATCATACATTCTCACTCGCTCAGACAGATCATGATCTAAACATGTACATGTACTGTGTATTCAATATTAGAACCGGCGATTGAGTGAGTGAGTGAGTGAGTAAGTGAGTTGGGTTTAACGCCGCTTTTAACAGTATTCCAGTTATATCACGGCGTGTCAGCTTAATGTGGGAGGAACGCCCGAAGTGATGCAGGTCTCAGACGTTTACCACTTCGGTGAAACCCACGAGCACGGGTATGATGCTGACAAACCTAGAAACATAATCGGTGTGAACGGGATTCGAACCCACAATCATAGGTTTCTAGCGTGTCCAGGGGACGCAACTCTGCACAGCGAATTGCGGCGCCTTAGGCGACTGGGCCACCCGTGCCCCCACCGGCGATTGAAGGCAGGACAGTGGAGAGGTGTATCTGCTTCGGATCCGTATTTACAGAGTACAGACCACAGAGACCCCAGGGGTTCTAGTTCATTGTGTGACCCCTACCTACCAGTGTCTTTTGCCTGGCGGCGATGACGGTGGCGGAGACGTTGTGGACGTAGTCTGTCAGCTGCTTGAACCTCCTCCCGTTCTGCGTCCTGTCATACAACCACTGTACGTGATGCAAGGGCTGTCTGTGGACATAGAGACAGATCTACAGAGACTAGGGCTGAAACGATATCCCGGGACACCGATGCATCACGATTCACTCCATACGATATGGTGCGCGATTTGTGAGGTGCTGTATCTCGATTTTTCACGATACGTTTTTTCAAAGAGGTACATATATATAAATATTCCTTGGTCCTTAATCTGGACGTTATGAATGTGTTAGCTTACATTTTTTTATGTACAACGAACTTAATTAAGTTGTAAATGCATTATTTAAATAATGTGATAAACGTAACTTTCATATTTATAAATACTAGGATTAGACCTTTCAAATGCTGTATAACATTACGGTTCCGTCGGTTGCCCCCCCCAAAATACATGAAAATGGCAAATCATAAGTTACTGGACACTGGTACATTTAGTATTTACTCCTACCATCTAGTCACAACTCACAAATATGTAGGGTTGTTACTTTTGTGTTTGCTGGCATTTACTTGGAAATGGCAGATGATTTATTAAGTAAAAATACTCATTACAGTTTATATTTTATGACTCATGAACATTCATTCACGTTCATTTAATTTTTCATTTTAATAAACTAAGTTTAATTCATTTATCTCTTGTCTTCTCTTGTCACTATATGTATCGTAGCGTATCGAGATGCGCATCGTATCGTGATGTAAGTATCGAGATACGTATCTTATCGTGACCTAGGTGTATCGTTGCAGCCCTAACATAGACACACAGACAGATTCACTCACATCTAACAGCGAGAGTGATGAGTCGGCCCGACCACAGACTAGCCACACCTGGGGGTACGGGTGGCCCAGTCGCCTAAGGCGCCGCAATTCGCGTTGCAGTGTTGCGTCCCTTGGGCACGCCAGAAACCTATGGTTGTGGGTTCGAATCCCGGTTCGCCCCGATTACGTTTCTAGGTTTGTCAGCACCATACCAGTGCTCGTGGGTTTCACCGAAGTGGTAAACGTCTGATACCTGCACCACTTCGGGCTTTCCTCCCACATTAAGCAGACACGCCGTGATATAACTGGAATACTGTTAAAAGCTGCGTTAAACCAAGCTCACACACTCACTCACTAACTACAAACCTGTGTGAGGCGAAGACAGTGTGAGATTGTATCTACCTGAGTTAGCTGACCAGACACCACACACCTGTGTGAGGCGGGACAGTGTGAGATTGTATCAACGTGAGTCAACTGACCAGACACCACACACCTGTGTGAGGCGAGACAGTGTGACATTGTATCTACGTGAGTCAGCTGACAAGACACGACACACCTGTGTGAGGCGAGACAGTGTGAGATTGTATCTACCTGAGTCAGCTGACCAGACACCACACACCTGTGTGAGGCGAGACAGTGTGAGATTGTATCTACGTGAGTCAGCTTACCAGACACCACACACCTGTGTGAGGCGAGACAGTGTGAGATTGTATCTACGTGAGTCAGCTGACCAGACACCACACACCTGTGTGAGGCGAGACAGAATGAGATTGCATCTACGTGAGTCAGCTGTCAAGACACGACACACCTGTGTGAGGCGAAGACAGTGTGAGATTGTATCTACGTGAGTCAGCTTACCAGACACCACACACCTGTGTGAGGCGAGACAGTGTGAGATTGTATCTACGTGAGTCAGCTGACCAGACACGACACACCCGTGTGAGGCGAGACAGTGTGAGATTGTATCTACGTGAGTCAGCTGACCAGACACCACACACCTGTGTGAGGTGTGACAGTGTGAGATTGTATCTACGTGAGTCAGCTGACCAGACACCACACACCTGTGTGAGGCGAGACAGTGTGACATTGTATCTACCTGAGTCAGCTGACCAGACACCACACACCTGTGTGAGGCGAGACAGAATGAGATCGCATCTACGTGAGTCAGCTGACAAGACACGACACACCTGTGTGAGGCGAGACAGTGTGAGATTGTATCTACGTGAGTCAGCTGACCAGACACCACACACCTGTGTGAGGCGAGACAGTGTGAGATTGTATCTACGTGAGTCAGCTTACCAGACACCACACACCTGTGTGAGGTGTGACAGTGTGAGATTGTATCTACGTGAGTCAGCTGACCAGACACGACACATCTGTGTGAGGCGAGACAGTGTGAGATTGTATCTACGTGAGTCAGCTGGCCAGACACCACACACCTGTGTGAGGTGTGACAGTGAGAGATTGTATCTACGTGAGTCAGCTGACCAGACACCACACACCTGTGTGAGGCGAGACAGTGTGAGATTGTATCTACCTGAGTCAGCTGACCAGACACCACACACCTGTGTGAGGCGAGACAGTGTGAGATTGTATCTACCTGAGTCAGCTGACCAGACACCACACATCTGTGTGAGGTGTGACAATGTGAGAAAGTATCCACGTGAGTCAGGTGACCACAGACACCACACACCTGTGTGAGATATAACAGAGAGAGATTGAATGTACCTGAGTCAGCTTCTAACACCTTGTGAGACGTGAGATATATATCTACCTGAGTCTACAGATCACCAGCTACTGTACACCTTGTGAGACGTGAGATATATATCTACCTGAGTCTACAGATCACCAGCTACTGTACACCTTGTGAGACGTGAGATATATATCTACCTGAGTCTACAGATCACCAGCTCTGTCAACTCTTCCACTGCCTTCATGTACGGGTGGTCGTTTCTGAGAGGAAATGACAAAGTGAAACATGACACAAGAACCTCTTCTATTTGATGACATGAACAATTTCAGTGAGGAGAGAATGTACATTTAGTTATTAGACCAAGTTCAAGGACAAAGACTCTTCATCTGGTTTAGACAAGACAGAATAAACTTAAAAAGATATGTTAAATTCATCGAATTCAAAACATGTTCACATCTAACCCTAACTATTAGTGCACATTATCGGCTATCTACCTATAAAACATGTATCTGTCCACTGGTACATGTACTATCTGTCCACTGGTACATGTACTATCTGCCTGTATGGTACATGTACTATCTGCCTGTATGGTAAATGTACTGTCTGTCTGTATGGTACATGTACTATCTGCCTGTATAATACATGTATCTATCCACTGTATGACACATGTACTATCTGCCTGTATAATACATATATCTATCCACTGTATGACACATGTACTATCTGCCTGTATGGTACATGTACTGTATGCCTGTATGGTACATGTACTGTCTGCCTGTATGGTACATGTAGCTGTCTGCCTGTATGGTACATGTATCGGCCTACCTGTATGGTACATGTACCAGCCTACCTGTATGGTACATGTACCATCTACCTGTATGGTACATGTAGCTGTCTGCCTGTATGGTACATGTAGCTGTCTGTCTGTATGGTACATGTACTATCTGTCTGTATGGTACATGTAGCTGTCTGCCTGTATGGTACATGTATCTATCTGCCTGTATGGTACATGTAGCTGTCAGCCTGTATGGTACATGTAGCTGTCCAGCTGTATGGTACATGTATCTATCTGCCTGTATGGAACATGTAGCTGTCTGTCTGTATGGTACATGTACTGTATGCCTGTATGGTACATGTAGCTGTCTGCCTGTATGGTACATGTATCTATCTGCCTGTATGGTACATGTAGCTGTCTGCCTGTATGGTACATGTAGCTTTCTGCCTGTATGGTACATGTACTATCTGCCTGTATGGTACATGTAGCTGTCTACCTGTATGGTACATGTATCTGTCTACCTGTATGGTACATGTAGCTGTCTGCCTGTATGGTACATGTAGCTGTCTACCTGTATGGTACATGTAGCTGTCTGCCTGTATGGTACATGTAGCTGTCTGCCTGTATGGTACATGTACTATCTGCCTGTATGGTACATGTAGCTGTCAGCCTGTATGGTACATGTAGCTGTCTGCCTGTATGGTACATGTAGCTGTCTACCTGTATGGTACATGTAGCTGTCTGTCTGTATGGTACATTTAGCTGTCTGCCTGTATGGTACATGTACCTCTCTGCCTGTATGGTACGTGTAGCTGTCTGCCTGTATGGTACATGTACTATCTGCCTGTATGGTACATGTAGCTGTCTACCTGTATGGTACATGTAGCTGTCTGCCTGTATGGTACATGTAGCTGTCTGTCTGTATGGTACATGTACTATCTGCCAGTATGGTACATGTAGCTGTCTGCCTGTATGGTACATGCATCTGTCTGCCTGTATGGTACATGTAGCTGTCTGCCTGTATGGTACATGTATCTGTCTGCCTGTATGGTACATGTATCTGTCTGCCTGTATGGTACATACAAGTGTCTACATGTATGGTACATGTGACTAACTACCTTGCGTTCTGTATGTCATCTTCACATGTCATGCAACACCGCAGAAGGATCTCCAACGTGCACGGTTTTATAACCTTGAACAGATCGAAGCTTTCTCCACTGGCCGCGTAGCTATCGATTTTACACTGGAAACAGACAATAGTAGTCAATATTATTTGATTTGAAAAGGTTAATTTTAGACAAGCACGTGCAAAACACAATCTTCAGATCGGGAAATAGAATTTGGGTAGAACGTATGCGTGACGATCCTGTCGTGTTTGTAGGACCATTAGTACGTCAGTCTCTCACGTCATGCATCCATCAGTACGTCAATCTCTCCCGTCATGCACCTTCAGTACGTCAATATCCCGTCATGCATCATCAGTATGTCAACCTCTCCTGTCATGCACCTTCAGTACGTCAATATCCCGTCATGCATCATCAGTATGTCAATCTCTCCCGTCATGCACCATCAGTGCGTCAATCTCCCGTCATGCACCATCAGTGCGTCAATCTCCCGTCATGCACCATCAGTACGTCAATCTCCCGTCAAGCACCGTCAGTACGTCAATCTCTCCCGTCATCCATCCATCAGTACGTCAATCTCCCGTATTGCACCGTCAGTACGTCAAGCTATCCAGTTATCCATCCATCAATACGTCAACTCATCCCGTCATCCATCCATCAATATTCAAGTCATACAGTCATCCTTCCATCAATACGTCAAGTCACACAGTCATCCATCCATCAATACGTCAAGTCATACAGTCATCCTTCCATCAATACGTCAAGTCATACAGTCATACATACATCAATACGTCAAGTCATACAGTCATACATGTACATACATTAGTCACCCCCTTCCTCGTCATGCATCTACCAGTCATCATCGCCGTCACAATAAATATTTCTGATTTGAGTGCATGACGTTCAATGACCAACCAGCAGCGTATCAACAGCAACGTTGTAGATGTCCACGTAGGGTCTGAGGATGTTGAAGTGGAAGGCGGGTGTGATGAGACGACGTGACCGCTCCCATGTCGCCCCTTTGGCAATCAATATGCCGTCCCCCAACCAAGGCCTGAAGAACTCGAACACAGATCCCATCCCGTACGGCTTGGGCGCTGAAACCGAATATCACCACATTACGTCTGTTTTATGTTACATGTATTCTCGAGCTGCCTCTAGTTTATCATCCAAAATTGGCCCCCACAGGAGATATCGCTTGGGTGAGATCAAGCGATATCTACACTGTAGATGTCGCTGCAATGACATTGCATCACAATGCTTTTGCAGACCATTGTGACGTCATTGTTACCATGATGTCACAATCAAATGACATCACTAATGGCTCTGCTACTTAAGCTGTTAGCAGTACTTTTTACACTCAAGACACTGCTTATTAATGTCCACAAACTGAAAAAAATGGAAGAATGATGTTGGGTGATAAATAAAATCTCACCCTCGTGTCTTTTGATATCAAATATATCAAGCCTCGGAGTTTTCCCACTTTTATCAACTCGTGTTGATATATTTGATATCAAAAGACACTCCGGTGGGATTCTCTATATAGGGCATTGTTGAAACTGTTGACATAGTGAGTGAGGTGGGTGTATCGATGCTTTGAACAGTATTTCAGTTGTATCAAGACGGAACAGCTTGCTGTAATATATGAGCATGTCGAGGCAGTCTAGTTTAGACATGTACCATTATGGTGGAGCCTACGACCATGGGTATGGAGTTGACAAACCTGGACAAAACATGATCCGGCGAAAGTGAGTTCACGACCATAGCAACAACGCGTGTGGTCTGACGTTGATTAATGAATATTTTGCATACTCGTATATGCAAGGGGCCAACGTATGGTTCCTGTAGGAAGTGACAACTTGGAGAGGTTAGCACATAGTGTCACTGGTTGTTGTCTAGGTGCCCCGGAGCACCCAGCCTAACCCTAGCTAAGCTAAGGGTAAGACCTTTCTTCTTCTCTTTCAATCTCACTGGACCAAGGCTTATATAGCCAAGGTCACCTGACATTTAGTAAGTAATAAATTCAAATGTAAACAGTAATTCATCAGTGACATACTTGCACATCTCATTCGGGATGGCAGACGGTCGATGTACACAAAAATGGGGATTAACAATTAGGATTAGCATCTTATAAATAACAGCAATTACCCGGTAAGTGTTTCAAGGCATATAGATGTCATGGCTCCAGGGTAATGAGCCTTTGCAATTAAATGTTCTTCAGACAATGGGTGTCGTAAATCAGTCGCTATGACAATAGTTTCTGACATGGCTAGGGGACGCAACTCTGCGCAGAGAATTATGGCTCTGTAGACGACTGGGCCATCGTGCATCCATAATTTGTCACATGGATCATGTGTGTATTGCCATGCTATCGGACAGTGCTCACTTCTTGCCATACAGAGGGGATTCCCCCTGGTACCCAATGCTTGTCGGCGACGTGACTAAGTGGATTGGGTGATCAGGTGGATTGATTGGTGCCATTGTTCCCTTGTTCATAATATACATCACTGGAATGTCTGGTCGTGATAAAGCTTGAACAAACAAACAGATCTCGTTGAAAGAAATATAATATGACGTCAGGACACACGAGTTCTTTACCGATGCCATGTTCTATTACACAGTTCTTACACGTTTGAAAATGTAATTTCCTGTTTTCGGTAAAACGTAGCGATGCTTCAAATAAAGTGTGGGGGCACGGGTGGCCCAGTCGTCTAAGGCGCCGCGATTCGCTGTGCAGAGTTACGTCCCTTGGGCACGCCAGAAACCTATGATTGTGGGTTCGAATCCCGGTTCGCCCCGATTATGTTTCTAGGTTTGTCAGCACCATACCCGTGCTCGTGGGTTTCACTGAAGTGGTAAACGTCTGAGACCTGCATCACTTCGGGCTTTCCTCCCACATTAAGCTGACACGCCGCGATATAACTGGAATACTATTCAAAGCGGCGTTAAACCCAACTCACTCACTCACTCAAATGAAGTGTTCGGTTAGTTGTGGCCTTACCTGATGTTTTGAGTAGCGCCTTGACAGTCTCGGGGTGACACACTTGAATGGAGGGGACCAGGGGACCAAACCACACCCTGTACATCTTTGGGAACCTGTGGGTGAGGGACAGCTCGTATTCCAGGCGACGCTCCTCGTCCACAGGGAACTACACACACATACACTGCCGGATTACTGAACATCAACAAGATACTTAACATGTATATTTCTGGAGCTGGAAGTGGAACAGGGCTCGGCTTCACAAAGCGATCTTAGCTACGTCTCCTGCAATTCACATATTTAAACACTGACCAAAATGGAGTAGAACTGTATAGATGATTTTGCCCCGGATATAAGAGTTATCCGCCCTTGTTTACTGCATATCGCAGACTGGTGAGAGTGAGTGAGTGAGTTGGGTTTAACGCCGCTTTTAACAGTATTCAAGTTATATCATGGCGTGTAAGCTTAATGTGGGAGGAAAGCCCCAAGTGATGCAGGTCTCAGACGTTTACCACTTCGGTGAAACCCGAGGGCACGGGTATGGTGCTGACAAACCTAGAAACATAATTGGAGCGAACCGGGATTCGAACACACAATCATAGGTTTCTGGCGTGCCCAAGGGACGCAACTCTGCACAGCGAATCGCGGCGCCTTGGACGACTGGGCCACCCGTATCCCCGATGAAGATGGAACAGGGCTCAGCTTCACAAAGCGATCTTAGCTACATGTCCTGCAACTCACGTGTTTAAACACTGACCAAAATAGCTCGAGTAGAGCTGTACAGATGATTTTGCACCGGATATAAGCGTTATCCGCCCTTGTTTACTGAATATAGCAGACTGGTGAGAAGGATGGCTGTACCAAAACAAGATCAACAAGAGGGCGAATCGATGCCCCTCCGAACCGATTAATTTCCGTTATATTTTCTAATGTCATAATAAGCCCCGTGAAGATTCCGGGGTAGAATAGGTCTTCAGTAACCCATGCTTGCCGTAAAAGGTGACTATGCTTGTCGTAAAAGGCGACTAACGGGATTGGGTGGTCAGGCTCGCTGACTTGGTTGATGGATGTCATTGACCCCAATTGCGTGGATCGATGCTCATGATGTCAATTACTGGATTGTCTGGTCCAGACTCGATTATTTACAGACCGCTGTCATATAGCTGGAATATTGCTGAGTGCGGCGTCAAACAAAAAACCAAACAAATGCGTGAAGATGACAATGATTTCATACATCATTGATTGTGATGTTCATGTATGAATATGTTTTTATAATGTTATTATTTGTGCATGACAGGATGTCAATTTATTATCTTCTATCTGAGTGCGGCGTTAAATAACAAACCAACCAACCAATCTAATGTTATAAGGTACAAATGCATCCCAAAAACAAAGAGTATGCTGACAGATTCAAAAATGGCGGGTACAATGCTTTGTTTGGGTTTTTTCGTAATGGAGAGAGAAAGTCACGAAATTAAGGAATCAGTAAAGGGTATGGACAGTGGACAAACTGGTCAATAGTCAGTGGTCATTTCCAATCATGAAACGAATTGAGCTCATGGTTTCTAATGAATGAAAGTGGTTATTAGGATGTGTGACAAAGGCGGGTCAGCGTCGGTAACTCTATTAAGAGGGGTAGAGCGTCCACCCAGAGAGCGAAAGGTCTAGGGTTCGATCCCCGTCCGCGTCATACCAAAAGATGTAAAAGATGGTACTTGTTGTTGCCCTGCCTGGTGCTCGGCATTAAGGGTCTAAAACAAGGACTGGTCGGCTCGGAGTCAGTATACTGTGCCTGAGTGGGGTATTCATGTTAAACTGCAGCATAGTATCTCAGTGGGTTGGTACTATAAAATCGACAATAGGCCGGACTAGTCCAAGCAGCAAAACACATACAAGCATGCACGTCGCTTAAATAAGTGCAATAATCTTGAACGCGAGGTTAAACTCGACATCCTCCCCTCCCCCTGACTTAGTTCGACTTCCGTGTCCCAGTAGGCACTATCTTATATCATAATGGAAACTCATTACTATCCCTTGTTCTGCCTTGTGGAAGGTCGAACACCAATTGATTCATTCAAAAAAAAGAAAAAAAGGTCGTGTCCTCAAAAGATTTTATCTGTGACGTCATGCTTATGTTTGCCTCTTTATGAGTTATTCCTGCATCCTTAATGCGCGCCATCTGTCGATGGTGATGAATGTCTACTAATCAGCATTCGTGCACGGGGTAACCCGGATGTAACACAACCGGCATGATACTTGGCAAGATTTCGACTGTGACGGCACAAAGAAACGTGACCTCTTGTGTAATCTCTCTAGTCTCTACAGCATGAACTTTTAGATTAGATTTTGTAAAAAGCACAGACTGAGAAGTCCCAGTCGCTGTCTGGGCTGCGTGTAGAGGGGGCAAGGGCCCTGAGCTGATGATGAGCCTAACCAGTGCCAGGATCACTCAAACCCTCTTTCCTGCATTCTTTGTGAATGTCTGAGTATGGTTTTACGCCGCTTTTAGCAATATTCCAGAAATATCACGGATGGGGACACCAGAAATGGGCTTCACACACTGTACCCATATCGGGAATCGAACCCGGGGCTTCGGCTTGACGAGCGAACGCTTTAACCTCTAGGCTACCCGACCGCCATGTTTTAAAGGGGCACTGATCTAACGCAATTTCCCGGACTGGTTGTTGCCTTTGTTATTGTTTTTCCCCCCGTGAGTAGAAGCCAAACAACACAGAAATGTACTTTTCAACGTAACATTTTCAATCTCTTGGTGATGACATTAAACATCAAAATGTTTGGAATTCGTTATCATAATAATACAGATGGAAATGTTTTTCAGTCACTTTGTTAAATAACTGAATATTTAGGCGTTTAATAAATTTGAAAATGTTACACATTTTGACAGTAAAAAATATACACACTATCAAAAAGCAATGCTCAGGTGAAATATTTACTTTGTGTTGCAAGTCAATATAGTGTAAACGGAAATCGCAAAATTACCAAGCAAGTGACTTATCAAAACTTCGTCACCATTACCGATGCTACCCACAAAGATACCTACATTTCCTTATTATCTCGAAAACTGTATTTCATTTTGTTGATCAATGTGACCATACGCCCTTATTACTACCCATAAAAGTGACTAACGCGCTTACGAATGGCGCAGCAGAGGTCGCGAACTAGTCTAGATTTCTGCTATACATCCGGGTACTCACGGGGAAAAAACAATAACAAAGGCAACAACCAGTCCCGGGGAATTGCGTTAGATCAGTGCCCCTTTAATTAATAAAATATGTAATAATGACAATGTAACAATGTTGTACGGGACATGTAGAGTTCATGTTGTTGTATTGACACAAACCTTCTCATCATGTTACACTTCAAGTTAAACTAACAACGCTGGGGTTTCTACCATTTCTCACAAGATAAACTTTGTACCGGTAGAGATAACGTTTTGTTTTCACCAATATCATTTTACTCACCAAGTGCAAGTTGCCGGTGATGAAGGAGAAGTCAGTCTCCCCAGGAAGTGAATTGTAAAACTTGAAGCGTGACACAATTGTCCTAACCCACTGGAGGAATCTGATCAGTAGATAGATCACTGCTGCTGTGGCAATCGTCCCCGAAATGTTGTCACGTAGACTGACGTCCATGATGTATGCTTTTAAAAAACGGAAAATATGACAACACTTGCTGCCGGCTACAACTGTCCAGGTTGGATGAGGATGTGATCTATTAGCGCAGTTTATAGGTCACAAAACACGCATTCAAATAAATTCGGTCACAAACACGTACCCTGTAGGAGACGAGTCGAATCACATCGTCGTGTGTAGAAATACAAGCAGACACTGGAAATAGAGCATGGCTGGTTCCACAAGCTCGCCTCAAACCTGGTTGCTGTGACCTAGTAAGTAAACGGTCGAACGATATACTGCCAGTTTTTTTGTAGGTACTGTTTTGTTGTTGTTTTACGCCGCACTGAGCAATATTTAAGCTATATGACGTCGACCAGACAATTTAGTGATTGATATCATGGGCATCGATCTGCGCATCTGGGATCCAATAACAATCAATCAGCCAAGTTACCGAGTCCAATCACTTAGTCCATCTAGTCGCCTCTCACGACCAGCATAGGTTGCTAAGGACCTTTTATCACCCGGGATCTCCACGGGGTGTGATGACGGCTAGGAAGACCCGGTCCTTTCAACCCTGGGGAGATGGGAAGATGGGGAGTTGTGTTCGTGGGTTTGGCCAATGTGGTAACCGTCTAAGACCTGCATCACTTCGTGCTTTCCAGGGTTATAGGATACAGTATAGAAACATAGAAGTACAAATATAGCTGCTCAGTGCTTAGTTTCAAGGGACTTCCCGATTAATGCAAACTGGGCAGTTGTGACCTAGCGAAGCCCCACCTCACCCCTCAACCCCCACTAGTCTCACCCACACCTCACACCTCCACCACCACCAGTCTCACCCCCACCTCACCCCTCCACCAAAACCTCACCCCTTCAATCCCCACTAGTCTCACCCCCACCAGCCTCACCAGTCTCACCCCCACCTCACCCCTCCACCACCACCAGTCTCACTCCACCTTATCCCCCACCCCACCCCACCCCACCCCACCCCACCTCTCCATCACCACCAGCCTCACCCCACCTCTACCCTCCACCACCACCAGTCTCACCCCCACCCTATCCCCTTCTCACCCCTCCACCCACACCAGCCTCACCCACATCTCACCCCTCCACCACCACCAGTCTCACCCCACCAGTCTCACCCCTCCACCCCACAACCCCTACCAGCCTCAACCCACCCCACCCCTCCACCAACACCAGCCTCACCCCACCTCACCCCTTCACCACCACCAGCCTCACCCCACCTCATCCCTCACCAACCACCAGTCTCACCCCACCTCATCTCCCACCCACCCCAACCCCTCCACCCCAACCAGCCTCACCAGCCTCACCCACACCTCACCCCTCCACCCTCACCAGTCTCATCCCACCTCACCCCTCCACCCACACCAGCCTCACTCACACCTCACCCCTCCATCCCCCCAAGCCTCACCCACACCTCATCCCTCCGCCCCACTAGTCTCACCCCACCTCATCCCCACCTTACCCCCACCTCACCCCCCACCTCACCCCTCCACCATCACCAGCCTCACACACACACACTCGCCTCGTGATTCAGACAGGATCGCTTTCTCGCAGAATACCGAGTTTCTGGGAATTAACCGGATGTTATATTTAGTACTCTTGTAAATTCCGCTGTTCCTGAGAAGTACTTCAAGTTCATATTTTCATCAGGCCCTCTGAAAAGCTGAATGATAAGGCGTTTTGAGGGGTAAATGATGTACGTAATACAGCATACAAAATAGGCGTCATAAAGCGTGTATGATATATATGACATGTCGTACACGCAATGCAGAGTATATGATTGGCGTTATACAGAGTACATGATTGGCGTTATACAGAGTACATGATTGGCGATATACAGAGTACACGATTGGCGTTATACAGAGTACATGATTGGCGTTATACAGAGTACAGGATTGCGTTATACATAGTATATGATTGGCGTTATACAGAGTATATGATTGGCGTTATACAGAGTACATGATTGGCGTTATACAGAGTACATGATTGGCGTTATACAGAGTATATGATTGGCGTTATACAGAGTACATGATTGGCGTTATACAGAGTACATGATTGGCGTTATACAGAGTACATGATTGGCGTTATACAGAGTACAGGATTGCGTTATACATAGTATATGATTGGCGTTATACAGAGTATATGATTGGCGTTATACAGAGTACATGATTGGCGTTATACATAGTACAGGATTGCGTTATACAGAGTACAGGATTGCGTTATACAGAGTATATGATTGGCATTATACAGAGTATGTGGTTGTCATTTAAAAGACAACATAATAGGCGCTATACAGAGTACATGATTGGCGTTATACAGAGTACATGATTGGCGTTATATAGAGTACAGGATTGCGTTATACATAGTATATGATTGGCGTTATACAGAGTAAATTATTTACGTTATACAGAGCATATGATTGGCATTATACAAAGTATGTGGTTGTCATTTAACAGATAACATAATAGGCGCTATGCAGAGGACATGACAGGCATTATACACAATATGTGGCTGGCGTTATGAAGAGTACATGATTGGAGTTATACAGGGTAAATGACTCGTCTTACAGAGTATGTTGCTGGTGTCACACAGAGTCTATGGTGGGTGTTACACACAGTTATGATAAGGCTTTAATCGTGTTATTTGATAGCCGTTAGGCACAACGTATGACCTATACCATTTTTAGCCGTGAACATCATGGGGACTAGGATATCACAAATATCTGTAATTTAGTCATTATCTAACAATATAACATAGTTACGCGATGAATCGCAAAGAACGATGGAGAATGCAGTGTGGTTTATTTCACGATAAAACATTGTTCTAATATGACGGTATGGTTTATTCTCCCTGCAGTGTTTTATTGTGCGATAAACAACTCCCACTCGTCGTTAATTTCCTTTGACGCATGTTTTCCTGAATATACGTGTAAGGGTTGGGGAATAGTTGGAATACTGTTTTGTGCACATTATATACTCTGCAGACAAAGGCTTCTGAAGATCGAACGGTCTCCTCTGTGAGTTCACCGATTCCTAAGTGAGGGCCGTTTGGTTTGATTAATGAAGTAGGATGTGGTGTCATCCCAGGTTAATGCATGAAACAGATTTCTTGTTGGATCTCTTAGTAGGTTGTTGGAAAACTGCATCAACGGGTATATATTGCCGATTCTTGGCGGTACCAGACAACACACACACACACACACACACACACACACACACACACACACACACACACACGAAAGCACGCACTCACACACATACACCCACTCACACACGCCAGGGAGGGGCGGGCATACTCGGTTGCAGCAATGTATGGGTGAGGTGAGGTGAAATGGGGTTCAACGTCGCGTCCAAGATTATTGCACTTATATAGCGACTTGCATGTACGTGTGTGTTTGTGATTCTGCTTGTACTAGTCCGGACTGATGCCGATTTATAGTGCTAGCCCACTGAGATACCATGCCGCAGTTTAACATGAATACCCCAGTCAGACACAGTATACTGACCCTGAGCCGACCTGTTCTTGTTTTAGCCCCTTAATGCCGAGCGCCAGGCAGGGTAACAACAAGTACCATCTTTTAACGTCTTTTGGGATGACGCGGCCGGGGTTCGAACTCCGGACCTTCTGCTCTCCGGGCGGACGCTCTACCGCTAGACCACGGAGGCAGTCCACCAATGTATAGCAGCAACAACAACAACAACAACAACAACCCGTATCTGTGACATCATGTTGTCACTTCTGTAAAACAGTCCTTAAATAGTCTTGCTTTAGTTTTCATGTTATCAGGGTTAGTTTTACAATCAGCTGATCTACACCTTACACAAGTTCAGATTTTTGTGGTTTAATTTCTTTGTTCGTTTGGACATTATTAAAAGAACAAAACAAACAAAAATTGTCAGATGTATGATGCTTATAAGTTCTAGTAGCGGTAACGACCCAATAATGTTTCACGCCCATTCATACGAATGTGAGAGTTGACTGTTCGCGAGAGTATATGAGTACAGACGGGCCAGATAACTGCTTGTCAATCCGTATAGTTATCTGTAGACCACCAGTCTGAATGAATAAAAACATGATACTGAATGTCGAAGTTGGCACACAGTGGGTGGATAGATAGATAGATAGATAGATAGATGACAGATAGATAGATAGATAGATGATAGATAGATAGATAAATAGATAGATAGATGACAGATAGATAGATAGATAGATAGATAGATAGATAGATAGATAGATAGATAGATAGATAGATGACAGATAGATAGATAGATTGACAGATAGATAGATAGATGACAGATAGATAGATGATAGATAGATAGATAGATAGATAGATAGATAGATAGATAGATAGATAGATAGATAGATAGATAGATTGACAGATAGATAGATAGATAGATAGACAGATAGATAGATTGGGGGAACACCAGACAGTCAACTGAGTGCGACAGCATCAACGTCGGGGTGGTGATGAGGGGGAAGCAGAAGATGGACCAAGGAAAGGAAATCAGTATTTGAAAAACCTAAGAAAAATAACGAAACATTTCAAACCTAATGCCTCGGGAGGCTGTTAACATCAATATTACACAAGAGGAAGAGAATATATGGAAGTCAACTTCTTTATTACGAGGAACATAACGTTTCGGAGCATATGCTTACTCCTTCATCGGGTGAATGAATGCCACGAGACAGAGACATGTAAGGACAACAAAAGTAAAAAGATAACAAAAGGTGGAAAAAAACAAAAGGTAGGAACTAACAAGGGAAGCCAACAGATGGTTGGCGTTGACAGATGATTAGCAATAGGCAATGGAAGCTAACACTTTACAGTAATTAGCGTTGATGGTATTAATATTACACGATATTAAATAAATGTTCCGGTCACTCCAGTGTTATCGCCTTTGAGATATATGTGGACAAATCAGAGATGAGAGAAGAAATAAATTTCAATATAATCTGTGGCTTACCAAGCAGTTTATTGTGCGTTTATGTTTCCACAAGCCGCAAAAATAGACCACGCCCATTAACCGACTTCTGTTTCCTGATTGGTTAAAATAGAATGGGTGCGCTTGTGTTGCATTATAGCGCTGAACGATTAAGATCTATTCTACAACCCATACTTGATGAGAGGTCTATATGCATGACTTGTTGTGTTGAGCAGCAGATTAACATGTCATCAAGTCATATTTAAATTACTTACATTCTCAACAGGCATAAGGACTCACGATCCATGAAAGAAGTCGAAAAAATGTTAACAAAGAATTTATTGACACTCTGTCACACAAAACAATTTGGTGTAAATTAACACGAACCTTCCTTCTATAGAGGGGCTTGATGTCGGATCTGTGGTAACAACTGGACGTTTGAGATTGTCAATATGTTCCCAGTAGTGACGTCAAAAACGCCCCAAGTCGTTGTGAAGAGTTGCGTCCCTTAGGCGTGTCAGGAACCTGTGATCGTGGATTCGCTCTGACTAGACTTCTGAGTTTGTCTGCACATACCCGTGCTCATGTGTTTCTCCAAAGTGGTAAAGGCCGTTCCACGTGCTCTTCACTCACATCAAGTTGACACGCTGTAATACACCTGACATACAGTTCAAAGTGGCATTTAAACTCACTCACTCACTCGTTTGTTGAAGATTTATTTTACTTGTGTAGCGATGTGCATGCACCTGTGTGTGCGTGATTGTACCTGTGCCGGTTTTATAGTAGCTAGGCACGCAGATACTATGCACCAGTTTAATATTAATACCCCACTCAGATAAAAAAGAATCTTGTGTTATCCCCAGAATGCCGAGCGCCAGGCACGGAAAGAGTGAATGAGCATTGAGACCAGCGTATCTGATTTCTGTATCTCGAAAACGATGTATAACGACACGTTCGGAATGTAAATACATTTTTTTCTGGACAGTCGTTTCTGAGCACCATAGTTTCTACACACAAAAGCTTGTACTATCATGGCTACATTTGTGTTGTGTGGCGGTTCTCCTTTGCTAAAATCGTGAAAGAGGTGGTCAAGAAATGAAGCCGAATCATGTTCGTCAGATCTAAATACAGGGAATGTCGTTTCGGAATAAAGGGTCTGATATTAATGAGATTGCGGGAAGCGAAAGACAGCTTCGAGTCAGGGGAGATAAATACGAGGTAGAAGGAATTCGTGATGCGATGTTGATGGAACAGCAGTGCAGTCGTGCCGAGGTGGCAGCACTATGGGATCGATGGCTAGTGATGCACTCGCTGCAAGACCAAACACAACACGTGATAAACGTCAAACCCGTTCGTCAAAAATACCTCTCTGCGTAAATCCAGTCACAACTACAATCATAAATTATTACTACATTATAGATAAATTATTACTACGCCAGATCATCTCCTTTCACAATATTTAAAGCCGCCGCCATATAGCCGGAACAACTAACAAACATAACTATGTGTAAGATTCAATCCGAGATGGGCAGTAAGGAAGCTTTGTGGTGAAATTCTTTTAGTCGACATCAGCGATGTTGCTTCAATAGTGTTATGAGCCGCGATAATTCCACTCACTGACTCACTCATCCCTAGGTGTGGTGGTAGGCAGCTTCCCGAGGAAAGGGAGTTAACTGACTATAAAAGTCCAGTTTCCACCCTTGCCGAACTAGGCTGGCATAACATTTTGGCTGGACTAACGAGTCCATGCATAGTCCAATCCAAATCTGGCAACGAAATCGAAATCCGGTTCGTGAACTGTCGTGCAGATTTCGGTCGATTGCAGGATTTGCAAAACATGTGCACCGCCAACTCGTTGTCAACAGATATTTTCGAAACTTTTTCATGTTTTTTATCAAGGTGCTCGCGTGATTTGATGCACTACTCAATGTAAGACTCGTTTTATCACATTATAGATCTTGATTATCGATCAGATCGTCTTGATTGGGCGCCGCCATTTTGTTTGAAACAAATGCAAGTTATAGAATCGGATTGGTCCATAGGAGAGGCTCAAAAGGGACATAACTCATAATAACCACTGGAGGCGCTACGATCGAGCCCAGGAATTCCAGCCTAGTTCGGCAAGGGTGGAAACTAGACTTTTGAAAAGTCAGTTAACACTCTTGCCTCGGGAAGATGGGTGGTAGGGTGCCCTAGTGGTTACAGCATTCGATCGTTACGGCAAAGCCTCATGTATGAATCCCCATATGTCCCTCGCCTTGATGCAGCTTCAATGTTGCCTAAAGCAGCGTAAAAATCCACACTCACTCAATCATTCACTCACTCACTCACTCTTCACAAGGATCTACGTCAGGGTGACTTTGTCTCTAGAATACAGGCGACCGAACAACGAGGCTGTGATAAGCGGTTTGGAAAATCCATTTCCTCCATGAAGAACCCCGTCTTTAAAAGTCCACTCTCCTTGCACAAGACCAATATATTGTCCATCAGAAACAAGCACTTCTGGGAAAATATACGGACTTGATAAATTACCACTAATTTCCATGAAGCTAAACATTGAGCGTGATTGTTTCACAGGGTCCCCGCAACTGGACATATCATTATCCGGGCACATCAATACGGAACAGGTCTGAGTAAAACGCCCGTCATCAAAACCATTAAATACTGCCAGAACAAACAAATCCTCAAGGGCGGAGAGGTTCTCCCTGGTGTAGACCACCGTGCAACACACATCCTCTCTACAAGCACGTTGCGTCCCAGTGTGGTGCTCTAGGGGAACAAACGTGTAGTTTTCTCGTGGAAGGGAAGTCAACCTGGAGAGCTTTAACATGTCAATAAACGAGTCAGTCTTGTCAGGTGAACGTTCTTCAGCTACCAAAGATGAAGACACTTTCTTATTTTCCTTCATATTAATGACACGCCAGTTTTCCATTTTCATCTGCGAATACACAATCGGATCTTGGATACCAGTCTCCTCAACAGAATCTACATCGGCTAACAACAACCTTCCCCCACTCAGGACACCGTCGTTGTAGTAGTATGTCGCCGACCCCGTCGGGGTGTAGATGCCGCTGCCCTGGAATTTAAACACTGGGTAGTGTATATTGGCCGCGAGCACGTTGACCCCAAGGCCCTTGGCGAAGGCGGAATGAAACTCAATGGCTGCGAGATACGGAAGTCGGTCCATCCACGCCGTCGGGAAGACCATGTTCCGTATCCCCTCCTTCTGGATCAACTCGACGCCAGGGTTGTAGAACAGGATATCGAAACAAGTGAATAAACCGAACTTTCCGAACGGTGTCTCAAACGTGGCCAGTTCTAATGGCGGCGTATCAAACTGATCTTCCTGGAAGAGATGGCGCTTGTGATACCTGGCGACCAGAACTCCTTCCGGGTTAAAGGCCACATCGGTGTTGTACTGATACTGGTCGTCGTCTGGGCACTTTGGGTCGTTGCTATGGTGACATGGTTTTCTGTCACCCATGTTTGCTATAACATACATGGCATTTTCCCTCGCCATACAGCTGAGTTCCCGTTGTATCGTGGTGTCGGTGTCGCTACCGGAAGTCAAGCAGGGATTCCACTCGGTGATACGGGGATCGGGGATTTCTTCCAAGAATGGCTTGATGGTGTTTCGGTTGAATATCATTCCATATATCCCATCTTCAGGAAATACTATGATATCAGCACCCTGGGGACAAATAACAAAGTTTTAACAACATCGTTATGATATCAGATCCCTAAGCACAAATAACAACGTTTTGATAACATCGTTATGTTAAAAGCTACTAGAAGGACAAAAAAAACGTTTTAACAACATCGTTATTATAAAAGCTACCTGAAGAACAAATAACAACGTTTTAAAAACATCGTTATGGTATCAGCTCCCTAAAGGAAAAAAAACCTTTTAATATATAATACTCAAAAGCAAAAATAACTGTATTAGTTATCTTATCTATCATATTGTGATGATATAAAGACAACACATCCCATTTTAATTCTGGAAACCCAAAAGTCCAGAAACTCTAGGGTCTTTGCCCAATCTCGGTCAAAGGTATAAACATGCTGTTTTCATGGGAACATACCAAGGAAGAAAAAATTAAAAAGAATTTTTAAAAACTCAATAATTACACTATGTCGCCCATGGGCCTGCCATGGGCGAAGTGTGGCCCGTGGGCAGGCCCATGGGCGAGAATATGTACCTTTACTCAAAACTCATGTTTTTGTTTCGCAAATACATTAAATGCATTCATTCAAGTAATGACACAAAACGTAACTTATTTTAACTTAAGTCAACGATTTTATAGCGATATTGAAATATTTCGCCCATGGGCGAGCAAAAGGTTTGGCCCATGGGCGAGAATATTTTCCTTTACTCAAAACTCATGTTTTTGTTTCGCAAATACATATATGTATATCTTTCAAGTATCATGACACAAAACTTAACTCATTTTAACTTAATTCAACGATTTTATAGCGATATTGAAATATTTCGCCCATGGGCGAGAAAAAGGTTTGGCCCATGGGCGAGAATATTTTCCTTTGCTCAAAACTTATGTTTTTGTTTCGCAAATACATGCAGGTGTTCTAACAATTTTCATGGCACATAATGTAACTCAATTTTACTTAATTCAACTATTTTATAGCGTTATTGAAATATTTCGCCCATGGGCGAGAATATTTTCTTTTGCTAAAAACTCGTGGTTTTGTTTCGTAAATACATAAGGGTGTTCTTAGAAGATTCATGTCACATAATTTAACACATTTTAACTTAATTCGACTATTTTACGGCGTTATTGAAATATTTCGCCCTGGACGAGAAAGTTTGGCCAATGGGCGAGAATATTTTCCTTTGCTCAACAGTTTTAGTTTCGCAAATACATAAAGGTGTGTCTACAAGCATGACACATGATTCAACTATTTTACGGCGTTACCAAAATATTTCGCCCATGTTTTCGTCAGTGCCTTGAAAGCATCAACTAACTGTGTGCAAAGTATATTGTATCATGTGAAATATACTTTATATTATATCATTACATTACTATTTAAAAAGGCCTTTGGTTGGATGTTTCCTTTATAGAAGTTTTACAAACTTCACCTGTTTAACATATTGCAACGATCTTTAATGAACCCGGCCTTACCTCTCAAAACGTTTTGACAGTTTATCATACGAATTCATGTGCGTGTACTCCAATTCATTGGAATTATTTTCCACAACATTCAAGTTTAGTTAGTTTCTATTTCATTTCCCATTTTATGTCCCGTTGATACATCACACTGGGCAATTAGGTGACACTAGGTATGCATTATACAGGTACGCGTGCGCGTATTTTAATGGAAAAAAAAACATTCGTCTTTTATTGCATAACGTTTGGCTGAATATCTCACATTCTAACGAAATCTCGAAATAATTATTAAATTACATGCGGTGTCGAACTGACCAGTGGGAATTATGTTTCAATGCGATTGAGGAAAACGTGAGTGAATATTGTGACACTAAAGTAACTTTCAAATGCATTGTCACTTTTGGTATGAAAATGGTAATAGTTAAGAAAAACGAAACAGCCTTCTTATGATAATTCTCATATTCTCATTAGTACGTTGTATCTAATTACAGTGTCGGCCTTATTTACAGGTGATTCTACAACACCTGCTCTCGGTCAATTACGATCTACCCATTACGCGTGAATAAACAGTTATGCAGGTGTTGCTGTGGGCAAATACCTAGCCTGAAAATATATATTTGTTTGTGGATACATGTTTTACAAATTTTCGTTGATATGTTGATATATTAAGCACAAAGACAAAAAAAAGTCACCATCATCCCTGTCACAACTGGCATATTAACGGCTTATTCAAAATATTAATTGTAGAAACGTCGTTAAGAGACTAACGTTTGTCGTATACATTCCTCATATTTGATTAAAAAAAGTAAGTAATTCAACTGGATGTTACCTTCCTTATATCAGCTAACAGCCCTGTTTGTGAAAATATGTACTAGACATCAGATTTAAAGACTAATAAAATCAATTGTAAGACCGCATAGACCATAAAACCGAATAAAATATGTCTTGGTATCATCTCTTGTGTATTAGATGATGGAAATGACCTGAAATGTTATAACGTTAGATTAGGACGGAGAAACGTTAAGGTGTTTTTATAATACTTGGGAACATGAGCAATAAGATGAAGCAACATAAACACGCATGGAATAGGGAAAATGGTGAAAACAAATTGAAACAGATTTTAATAAAACATTATTGTACTAAATAACTTGCAAAAGCGGTGCCCAAAATTGTTTGACCTTGTTATGTGTGTTGTAGACTGACGACTAGCAAGTAATTGTCATGCTGTACGCATGGTTCCATATACGAATTCAGATATACATCCGGTATGAAACTGAGAACTGAGATGCCAAGTATAACCCGCATTCACAAACGGAAGCAATATACTTGTGTGTATGCCCTCTCCTCTGATAACATTCAAACATGTAATTAGTACACAGTTAATTGTTACATATAATTTCCTGCATATTCCTTTTTGAACAAAAAGCCTACATGTATACTGAAATCGGTGTCCACTGTTAAAAGGCTATAAGTGCAGTCAGCCATGGTAAATGGAGAGACAAAAATAAGGTGATTAATTATAGTCTGTTGCAGAATATGCGGTATAAGTGTAGTCATTTATACATATACACATTACACATATACAGATGAAATACACGATATGATACAGTGCCAGAACAAATAAGGATACGGTTTCTATTTAAAATAATTATACGATTATGGATTTAATTAGCATGTTTACATTTTCAGGCCAACACGGTTGAGATACAGCATCGGCATACTCAACTGGAGTTGTTTTCTGCCGGTCGTAAGTTCATCGTTAGACTGAGCACACTTGTGTCGGGTTGCGATATTTTCTTCTCTTTGTTGGCAGCCTGCCACCGGTCTGAATTTTGAGAAAGGTCACAGCATGGGACTGTTAATGTCTTCTTAATGATGTCTACAAGCTTACAAACTTGTAGATGTTAGGGCGGTTTGGACCAAATTTTTTCAGTTCAGAGTGCCACTCTTCCCAGTGTTAGTGGTCCTGGAACCCATAGTGTCAAACAGGTTCTGCACAATACGTCCATCCGATTCTACTGTTCAGCAACATTGTCACTGAATTTCAGAACTCCGGCATGATATAATAATCAAGGATTTCGAAGGTGAACGAGGGGAAAGGCAGACGCACGTGGATTTACTCTCAGGTTATTATTGTCTGGAGTTCACATTTTTGGGCATTTCATATACTAATTGAACAGAGTTCACCTGCACATGTCCACTTCAGTGAGACAGACTGTAACCAAAAATGCAATGAGCTGTAGCTCTTAATCCCTTATAACAACGACAACAACAACCAGGTTGAGGGCACAGTAAGGTTAAACCGTGTCCACAAGACAATCTCATGTGGCTAACGCCATATCTCCCATCGAGTCAGCTCTATGTTTAAGCGCATAATTATTTTTTTTACATTTTGAAAAAAGGAATTAAACAAATCATATTTAAGAAACCTAAACATTACCAAATACAAAACTTTATAACCCTTTCTAGACTTCGTTCCAATTAACCTGGATCATTCAACTCGCTCGCGAAGGTCGTATACGACTTGCTAAATGCTAAACCGTAAGTGAATACATCTACAGTGTACAAGTAACTTTTAACTGTATCATATATACTCATGATAAGCAATTATTTTCGTTCCTAATTCGAATGAGAACATTCTGAGGCTAAATCTGCAAAAGGACAGACAAAATGTGTCTTTGTACAATGCAAACGATACAAACGTAGCGGATGATAATAGAGTCAATGATTGAATAATCTGCAATATATCATTCGTCTCGTTCAATCTATTGTACATATAAAAAGTGATTGCAAAGTTTCAAGGAGTACTAAAATGTTGTGGTATTATGAATGAATTTAGAATATGAATAGCGAAAAACAATCACCATATGGGATGTACATGTATAACTTGTCTTCCAACACCACGCTTGTGCCGAGGCCCGTGGTCATAAAACTAATCGGTCCCATAAAAGGAGCAAATAGTATCGCAGATATCCCACTGTACTTGCTATGGTCCACTCCCAATTGTCAGACGACCTAATCATCAGACAGACCAGTCAAGTGTGACCAGTGTACCTGACTGGTTTTACCTCCTAATCTCTGAGCTGCCCAATACTGTCATACTGTGGGCAGAGTAAGCTACTCCAACTCGTTGAGTGATACAGAATAACCAGATTATGATTATGTTTGTAAGTTGCGTTTAATCTGTGTCGGGTTGCAGTTGTTTTATTAGGCAAGACCAGGGGTAGTTTTTTTAATTAAACCTTTTGTTTTGCATTCATTTCATTAAATACATTGTTAGGTAGAATAATAACACGTTATATAGATTAAACATCTCCCTAACCTGAGTATAATCTCACATGTACTCTAAGTACCGTACTATATTACTTTGAGGAGACATTGAGTATAATTTTTTAGTTGGCATTGTATGCTGTCTGAATGACTTTACACAAATCCCTGCGTCAATGGACCCGTGAAAATCCGGGGTAGAACAGATCTTCAGTAACCCATTCTTGGCGTAAAAGGGCGACAAGGCTTGTCGTAAGAGGCGACTTCACGGATCGGGTGGTCAGGCTCGCTGACTTGG